ACCTCGGTAATGTTGGACAAGTCCATTTTATGAACAGGGAGGGCTTAAGTTTAGTATTTCACGGATATTCTTACAATTTTCACGTTGATTATCCGTACCTTTTCTCCCTATGCCGATTGACATATCTCTTCTACTTTTAGAAAAGATTGCGTTTATCTACGTTGCCAAGCTACATCTATGGGGAACAACTCACCAGACACTTCCCAATCAAAAATAAGGTCCTTCAATTTATGACGTCATCAGTTGGCGTGCTCAAATGACACTGAGTAGCCTAAAAGGTACTTTTACAGGTACATTGATGATAAACTTAGAAAATATTCGTATTATCGTGCATGTAGGTAACGGCCTATAGCCTGAGGTAATTGCCTAACTCTTGTCCCGAGGTGATGACTTCACACCGGCCCTTGCATTCCCACCGCTGCAAATGTCACCCGAGTTGGGGGTGGTTTCAAAATATTGTTGTTATTGTACTTTAATGAGTAATGCGTTGACGTGGATAGCAATTAAGATATGTGATGCATTATATATGATTGAAAAAGTGATGGAATAGTTAAAGCTATGAAACGGGACGAGTATTGGATGGTTGGGGGCTTTTGAATCAAGAAGAATTGGTTGTTCTACACATGATTTATTTAGCCAACATCTGACTGAACTGAAGACGTATCTGAGTATGTACTATCACCCAAAGGTATGATAACTGGTGCAACAAGGCTGAAATATATGTCTTCACGTTGGCGGTACCGACATTCCATTTCAAGAACGCGATCTTCAGGCTATTGCAATGCCTCTGATGTGATTCTAGCAAAGTGTAACATAACTCATATGTTGCTTAGGATTGACAGAGGTCGCTGTCCGGGGTCAAGAACTAGTCGGAACAACTTGTTGACAAACCGACTTGGAGTATCATTGTATGACCAAGTTGTATTATTCTGTTCACCTCGTTGTACGGACTGGCCATGGGTCAACGCAAAAAGATGACCGGTCAGTCAGTCGACAATTACAAGATGTTTACTACATTTTGGCTGGGAAACGATCCTTATGCAGTCAAAAGTTTAATGTCAAAACTCTGCATAAATAGCGAGGTGATTTGGCGAAAGAAGCAGACACTTGGAGACACCTCCAGACCGCAGACAGAGATACTTCTAGACCTCTCCAATAGCCCCTTTCCAGTGTTCTCCAGCAGACTCCCAAAACTTCAGGTAATGCCAAAGGACGCTGAAACAACGTTACCTACGACTTGCAGTCCTGTGTGCCTTAGCCTTCCGGTAGTGACGATCAATCTCAGCGTGGTGATGCTATATAAAAATAAACTCTTATCTCTCCTTGCACTTATGTGTTGCCTCTTTCTTTGTCACCATTTGACATGTGTGCGTTTGAATGACAATGACACTGGAGTTGTTAAGACTGCAGTAGCTGATGTTCCAACCAGTCTTTGAACGCATCACCAATCATTTGCTTGTGATACTCGCCAGTCTTCTTTTTTGCCTGGAAAACTAGCTCACATCTACCATAAGCCCCAGATCTGAAAGCTCTGACTGCCATAGTCAGGAATGATGCGGATATAGTGAGACGTCCTTGACAGGATGGAATATTTCCACCTGAAGACTGCTCGGTCATCGACACGTGCAGTGTATCGAAATCCCTTCTCCTGTAGTGCAATAATTAATGTAGTCCCGGAACCATTAATTGGGTCTTTAATTTCCTCCAGAACTCTACTTCATGTCGGGGATACATTCTGCTCATAAGCCTTGTGCATTAATGTTTCGCGGACTACATTATTTATTGCACTACAGGAGAAGGGATTTCGATGGCAGCCAGGGCTTTCAGATCATTTACCTTGATGAAACCTGGGAGAATAAGAATCATTCCACTGACTACATGTTGCTGCTGTCAGATGGACGAAACGGGACCGTGCAACCAGGGAAACATAATCATGTCATTGTTGTGCATGCCCGAACCGTGATCTGGGGCTTTTGGTAGATGTTCGCCTAATCAACTTTTTATCTAAGCTGTCTAATATCCTTTTACACCTCGATTTTCTTTTAGACGACCCCTACCTTTTTTATAATTAATCATACCGTAGACTTGCTAGTATGAAAGCCCCCGAGCTTGGGCAGTTCTGTAATACACCCTGAAATAATAAATAGTTTCCCTCTGTCTCTCTCAAGTGTAAAGAACTTCCTGCTACAGACTCGTGCCGTTTACCATGGTCATGGCTATGCACATGTAATGCAACATGCATCAAGTCCTTGTTTTATCCTACTTATGCCCAGCGACAGGTAGGGTGATAAGAACAATAGTTTCACTTCTTCCGGTATGTCACGACCAGTGATCGAACCACTGACCTTCCTCTCTCTCCGGGCTGACACTCTATCCACAAGGCGGTCAGCTTGAAACAGGAAAATCCAAGTTGTATTTTCTTCCAGTTTTATGCCATCACTTTAGGCTTGGTACTTGCATGTTGTTTGAGGTTGTAGTAGGCATGCCTTTGCCTGAACCAAAGGTAATGGCATCAGGTTGAATATGCATGATGGTGTTCATAATTTCTGAGACCTTGAGGAAAGTGCGCTGAACGGGCTGCTTCTGTTTTTGCAAGAAGTTGCAAATGCTTTCTTGAATAAGTTTAACATAATAGTTTTTAGAAACGGTGGTTACTTACGCAGTGTAGAAAGTGGCTGTATGCAGGAGTTGAAATGAAAACTGTAACCTATCATAAATATCTAGGTATTATTTTCTCAGAGATTAGTGTGGTCAAGCGCTTGTGAAACCCTATCTATTCAACCCAGAAAGGCTAGCATGCATATTCATAGACTACCTTTTCATGCTATTCAAACAATATTTGATACTAAGATGTGACTAATTTTAGTGTGTGGTGCAGAAATCAAGGGATTCACTTTAAGGGAGGCCTTAGTCTCGGTGTTTCCAGACGGTCGTCCAGTAGTGTCGTTATGGGGCATGTTGCAAGGAGTCACTTATGTGTCCATTTTTATAGTCGTTGCATAGGTTATTGGTGTAGACTTCCACTTATTGAACATTTAAAAGTATAGATACCAAAAGGCATGTTACCAGATACTGAAACGCTTTGATGATAATGGGAAAATAAACTGGGTCTCTCATATGTTAGTACCTAAATTAATGTTCAAGAAGGGTTTTTCATGTCTGGCTTACTCAAGATAAATCTTAATATGTTCAAGCAAAGATGTAAGGATATCAGTAGTATAGGTAATGGGGGTTCTGGCTCACTTCCACTGGGGTCAGATTTATATACCTATACCACTACTACAGAGGGAATTTTTTATGCAAAAACGATGATGCGATTCGAGAGGGCGGCTTTTTCTTCTTTGGCACCCCCTACAATATTTTTTCCACTAAAGCAATAGGATGTGCATAAAGCATACAACTGTGCCTAACGAATTCCCAATTGAACATTTGTGCCCAACTACAACTAAAAAATAATCGCAATGAATCCTTACAATTAAATAATTCAGTTTTACATATTTTTCAACTTCTAGGACACTTATAACCACTATACAAATTCAAAAAGGAAGATCTTGAAATCTCATCATGCCAATATTTTTTCCACTAGAGCAATAGGATGTGCACAAAGCATACAACTGTGCCCAACAAATTCCCAATTGAACATTTGTGCCCAACTATAGTATAGAACAAAAATGGAAGACGCGAAATATAACAACTATGGAGAGCATGGGCATACGTTCAGAAATGTCTGTGTTCCAACATATACTAGCGGAGAATGCATACGAAGACAACTTGCTACCACATATATTCAAGGTAGACTATTTGAAAGAAAATCTAGGCAGAACACATCTAGAACCTTTGGAGGGCCTACCAACATTTGTATACGATATGTATGTATTTGGCTATCTAGAAGAAAACGATATCTCTACGAGGATCTATGTCTTGTACAACTGGAGAAAATGGATCTGCAAAATGTATATTACAAGAAATACAGTGTTGACAAGCTTGGAAAGGACACTGATGGGATAATTCGTGGCTGGCGCCAATCTGGGCTGCTTGACAGGATGTGAACTGACCACTACTCAACTTCGCTTTGTGTAGGCATAAAATTAATGCGACCTTCCGTAACTCGCATTTTTCGCATTAATATTCTGCTCGCTTTAATTTCCTGTTTTACAGTACGTTGGAACACAGACATTTCTGCACGTATACCCATGCTCTCCATAGTTGTATATTTCCATCTTCCATTTTTGTTCTATACTGTAGTTGGGCACAAATGTTCAATTGGGAATTCGTTGGGCACAGTTGTATGCTTTGTGCACATCCTATTGCTCTAGTGGAAAAAATATTGCAGGGGTTGCCCAAATTCGGGGTGCCAAAGAAGAAAAAGTCGCCCTCTTGACATAACAAAATTCCCTCTGTAGTAGTGGTATAGGTATATAAATCTGGCTCCAGTGGAAGTGAGCCAGAATCCCCATTACCAATACTACTATTTCGTTTCAGAATTGGCATGATAAGATTTCAAGATCTTCCTTTTTGAATTTGTATAGTGTCCTAGAAGTTGAAAAATATGTAAAATGAATTATTTAATTGTAAGGATTCATTGCGATTATTTTGTAGGTTTTGTTCGTTGTCCCATAAGTTGAAAAGATTTAAGATGCAAATTGATCCGAAAATGTTGTTATGCACACATTGTAATGGCAATTGTACTGAAGACGGGTTCAGTTTACTCCTTGTATGTCCCCATCATGTCAAGCAAAGAAAACTTTATACCACTTGATTATACCTATCCTAGTAGAGATATGTCTTACACTTAAAAAGGAATTTACCAATATTACTATTGGAAAGTGTAATTACATGAAATGTGCCCTTAAACGTGTGTTATTTGTGTATCATAATGAATATCAACCCACTGTAAATGTTTTGTATATGCAGTACTTCGGGCCAAAGGTCTGCAATACAAATAAACCTGTCACTTGCACACGCTTTTCTACTTTGCATAATAGAATAACAAAATATGATTCAGTAAACAGTAACAACAGGGATATTTATTCATGTATTTACAACAATGTTCTTTCAAGCAATACATATGTTTAATGAATGTTGATGAGGATGCTGACCTGATATTTACAACAGAAAATTCCATGAATTACTTGTATGATGTGTGAAATTCAGAAGCTTAGCTAGATCTACCATTCTTGAATTAGCACTATGTCATTTTGATGAAACATGAAATGCACTTCTATAAAAGATGACAAAGAAATCCTTGGAAATAATACCATCTTGCTAATCTAATTGTTCATATTAATGACACTGATGTAATAACACTGTGAGACAATAATCTTTATATATTTCGCCTTTTTCATCATGTACAGCAAGGGCAAAAATGCCTGCAAGTTCAGGTTCAAAATATTCCGCACACATGTATGGACACAGGCACCAAATTTCATGATTTGTGATGTCATTACTGCATGGCAACTTAGTATGGACATTGGGTTGCCAAGCAACTAAAAAACAATTTGTTCACCAGGTCTGTCAGGTGGCAACAAAACCTTTCATTTATTGTCCAGAATTACTCTTCCACTTTGTACACACATATATTTCAATTTGCCTAATCCTTCATTTTCTTCATCTTTTCTGGTCTGAAAACATTAAAACATTGATTAGTTAATATATCTGGATTAATGTTATTTTAATAAGATATTTCTTTTTCAGTAGAAAAATCTGACAAATTAAACCTCTTGTAATCATTTATTCACATTGCATGGCTACTGCTTGGTTTGCATATAAGGGGCATCAGTATTAAGCAGTAAGCTTAAGTAAACAAGACGTCAACAGTTACAGATATAATATTTTGTAAACGTCAATAACCTTCAAATGCAGATCTTTCAGTACTTGGTGGAATAGAAAGGCATTTACCGAATGTACACACATTTAATTACCTTCCTCTAAGAATGAACTTAAGAGAGCAGACAGCTCAGGCGAACATGAAACAACTGAGGAAGCATCAGTGGCTGACACACCCTCCCCTGTTAGTGATGAGGCTGCTGATTGGCTGCCCTCACTTTCACCTGGCTGTATCCTCGTCTCACATTGGCTACTGCCACCCATAGAGGTTGCAGAGCTTGCTTCAGATTGGCTAACAAGGATTCGGGTTTGACCTGGTCGTTGGGCAGGAATTGGGGATAAGTACAAATTCAAATCAGGAGAATCATTCAATTCAAGTCCAGAAACAGTGCTAGGGCTAGTGACAGCTAATGCTATGTATACAAACATATTGAACAACTGGAGCATGAATTTCCGTCCCACTGAAACACAAGAAGCGGGGATATGAGGACACACAAAGCAAGCAAGGGGGGGAGGTCTCAAGCAGCATCCACAGGGGATAAAAGTATGCTTCCATCAGTGGGGATCTCATGCCCTGTGATGACAGGTTAAACATAGCAAAGAGTAATATGGCTATTAATCACTACACACGTTCTATTATTACAATGTTATTTCGCCATGATAGTAATACAGATACAGGATGAAAAGAATGTAGAATGAAAGTCTTAAATGTGTTGTGATTTAAGTTGCTAAATGCTATTGCTCATTTGATCTAGTGGTGTAATGATACGGCAATACAGTATTGTCTCAAGATATGAGGCCCACGAAACAATTCTACGATTTTCAAACCCTCTATCACCATACAAACTATACATTACCTTACAAGTTATATTTGCAAAAAACACACATGGTTGTTCAACAACCAGCTAATGCAGATTCTCTAGCATTTCCCCGTTTGGCTATATTTGGCACAACATTTACAGTGCCCTCTGGCCTATATGTTTCTTCCCTACAATATCCCATTTTGATCTCTGAAATTTTAAACATGATTCATGTATGTGATTCACCTGCAAAAAGGAAGAATATAATCTTTTGAAACAAAAGTGCTGTATCGGGATACGGATCATATCGCATCCATAGTATTGGGATATGTATCGTATCGCGACCCCTTCATATCGTTACACCTCTAATTTGATCATGTATCAAAACTACCCATGATCCTCAACAAATATTCAAGTAGAAAGGAAAGAAATTAGTATTTCAAAGTAAAGGGCTTGCCACCACCACCACCACAAAACACACAATTAACATGAATGAGTGAGAGAATGAGATTCTACATCAACCTGTTTGTTGTTAGTGAGTTGGGTTTATGGCTGCTTGAAAAGTATATTGCATATATCTTGGCGTGTTAGCTAAGTCTTAGATAATTGCCTCGGCCATTTGTAGGGTGTTAACCAGGCATGTCATTCAAGGGTGACAAAAAAGATTGAATAGCCAGTAATTTCTAAAGCTTTTAAACCTCGGAGTCTTTCCAAGAAAACTATTGAATTGAGATAAACACAATGAATTCCAACTTGCCAATGGTCATAACCAAATCGAACCTTTGATCAGCTGATCTGGATGGAGCTAAGGGACAAAACTCAGTCATGCCTAGTTATTCAGCCTTGCATTAAAAACTAGGTAATGATGCAGACCATAAATTTTGTTGCCTTTTGTAACAAGAATTGGGCACTGGGTTCGAAGCTATTCCACTGTGTCCATGATCACAACATCAAAGGAAGATACACAGCTCCTTAGGCTAGACATTCTGCATGACAAGGATTCATTACTCAGTTTGGTATCTGTCTGCAAAATTAATCTCTCAATATCCACATTTATCTCTTCACTCACTCACAAATGCATGTTAGTATATAGTGGAATGAAGCAGAACATCGCCCACAAAATCAGACTCTCCATGCAATCTAAGTTCAAGTCATGCAATGCAAGTTCAAGTTGTGCAGCTAATGAGTTGAAGGTGCTGTGTAAGTGAACATCTGTTTCTGGAGTTGAAACGCACGATTCTTCCTACGAACACAGCTGGTGGTCAACATACACACATCAGTAAGTAAATTGATCAATGTATGTCTAACTCATCTTGATCAACTAAAAACTAACAAAAGCCATTTTCTTCAAGATTTGGAGAAAGTTTCTTTGGAAGTAACTGTTTCTATATGGTGAAGCTTGTCATTATGCTGTACAAAACACAGTTAGATCACACATGTTGTTGCCTACCTTGACCAACAGGTCATAATATTTTCAGTTGAGACTTACCTCCCGTAGCATCGCCGTGAGAAAATATAACAGGTGTATCCATTTCATGTGAAATCTTCTCTGACAACTCAGAATCTCGGGCTAAGCTCACACCCTAAAACCACAACAACAAAACTTTGTCAGTTCTTTCAACACTAAAACCTATATAATTTAAGATAAACATTTGTTTGCTTGTTTGTTTCTTGGTTGTTTAACGTCGCACTCAGCAATATTCCAGCTATATGACGGCGACCAGACAATCCATAAACTGACATCATGAGCATCGATCCATTCAACTGGAATACGATGATATGCATCAACCAAGTCAGCGAGCCAGACCACCCAATCCTGTTAGTCACCTTTTACGGGAAGCATAAGTTGCAAAAGACCTATTCTACCCCAGATCTTCACGGGTCTAAAATATATTCAGTCTAAACACACATTAATGTTCTTCTGCATCCATAAAGTTCATACATATATACATTTATATACACTTCCAATCATCAATTCATTTTTAATCTCACCAATAAAGCTATTCATAATCAGTAATGTCACTTTCAAAGAAACTGCTGTCACGAGCACTGTCCCTCACCTGAATATGTAGTCAAAAGTATATGTCAACAAAGTCAGGCAATTAAAAGATATGTGTCCATGTCGAAGTTGCCTTTGAGAGATTTTAAGAACAGTCAAATCAAGGTAAAATGTAAAATATTGTCTAAAAGAGAACATATGTGTCAAGCCCCTCCACTAAATACACATTGACCAAATTTTGTTGTCTTTTGAACAGATATGGCTGAGTAATGGCCTGAAAAACGTTTCAGCTTTCTGTGTGGACGAAGTGCAAAGGTCAAATTAAGTTCAAGGTTCAACATATCACCCTAAAAAAATCGGGGACATATTTCTTTGATACCACAACTAAAGTGGGTAGACTTTCAGTTAGGTGAGCGAGCAATGGGAATGGGTAAGATATTTTGAACTACAACAAGCATGTCTTACCTCCATAAAAGATTTAGCAAACTCCTCTGCAGCAGCTACTGAGCTGAAAGCTGCCTTAAAGTCCCTCCTGACTGGCTCGTCTGTTGAGAAGTCTTGGGCACTCCACATACAGGCTCTCTTCTGATTCTCTCTGGAAATATAAACAATCATAGAGGGATAACATATGGTGTGCAATATCGGTGACATTTCACAGGTGAGTGACATGACAAGCCAGGGGTCAATAGTGTAGGTATCTAGCCAAACCTAAAGATGTTAAGGGTTTTAGCAACTTGACTGTTACAGTGTAGGAGTTGCCATAATCTTCTCAGCAGAAAGGAGAATTCCCAAACACTGTACATACACTCATTTGACGTTTCCCCTCCCAATCCCCTTTTCAACCGCCTCTGTGGTCTGGTGGGTAGTGATTCTGTCCGAAAAGTGGAAGGTCGTGGTTGAATCCCTGGCCTCATCATAGTTAAAGACGTTAAACAGTTGTGCTACTCGTTACCCTGTCTGATGGTCGGCATTAAGATAAAACAAGGACTGGTCAGCATACTGTGTGTGAGTGGGGTATCCATGTTAACTGTGGCATGGTATCTCCATGGGCTAGCTCTACGGGTCCCGGCATAAGCAGTCACACATTTTTTACTGTCATTATTCTGCGGATATATTTTCAAGGTGAAGTATTTTTATCTGACTTACAGTTTTATTGAGTGTTCGCGACAAATGACATGGTTGCAGACTTTTTGTTTGTCATCTGTCTCCATGTCAATCTGGTTTCCGTTCAGGTCATCATTGTACAGAATCTTCAAGTTGCCCATTCCAAGTTTCTAGAAAGAAGACCATTCTCGTTCAAAACAACTCCAAATGACATGTTATATCAACTTGTGAATGAATTTGTGAAACCCTTATGTGACAGGTATGTTAGTGAATGAGTATGTTAGTATGGTTTTAAGCAGCTTTAAGCTACCTCAATAACTATATATTTGTCCATTTATGTAATTTCAGGATAAAAAAAACTTATCTTCGACTATCTTGAACTCTGTACATGTATCTCAAAGTTTGCCACATTAACAGTTTTGAGAAGTACAAACAAGCATCTCACATATGTATCACCTTTCCTTGCACCCCCAACATCGCAGTAACTTCCTGGTTACTAGTACATCAAAAAGTGCTTATCAAAGCAGGTGGGGTAGAATAGGTCTTCAGCAACCCATGCTTGCCATAAAAGGCCACTATGCTTGTCGTGAAGGGCAACTAATGGGATCGGGTGGTCAGGCTCACTGACTTGGTTTTGATTCATGCCATCATATCCCAATTGCCGCTCATGATGTTAAACCCTGGATTATCTGGTCCAGACTCGATTATTTACAGACCGCCATCATATAGCTGGAATATTGCTGAGTGCAGCGTTAAACAACAAACAAACAAACAAAACATCAAAGCAGGCAATTAACAAGCTTGAGATGAAAGTGGCACTTTGTTGCTTTTGTTAAGTAGGCTGATAAATAATGTACCACTCACTCAGCTGTTGATTTTTGACTGCTGTTACTGATTGCTGCTATGCCTAATAAGGATCTATACTACAAAAAGTTTGCTAAGGATCAAGTTTTGATGATATCAAAAAATCATCCAACAAATAAAGATTTAAATACCCTGGTTACAGTGATTGGGTATACCCTGTAAGACCTCAATTTCATGATGAACGGACAGAGGCATGCATTCATGTGCATAAGGTGCTTGAAAACCCTATGTTTTGAGGTATCACGACAGAATCGTTGCACATCATTATCAGAGAGCACACCAACATTTGCTACTGAGGATTGCAACAACTGAATGCACTTATGCTCACTCCACGTCAAAGACGTCGTTTGAGGAACGAAGATTTAGGCAGATACATGGAATCAATACCAGATGTTTGCATCATGGACTTGCAGGCTGTAGACAGCGTACCACCATACAGCGGGGAGACAATTGTCTCCTGATTGCAGCAAGACATCATCATTTTGTGTCTGCCACCACACTCAGAAATGACCTGCATAACGCCAGTAACGGAGGGAATGTATCAGACAGGCAGGCACATTTGGACTGGGCTGAAGATCACCTCAAGTGGACAGTCCAGGACTGGGCTTCAGTACCATTTACTGATGAATCAAGATACTGTCTTGACTTCAAAGATCGTCATGCCTGAGTGTGGTGTAGATAAGGAGAAAGATTTTAGGATTCCAACGTAGTCAAACATGACCGCTATGGAGGAGGCTCAATCATAATTTGGGGTAGGATCAGCAGAGTGGGAAGAACCGATCTCCATGTCCTACAGTGAAGCACCATGACAGGTGTGCGCTTCAGGGATGACATTTTGGATGTGTAAATAAGACTGTATGCTGGAGCAATCGGACTGGACTTCTTCCTCATGGACGTCAACCCATGATCGCATCGTGCCAGTGTCGTTAATGCCATCTTAGAGCAGCAAACCATTTTGACAAGTGATCTGACCGACTCTACATTACTGCAATACTGTGGGACACATAAAAAAAGCATCAATATATTACCTTCCACTCATCATTCTCAAAATAAGTCAACGTAGCTCTCTTCTCAAACATGATGCTTTCTTCCTCAGAATCGTCATCTTCTTCCTCCTCCTCCTCTGTCACAGGGACGTCCTGGCTTTTGGACACAATTGCCGAGTTGTTGGTATTCTTGGCTGGAGATGCTGGAAGTACATCAGTTCCTGTTTTAGACAATTCTTCAGGTGACAGATAAATTGTTTTATTCAAGGGTGCAGAAAAATGGTCACAGTGAGATTGCTTTATTAAGAATCTTATAAGATCAAATGACACAAATACACTATAAGTATTATTCTTTGGTTGAACAAGAATAACACCATTCTATACGACTGAGAAAATGTTAAACAGCTATGAAAAATGATCATCCAGAAGGTTTAGAATTAATTACTTTGGTTCAATGGGTAAGAGGTAGCACCCTGACACAAAGCCTTACCAGATTCCGTTGCCCTGACCAGCTCCTGAACCTCCTCAAACTTCTTCTTGAACTGTCTGGCCAGCTCCTCTGTCTGCAACACAAGACTCACTCACATGAGATGACGACATACACAGTCAATCCTAAACAAGAACCATCAGGAGATGACATTTCTTCTCCATTCTGGTGCAATTCAGAAATGGAGTTTGGCTACTTATACCCAACTTTTGGTACATTGCCATTGGTTACCTTCAGTTCTGTGAAGAAAAAATACATTGTTGTTCAGTATTTTTCAATATCCCAAATTATCAAAAGGCACCAGTTCACAACTATACTGGTCTGTAAAGCAAGTTCCATCTGGAAATATCCAACGGTTTGGGAGTTCTGCACCGGAAATGAGCACTATTCTCATTTTCAGTATAAGTCCAACTTGTTGTGAAAAACAAATAATTAAAGCTCCCAAATCATCAAACGGTACCAGTACACCACTAGACTGACCTGCATAGCAAGTTTCGACAAGAAATATTCAACGGTTTAGGAGTTCAGCTCAAGAAACGGAAAACTGATGGATGACGGACGGACAGACATGTTGATCGTTATATCTAATAGTTTTTTTCAAAAAGGGATGATAAACAATGGATGTACAAGAAATAATTATCTATAGTGCTTTACTTACAAACCCATCATTGTTTATTCTAGCAAGAGCCCAGGTTGTTTGTCAGACAGGATTTGTTTTCCATTACTTCAAAACATGCATTTCTTTACATTAATGGAGGAGCCAAACAATTTAATCCAACTTGTGCAGCATACAAATTTATTTTGTTGGTAAATCCTGAGGATAGATCATCCCTCCACCCCCAAAAGTTTGAATCCTTTCTTAACTGAAATGTAGATGCAAATTGACGTCTCAAATTGTAATGCTGCCCAAGACATGTCTGTTACTTCAGTGGTGACTGACCTTGAACCTTAGGGCAAACTGTTCAACCTTGGCCTCGTTCTCAGCATAGTCTTGAGCAGTCCAGCACCAGGCTGTCTCTGACGTTGACATGGGAGACAGGGTCATATTGCCAGCTATCAGATGATTACATGCTACTTTGTGTACTTGATCTCGCCTCATCAGCAATCGGTATTTATCTACAAGGACAGAAAGCAGAATGGAAAACATATATAAAGGTTTTATCATGTTATTGATCTAAAAACATTCTTCAGACAGAAGAACTGAACAACACATTTTCAAAGAGTCTACTGTTGTTTAATATTACAATACGGTTTTTGGACTAGTTTCAGTGCAACAGAAGACTAAACTTTGAACCCTGCCCTCATCATGCTTATGACAAGCATGTATATCATATCAAAAGGTTGTCTGTTGGTTGTTTCAAGCTATATGATGGTGGCCTGTAGGTAAGAGTCTAGATGAAATATGCCAATACCCGAGATGCCAGACTCACCATCTTGTTTGAGGATCTTCATGTCTCCCACAGCTCTCTCCTTCCATTGGTTGGAATCCCGCACATATCGGAACAGCTTCGATCTCTGGCAGTACACCACCTCCCAACCTTCTTCCCCTGCAAGGACATTTACATCCACATCACATATGCAGACAAACTTTGCCAACAACAAAACAATAACTCACAAAAAAGACATAATATGAACAGGAAAGCACAATTTGGCCTTGAACTCACCTGTTTTGACTTCAACTAGTTCTGGAAGGTCAATGATGGGCTTAAAGTCAATGTCATCACTCTGCACAACATCATCATCATCAACATTGGTCCTGTTGCCTCCTGGGGAAGTCCCAAAGATCTGCTGACCTGCTCCTGACCACTGGAATGGTCGGTTCTCATCTGCCAGAGAAAAACATAGAATGTCAGGCCAAGCGCTATGCTCAATAACCTGGGAAGGGACTTACTAAGGCTCCAAACAAAGGGTACCTGGCAAGCAAAATGGAGAAAGAACTTAGTTTGTTCAAAATTGTGATATTGTATTTAAGGTACCTTTCTCCTTCAATTTAAAGGTCTATTCACATTGAATATCAATATCAGATTCAGTACTGTGAACTAAGCATTAAGCCACTTCCTCTTTATTGATCCTATGAGTGAAATACACTTGACCAAGTGATCACATTAGAATCTAGATGCTACTATATATTATATCAATTAAGAGCATCCTAATTCCAATTTGGGAAATTTAGACATTTGCTTCAGACTTAGGGCAGAATAATGCTGGGAATTACATTTGTTTTTTTGGTTTGGTTTGTTGTTTAACGCCGCACTCAGCAATATTCACCCGATCCCTTTAGTCGCCTTTTACGACAAGCATAGTCACCTTTTACAGCAAGCATGGGTTGCTGAAGACCTATTCTACCCAGGAATCTTCGGACTTCAGCAGAATAATGCTGGGAATTACATTTGGGGTTGAAAAGGCTGCAAGCAATTCTAGGACTGATGATGGTAACTGTCTACTTGCCTTTCTTGAAAGCATAACCAACTGCATCTCCCTGTGCAGCTAGGGTAGAAAAGGACATCCCTGAAGCCTGGCCGAACATGCAGAACCCTTCACTGGCACCAGTACTGCTTGCAACACCTGATGGTCAATAAGTCATTAATGCAAACATCATCGCCTTTGGTGTTTAATGCTGCATTACGTAATATTGAGGCTACATGATGGTAGCCTGTAAAAAATCAAATGTGGGCCATGACAATCCAGTGATTGATATTGTGAGCAACAATCAATGCGGTTAACACAAAGTCAAAGAGTATGACCACCCAATCCGTTAAGTTGCCTCTTATGACCAGCATAGATTGCTGGGGAATTCTAACCAGGAGTCACCACAGGGATGTTTGTGAATTAAAGGAACATAAAATAGAAGCATGTAACATGGAAGCTCTTCCCTGTCACCATCCAATTACTCTCATTACTTACTGCCCTCAAATCCTATTTGGTATCAGTTTCACAACGGTTGGATATTCAGTGCTAGAATTAAACGGGGGCCCTGAGGTCTCTATATTGTTGTATTAACATGATGGTTATGACAAAGACCCACTGACTTGCATGCTTCTTAATTCTGACACTAATATTGATACCTCAACAAAGCTCCAGAGGACTATCAATACTGATTACTTCATGGAAGTGTAAATACTATAAACCAAAACCACTTACTACCAGCACTGCTTGAAACTTGAACTGACGCTCTTGTTGGTGCAGGACTTGTCTCCTCAGATTTTGCTGTAATGAAAAACGAACCTAAATAAACTTTGGAATAAAGAAATTAAATTACCAATGTGAGATTTCAGAAAAAAAGAAGCTAGCCTAATATTACACTTATTTTATATTCTTGTTAGAGAACCATAGTTTCGTCCTTTTAGACATAACCTCATGAAGACTGTTAATAAAACTCACATTTGGCTTTGACCTTGCTGGGCACGCTGACTTTACTGGGGTCATAGTCCTCACAGCCAATACAGCCTGGACAAGGGGGTTTGTTTTCATAGAGGTAGAAGGACTCGGGCAACAGGTACTTCCTGGCTCTGGCCTTCTGTTCCTCTGTAGCCTCCTCCACATACAGGAACTCCACACCTGAAGTGTCTAAGGGACACAGAACCAAGCGTCAGAAACAAGGAAGTAGAGCGGGCATCTCACGAGTAAAGTGCCTTTTAGAAATCAGTGGGTGAAATCAGTTTTTCAGAACTGTAGGGTCAAAAATGAAAGATGGTGGTTTTTTTCCTTTTTCACAAAAAGTCCAAAGGTTACTTCTCCTCCTATACAAACATACCTTGAAGTCTATTTCATGACTAAATTAGTTGGAAGTTGCTGTTTTTTCTGAATGTAACATTAACCAAAATAAAATAGCAACAATCCGTAATTACTTGTGACTATTCATAATCCAATAAACAATTTCACACAGTGCCACTTCTGGAGGGGCATATCTTAGAAAAGTAAAATGTGGAGGCGGATGCCACTACTTCGAAACATCACATTTAATATGTAGTATAGGTGAGCACCAGACCTACTGCCCTGGTTCCCACAGTGGGAACCACTACACCAACACCCGAGTAGTTTTCTACATGCAGCCGGGAAACTGCTCAGGGCTAGTGTATAGCACTAGTTATTATCAGATTCTAATCCCGTTGAGAAAAGATGCAAAAGTCCAAAAGCATAAATAATGATGCTTTGCTACATACACTGATCAAGCATTAAAAACACAATTCCAATAATCCCCATATTTCATGAACAGGGCTAAGTTTGTGCTCAAAAGTTGATATTGTCGTAATAACAATATTGTGTTTTTAATGCTGGCTAGAATGCTTCTACATCAGTAACACCATGAAACAACATTTCTATCAATAAAGGAACAGATCAACCTTTAACAAATCAAGGAAGGCAACAAAATTAAAGACAAGTAATAAGGTGACAAAGTAGACAAAAAAATAAAGGATAACAACTTCTTTATTATACTGGGATAGCAATGGTATAAATAGAGAATCTCACCCGAGTGTCTTTTGATATCAAAAGACACGAGGGTGAGATTTTATTTATCATCCAACATCATTCTTTCAACTTTTTCAATTTGTAGACAGTAATTAGCAGTGTCTTCAGTGTAAAAAGTACTGAAAACAGCTTCAGTAGCAGAGCCATTAGTGATGGCATTTGATTATGACGTCATGGTAACCAGTGACGTCACAATGGTCTGCAAAGCATTGTGATGTAATTTCATTGCAGCGATATCTACAGTGTAGATATCGCTTGATCTCATCCAAGCGATATCTCCTGTGGGAGCAAGTTTTGGATGATAAGTATCTTTACCGGAACTGCACTGTCTATTACAGTACAATAAAAGAGTTTTTATCCATAACAATGTTGCGTCAACTGTGTCATTCGTCAACTTCTGAGAAATGCCTATCAAACAATTGAAGCTATGAGGTATACAAAGAGATGCAAATTAATAGGGAAAGACATCAATGCTATGTTCTATTATCAGGCTATGGTCAGTAGCACAAAGACAGACAGGGAAGCATACAAGTACAGGGGCTGACACTTTCCATCTGGTTCAAGGAAGTACTTGCTCCACAAACAAGGTACAGATCAGAAAGTTAAAACTTCCAAAGGATATTTCAATTCCAGTGCTTACAACACAATGAACACCAACAACATCATCATGAACATTACAGATCTAAAGCGAGAAATATACCAAGTGAGATAATATTTATGGAACATTCTTGAGTTGGGTGTCGAAAATATACAAACTGTTCTTAATCAGAAACATTACAAATAAAATAGAAAATAAAAATCAGAAGAGGCCTAATAAGCGTTCAAGCTGTTCAAGCACAAATTATGTAAATGGAGAATAATTGACACATTTCACTTGAATTTGTAGTGGGTCACATTTTTGTCAAACTGAATTAAATGATATCTAAGTAACAAAATATGGTGAGTAAAACCAAAGTATGGGTGACTCATGGTTTATTGGCAGACATATTTACATAGTCCTGTTAGTATCACACACATTCTGTATTGTCAATAATGTATGTAAATGGAGAATAATTGCCCGATTTCTCTTGTATTTGTGTAGTGGGCTAATGTGGTAAGTACAAACAAGGTATGGGTTGCTGATAATTTATTGATAGTCCACATAAACATGGTCAAGTTAGTTTCATACCAACTCAGCTGATTGTGAAACTGACCAAAACTGAGTTGTTCATGCAGTTAATTCCTCTCTATATCACCACATAAAGAGCCAGTCCAACTTTCTCTAATAACAACAAATGCTTTTGAAAAAGACAAAGACAGCTTGCTGTCTCCAAACAATTTTCCCAGCTCAAGTTTTCCCATACAGTCATGCCCTGAATCTCAAGTCGGCAATGATAGTTGTCATGAATTAAGGGAGTCTTGACAATCTCATTAACTTGTTAGCCTTAAAATTGCCATGTAAACAATGGGAAATTCCAAAGATGTGAAGTCTTTCATTTCTACAGCAACTTTCCTGCATTCAAAGTGTTCTCAGACAATTACATTTACAAATAGACACTAGAATCTCGTCATACATGATGCCAAAGAACTGGGTATCCAATTTGTGTCACCTTTAACATGTTTAATATAAAATGTCAAGGCCAGAGAATAATTCCACAGAAACAGATTGCACTGGGTGCAAAAGGTCAAACAGCAGTGAAAATTACACTGATTTAGTACTGAAAATCAGTGACGACACCTGGAAGTGAACAACACTTGATGTATGTCTGAGATTTGAAGGACAAGATTGTTTGTTGTCTGTCATCACAACCTGTACCTAATCAAGTCAAGGCAGAACAATGCGCCAGTGACTGATATCATGAGCAACACTCAACACAGTCCGGGTATGATAACACACAATGAACCAAGTCACTGAGGTCAGGCGAATGTGACAACCATTATACGAATATGGATTCACTTTTTACCAAAATATTGAGATCATAAATTCATGATTACATGTCCTTTTCATCTATTGTTACTGCAATTGACATGGGATTAGCTTCAATGGCAGTCTGGCTAAATCAGGACAGGCCTTGAACCATACAATATTTCTGCAGATGTCTGTTCAAAGTCAGGTGTTCTGTTATAGGTTATTAGCAACAAACATTGATAAATATTTGAGTATACAGAGGAATACAGATTATGTCAAAAGTTTGATGTCTAAAACTGAAAACAGCACCAACCTTACACTGTTACAGTATGAATTACCCAGTATCAACTATAATATATCACAATGATACAACCTTCACTTAAGTGGAAGAAACTAATATCAAACTTTTGACGTAACCTGGAAGGATGCAAGTTTGTAAAGCAAACAATGAGTATGGAGGCGGTGTGGATACCAAGCTACAAGTGGAGGGGGATACTGGTCTCACCATTCAGCTTGGAGGAGTAGTAAGGGTTGCCAAGGTTACCAGTCCCCTGACTGCTAGAATATGTCATCTTTGGTTCATCTATCAACTCGTCCAGTTCAGAGCTATAATAAGGGTTGCCATCCTCCCCGGTGGCCTGACTGACTGTGATGGATGTGACAGTCTCCACAACCACTGAGCTGTCCAAGTGTTCTGTGTGGTAATGGTTGCCCTTGCCCCCAGTCCTCTGGGTGCTACTGCTCTGTATCACTGGCTCTACACCCGTCTGGTCAAGCTGGGATGAATAGTAAGGATTGCCTTCATCACATGTTTCTTCATAGCTGGCGCTAGACAGAAGGGACTCATCCACAAGTCTGTCCAGTTCAGAGCTGTAGTAGGGATTGCCCTCACCACCAGTACCATGTGCAACCTTGGTGGCTGACATGGATTCTATGACAGCAGCCTGTCCAAACTGTGCTGTATGATAAGGATTGCCTTTGTCTCCATTACCTTGTATATTTGCAGCTTCCATCTGGGGTTCTACACTTGCTTCCTCCAACTGAGCCTTGTAATATGGGTTGCCCTTGTTTCCAGTACCCTGAATGTCCATACTTGTCATCTGGGATTCAACTCCGGATTTTTCTAGATCAGCCTTATAATATGGATTGCCCTTGTCACCTTGACCTTGAATGTTCGAACTGGTCATCGAAGACTCCACACTGAACACATCTAGCCCAGATTTATAATATGGATTTCCCCTGTCACCAGTACCATGTACAGTTGTAGCTGCCATTTCTTCCACTATCTCAGAGTCATCAAGATGCTGTACATAATACGGGTTACCTCCATCACCTGTTCCTTGTACACTGGTGCTAGTCATAAAAGATTCTGCACTCGTTTTCTCAATGTCTGCTTTGTAATATGGGTTTCCTTTGTCCCCAATTCCTTGAACACTCGCAGAAGACATATGTTCCTCAACCCCAGATGTATCCAGTCTTTCCTTATAGTAAGGACTGCCCTCATCCCCTGTTGGCTGACTAGACCTACTGGTCTGTAAGGGCTCTATGCTTAGGTTCTCAAGCTCAGCTTTGTAATAAGGATTGCCACTATCACCAGAAACCTGCTTGGTTGAGCTTGTCATCAGAGCTTCAACTAAAGAGATCAGATGGAATCATTGCAGCAATAACCATATTAGCTTACCTGTACACATTAACCCTCTATACAATCAGGTTTCAAATACATCTTTAACTCTAAAAGATCTTAACGTCACAATGACATAATAATTACATATGGGTGGCATTTTATTTTCTGTAACTTTCTTACAGGTAAAATGGTTACGGGACACCACAATTTTTCATCAAAAGAAAGTTTAAGGAGAAGGTACTGATGATGAAAATCTCTTAATTGAGTCATTGTGGCCATGTGAAAACAAAGTCACATGACCAAGATGCTTTACAATCAGTCATCAAGTTCTCTAAAAATTAATGTCACACTTTAGACTATCTGTTTTCAATCAAAATGGGAATGAATGCCCTTGACCTTGAGTTAAGAAGGGTTCATGATGGATTTGCTGTGACATCAATTTGGAGGAATGCCTACCAATGGACCAAGTTGTGATCAATGTGACCTATGGTGACCTTCACCTATATCAGTAAATACATGAAAAAGAACAAAACTACCCAGGAATATATCGCAGTGAATCCATTGTAAACAAAGGTTGTAACAACAACAAATTCAAACAAAGCCAATTTCAGGAAAACACATCAAGTCGCCCTCATCCTACAGGACAATGTTATTACTTACATAACAGTAAATGATCACAGTAGACTCACCCTCAACCTGCTTGGCTGACACATCTTCTGTAGCAGCAGCAGAAGCACGTTTTTCACCACATTTGCCAGCATCAAACTCCTTCTTGAATTTGTCAGCTATCTCCTTGTTCTTAAACTTGATAGCCAGTTGTTCCACCTTGCCCTCCTCTTCTGAGAAGTCCTTAGCATACCAAACCCACGACTTCCCATCACCTGAGGCCATAGGCTTGAGTTCCAGCTCAGGGGTGATGACATGGTTGCAGCAGACTTTGTAGATCTGTTCTCGCCTCATCAGCAATCGGTAGCGGTGAGAGGATTTGTGTTCCAGGATCTTCATTGTGCCAAGACCCCTCTCCTTCCACTCACCCTCACTGAACCTGAGAATATAAAGAAACATCAAGTGTATGATAGCTTCATACCATACCATAGCTTCTTGAATTGTGTGAACATTCATGAATGACCTTGAGAATGACTTGATCTGCAGCATAAGCCGTACATCTGACCCAGGCAGCGACAGATGATAAATCTGAGACATGAAACCTTTCTGAACAAAATGCGTCATGGGGGGTACATTCAAACCAAGCCCTTAAGCAGTGGTCTGTACATGTATACTTGATTATAGAGTATGCAAAAGTTTAAGCCATCATACAAAACTTCTTCAACAGGCCAACAATGCCATGGAGCATGATACAACATATAGTAAGTTGAAGATAATAATCTAATAATTCCCAATTCCTGGTTGAAGTTTGGTCTGTTGCCAACTCAGCAATATTCCAGCTATATGAAGGCAGCCAGTTAATAAACAAGTCTGGACAAGACAACCCAGTGATTGATATTGTGGATAACACTGTGATGGTACCATGACACACAATCACCCAAGTCACCGAGTCAGATCCAAAATAGGTTGCTTCCAAAATAGAACTTGTTCTAACCAGAACTCCCCACAGGGTTGAAGTTACTACAGATCAACATACCTGAAGAGCTTTGCCCTCTGTTCAAAACGGGTTATTTCCTCCTCTTCCCCAGTCTTCACATCAACTTTGTCAGGTAAAGACACAATAGGTTCAAAATAGATGTGAGAGTCCTCTCCATCCTTATTGACATAGTAGTCCCCTTCTGGAGATTTGGGGGACGTCACAGAGGCCTTGGCTTGAGGAGTCTTTGATGGGGTAAGGCTGAAGGTGAACTGAAATGGGGAGCTGCTTTCTTTCTTTTCTTGGCTCTTCACTGGAGTTGAGACCTTTCCAAGATTAAACTGGAAGCCTCCAGATCCATCCTTCTTGGCAGAATCAGCTGCGGAAGCAAAGTTGAATCCTGATGATTTGGGAGCAAAACCAAACCCAGATGTAGCTGCTGGAGGTGCTCCAGTTGTTGTGGGCTGAGGATCATTAGACTGCAGCATCTCAGCCAAGAGGCCTCCAGTGGTAGAATCAGCTGGCTCACTTTTAGCTGGGGTTGCTGGAGTGGACGGCTTGGGTGAGAAACTGAATCCATCAATACCAACACCATCCAACTTGAATCCACCTCCTCCAAGACTAAATCCTCCGGGTCCTATCGTGGATGCATCTGACTTCAGGATGTTTTTAGCAGCCTCTCTACCTGAATCAACTGCAGTTTCCTTTGGAGAGTCTTTAGCACTTTGTGTTGGCTTTGTAGAAAATGAAAATCCACCACCAGACGTTGCAGAGCCCAAACCAAATCCTCCGCCTTCTTGCTTCTTCCCAAAACCGAAGCCTCCTCCTCCTGCTCCCCCACCAATCTGGAATCCTCCTTCACCAATCTGAAAGCCTCCACTGGAAATACCTGGTGCAGGTTTGGTTGTTTCAGCTTTCTTAACTTCCTCTTCGGCGCCTGGCTTGATTGTGTTACATGCTGGACATTTCAGTTGCTCACCCTTGTTCACACAGTAGCATCCCTCACATTCCCAGCTTCCAGTTTTAGGTTTGAACATGTCTGCTAATGACTTCTTTCCTTTAGGATCCTCTTTTTTCTCAGCTACTTCACTGCTTCCAATAGCTTCTGGTACTGGTTTCACTGGTGAGTCTTCCATCATATCCTGGGATTTCTCAAAACATTCTTTGAACTGACCAGCCAATTCTGGAGTCTTAAACTTGATGGCCAACTTTTCCATTTTCATTTCCTCCTCTGAAAAATCCATAGCAGACCAACACCAAGCTCTGTCAGAGCTGGTCATTGGTGTCAGTTTCATGTCTTTGGTTATGTTGTGATTAGCACAAATCTTCAAAACTTGCTCACGTCTCATCAGAATTCGGTAACGTTTGGCAGCCTTATTGAACAGAATCTTCACCTCACCGATGCCCCTTTCCTTCCACTGATTGGTATCAGCATCAAACCTAAACAGCCTGGCCCTCTCCCCGAATACCTTCTCTTCATCCTCCTCCCCCGTCTTCATCTCCACTAAGTCTGGCAGATCAATAACAGGCTTGAAGTCAACATTGGGTTCATATTCCTCAACCTTATCCTCCTCATCTCCCTTACCTGGGGTTGTCAGAAACGAGTGCTGACCTGTCTTTAATCCAGAGAATCCTGTTGCTGAAGTGTTGGCAGCAATGTTGGAAAAACTGGGCATGGGGCTTCCAGTGTTTTGTCCAAGAGTAAAAGCAGAGCTAACTGTTGAAGCAGATGAGGGCCCATCTCCCGTTCCTCTCTTCATAGCATCAGCTACAACTGGTGCTTGTGGAGTTATGGGTTTGGTTGGTGTAAAGGTAAATCCAGCAAAAGGCTTGGGTTGATTTGCTGCAGGCGTTTCGCTTCCAGGACTTGTTACCTTGAGTGAACTTTCCTTCAGTTTGACTGTTGGTGATGTTTTCGACTTGTCTTCCTGAGGTTTGATCATTGGGGTAGTATTGAATGTGAATCCACCCAAAGATGGCTTAGGTGTTTCGCCAGATTGGACAGTCTTCTCCTCTCCTTGTTTGGCAGACAGGGCTGCAAGGGCAGCTGATGCAGGCATTCCTGACTGAGCCTGGCCAAACACTGCAGGTGAAGATCCTGTAGGGGTCTGTGTTGTGGTTGGTTTAAAGGCCTGAGAGCCTGCGATGGTGAATGGCGATGAAGTTGCCACAGCTGGTTTTGGAGTTGAAGCTTCAGATTTCTTCCCTGCTTCCTGGATTCTCTGAATGACTGACTTCAATTTCTGAGCTAGTTCAGCATTTTCAAAGTTTAAGTTCACAGTCTCCTCTCCCTTCCCATCATGCTGGGGTCTCTTCCATGTGACCAGCTGCGGGGTGAAGGCTGCCACCAGCTTCAGTGTATTAATGTCATGGTTGAGGATTATCTGATTCGTTGATAGAGTCTCCATCCTAACCCGGCCACCCTTCTCAGCACCAAAAAAGAACACTTTGACATTACCTTCCTGCTTGGAACCAATCTTCGATGTGTAGGTTGCTTTTCCTTGGAAAATACAAACAACTTCCGCAGTAGACGCACTGGGGGAAGTAGTGGATGTCACAGCCCTGTTAACAAGATTCTGAGCCTGCACCTGTGGCATCTGACCAAAAGGTTGAGGTTGAGCAGGGACAGCCTGGGGACTTGTCGCCTTGGTCAGAGGGGTTGAAGCAGTCTTAACACCAGCTCCAAAATTTCCTGATGTGAAAATTGGCTTCTGAGCCATCTGTGATGCAAGGGTTGTGGCAGGTTGAGGCTGAGGCTGAGGCTGAGGCTGAGGCTGAGGCTGATGCTGATGCTGAGGCTGATGCTGATGCTGAGGCTGATGCTGAGGCTGATGCTGAGGCTGCTGCTGATGCTGAGGCTGCTGCTGATGCTGAGGCTGATGCTGATGCTGAGGCTGGGCTGCTGGCTGACCCAGGTACTGAGGAATAGCCTGAGCAGCAGGACTTGGTGCTCCTGATGGAATCTGTGCATGTATTGCTCCCATGTTATGAGGAGAATCCTTGCCTATGATGGCAGCATAAAGGGAGGGGGTCTGGTTTATTGCTGATGCTGTCGTAAGGCCATGGGGTGAGGAAAAGTATCCTGGACCGGGCATTGATGTAGCAATGTTAGACTGACCATACTGTATTGACTGTCCCCTCAGAGAAGAGGCAAAGAAGCCACTTTGTGGCATCTGAGGTCTGTTCTGGGGAGCATAAGTTACCGTTGAGCTTCCCTCAATGCCTGCCCTGTTTCCATATGGCCATTCAAGGTGTGAGTCTGGTACATAGTATTGCCCATGAGGGTGGGCTAAACTTTCCTCAAAGAACTCTCCATCAATGAAGTAAGGATTCTCATCATCATCATCCCCTTCAACAACATTGGACTCATCCTTGCCCATGAAGCCAGTGTGTCCCATGAGGTTGGTCCTACTACGTGAACGAGGAGATGGAGGTCTGTAGCCAGGTAAGCCTGCTGGACTAGGCATCTGGTATCCAAACTGAGCAGGAGCCATTCCCTGAGGAGGGGGGTAAGGTGGATGGTAGGGTGAGGCCATGTGAGGTCCAGGTGTAGACAGACTGGAGTAGTTGTACTTCTGGCTCAAGTTAAGTTGGGACTGAAAACAAGAATTGTTCTTTGCTGAAAAAACATGACGCATAGGAGGCCGATATAGAAAAATTATGAGAAGTATTTCAGTCTAGTTTGTTTGTTCCTTTACGCCACACTCAGCAATATTCCAGCTATATAATGGTAACCTGTAAATAATCGCTTCTGAATCAGACAATCCAGTGACCAATATTGTGAGCAACAATCCATGCACACAAACAACTGAGTCACCTAATTTGACCACCCAAGTCAACCAGCATTGGTTGCTGGAGACCTTTTCTAACCTGGGATCCCCATGGGTATTCATTCTAGCAAAAACATCATCTGAGCAGTAAATATCCCCAAGGTTCAGAGAGTGACTGACCAGGTGTTAGCCTGCCTCAGCAAGGTAAACCAGTAGTGAAGATCATGAGCAACATTCTACATCACTAGTGCATGACTACACAAGAAGCACAGGATACTGCTTACCTATAATACTTGTTAGCAAAGCATTATGTCTTAAGTCCCTCTTAAGTGGACAGTGAGAGAGACATTGTGAGACATTACATACAAATAAACACGAAACTTTTAAAACATGTGATATGTTGTAACAATAAGTCAAAGTGCCACACCAAATGACGGGGAATTATCCCAACACAACTGTAAGCTTCACCTTAAGCTGTGTGATGACTTCTCTGTTCTCCCTCAGGGCCTCCACAAGCTGACTGTTGAACTTGACCAGCTCCTCATTGCGGGCAAGCACCATCTTGACCAAGGACTCTTGGGAGTAGGCCAGGGAACGGATCTTGGCATCCATGTGCTCTGGGCTTGGTCTGATGTGTCGGCCAGCCTGTCAAAGAGTACGTAACATTGTACATTATTAACTCATCAACTGAATTTCCAAGTGAAAAAAACCACTGATACAGACCAACTTTCAAGATCAAGATTGAAAGTCATGACGTTAAAACGAAAAAAATTGGGGTCCCTAAATTCAATCATAGAGGAGTAAACTGTAAGAACTATTTGGTTGCTAAAACAGGTCATGTAGATTTCTTCATCTTTCATTTGACTTTTCATATAATATTTAGTAGAAGATCACCACTGTTTCAGTCCGAATATTATTTGTGACTTACATCAGATGTATTGAAGCTGACTTGAGCTGCTGGAGACTTGGTCCTGGACTTGTCCCTTGGTGTACTGTGGTCTGGGGACGACACGTCTCCATCCATCTGGATGGCTGTTGGAGTGTGGTACTGACTTGGCTCTTCATCATCATCCCACTCTGTCAAACAACAGGACAGGGGTGAACACTTCCTCTAAATTGACAAACTGCTGCAAGGACCATATTAAAATCTAACTCTCAACTGTGGTCAATAGATCTGTGATATGTTGGGGATGAAGGTGAATTTTTTGGGACAAGGCGGAAAAGTCCCGAGTCTGATTCCTATTTGGTGTCTCCTGCCTTGACACTGCAGATATTGCTTGAAAGCGGTGCAAAAAACCCACCCACCTATTTTTATACTTCTAGAAGACTGAATGATATGTTATGACAGTGAAAGCAAATTGAAGCCATATCATTAATAATCACGTCTTAGCAAGTCAGACCAGTGATTGACAGCCAGGGATTCACATGGGTCTATATAGTTTCAAATCCATGAACTCAGTCACAATTTTGGGGTATGAACATGAGGGGCCCAGGCTGGTTTTACATTATTTCCAAGAACTTAAATTTTTCAGTCATGTAGCATATGGAGTCTATAGTTCTGGTTAGTTTTATGATTCAAATAGCCAAACTGATTTGCGACTCACATGACTCACAATGTAAAGTACTAGTGTCCATGCACAATTTGTACGAGTGTAGAATGCAATATCTTTGTGTCCAATAAAACCCTGGACAGTACAAGTAAAAATCTATGCTCTGAGGTACAGTGACACAGAAACAGCTAACTCTCACACTGTAACCATAAACAACACAAGTAACAATCTATACCTTTGAGGTACAGTGACAGAAACAGCTAACTCTCACACTGTAACCATAAACAACACAGGTAACAATCTATACCTTTGAGGTACAGTGACACAGAAACAGTTAATTTTCACACTGTCACAATAAACAGCACAAGTAACAATTGCACAGGAATTCAGAATTTTAAACAGCATAATTGTTTTTTAGCTGTCATGTTCACTTACCTGCCACACTCATCAGCTGAGACTCAATCTCATCGTAATGTTGCTGCACCGACTTGTTCAATTCCTTGAAAACAATCAACATACAATCAACATTATTCATACTTGTACTTTCATAGTCATGACACTATCTGAACAAACAATGTTACATCCAAAAAGAAACAAACTGCAACTGTGCAACATGGTTACATCTCTGACCATAAATACTTCCTGTGTTTCTACAGCAAACTGTGCACAATGTGATATACCATATTCGACGTAATAAGCGCACCGCTCTGATCAGCGCCCACGGCGATAATTGCTAATATATTGGTTAGTGAACAATCCCAATTAGCACCCCTTCCGATTGATCAATGTACACAAGACTTATATATATTCGCGTATAATACGCACTCGTGCATTATATGCACCCTTAATTATGGGCAATTAAATTCTGGAAAAATATATGTCGTACATTAACATTTCAGGCTGTCTGCATAAACAACGAAATTTATCTTTCAACTGTTTTTTTTTCACCAAAATTTCCATATTTTCTCATATGAAATAGTCAATTTTATAAATAACATCCTGTATAAACTTTCAGACAAAGTACATTTCTTTTTGTTCAGAAACTAACATTCTAATACAGAAAACAAAATAAGTATCTAATGACATGCATTGTAACTTCATGGCAATGCTTATTTGAAGACGATTTAATTGCTCCCTCTTTCTTAGCATCACATGATATGACTTGGTACTGACCATTTAGCGAAACATACAGTGGTCTTGGAACTTACATTCCAGCTGGTATTAGTGGTATCATTAATCAAAATAAGATCAATGTCATATGTACATATTCTAAAAAGATACATGGCAGTTCAGTATATATGAAATTGACAGTCAGGGCTCGATTTAACCATATAAAACATGGACTTAGTACATCCTGATATAAATGCAACCTATTATCTTTTTCTATATGTACCTGGTCCACGTCTAAATTTTATTAAAAAATAATAATGCAGTGACAGCTGCAGTGGCTTTGTTTGTGGAGAGAATGTCAGATTTGGCTTCAAGTACTACCAGTAATGTTGGTGCCCGGGATGACATTTTCAGAATTACATCTGCCACAAGTGTAGGAAATACCACTGCCAGTATAGTTCATGGGTACCGATATGAGAGCAACCTGATTTAGACTGGTGCATCTACTGGTACTGGTCAACATGTTCAAATCTATAGGTAGTTCCTTAAATCGAGCCCTGTAAGTTGCTAGCTCCCTAACTGTTTTCCAGTCGCGAATATTCAATCAGCACTGATCAGTGCACACTCACATGTTTCTTATCTCCTTGCAGAAGATCAAAAGTACGATAGATGGCATCCCGAGCTTTTGTTAAGAGAATCTGGTGTTGTTCTCTTCCAACAGGAGCATCCCGAGATCGCTCCTGCTCTGCTAGAACCTTGTATATCTAGAACAGCAGAACATCAGCATACAGTCTTACCATAACCTCCAGCTATCAACACTAAGATTACAGCATCGACGTTGGTACACTTGGTATTTCATAAGCAATACCTTCTGCCCCAATGCACAGAAGGACTACATGCAGTGTTCCACATTAAGCACAACGTCAAGCGTCCTAGTCATTGCCCTTATGCTCAAGATGTAGGGTACCAAGATTCAAATCATTGAGAAGAAAACCTCAAGGAACCGAAATTAATTGCAAATACTGATGCAGAATTTATGGATCATAACTGATGCAAAACAATTATTTTGTGTCTGTCACAGTGTGTGTGTGTGTGTGTGTGTGTGTGTGTGTGTGTGTGTGTGTGTGTGTGTGTGTGTGTGTGTGTGTGTGTGTGTGTGTGTGTGTTTGTGTGTGTGTGTGTGTGTGTGTGTGTGTGTGTACGTGCATACGTGCGTGTCTGTGTCAATCCTGACCAACCGCTCCATTAACGTGCCTCTTACAACCAAAATTGCTAACTGAGACAATTCTAAGCTGGGGTTCCTGCTTCTTGAATCACTGCATGCTTTCAACCCCATATTCCCTAGCCATTGAGGCTAAATATGTTGTCATTGGATGTTACATACACAGCCTTAGTGTACTGACGCATGACAAATCGCATCATAATTGTACATCTCTGTATTCTGACTAATCTAAATAAATCAATAAATCTATCCATTCACTGTATACACAACACAACATTTCACACACCTCTAGGAACACTTACAGCGTCCTTTCACACATCAATAATCATTTGTGTTCATTGATCATAAAATTACTTACCTTTGCCGAGTTGAGTGAAGCATATGGCGTGTGTAGTTTGTCAAATATATTGATAGCATCCTCGTACTTGTTTTTCTTCATGGCTGCACAGCCAACAGCGTACTGGACCTCGGAGGTGAGCGCTTTAATGGTGGCCTCGTCCAGGTCCTGGTCAGTGTCATCCTTGAACAGTCGGTGCTTCGGCACAGGGGGATTCCGGTTCCTGGCAACATGCATCACATGCAAAATCATTGCATATAAATTCATCGTGTTGTATTGCATCGATCAACGCAATTGGGATAAGATGACATGCATCAACCAAGTCAACGAGCCTGACCACCTGATCCCGTTAGTCGCCTCTTACGACAAGCATAGTCACCTTTTACGGCAAGCATGGGTTGCTGAAGACTTATTCTACCCTGGACCTTCACGGGTCACTCAGGGTTCGCGAGACACGACCTATTAAGTAAGGGTTTCATGCATCATATCTGAGTTAACAATATGCCATGGACCACATGCAAGACTTATAATTAATCACCAGCCCTTACTTATCAAGTCGGTTCAACATTTCCAGGGCCTGCTCCCAGTAAAACTCTGCTCTGGTCTCAGTGTCGGTAACATTCACTGTGAACTGTAGCCCCAATTGTTTCATCTCAGAGGCCTTCACCTCCAGTGACCTGGCTATGTGGATGATGAGGTTGACAGACACCCCGTGACCCGCGACGAGGCGGACAGTCTCTATCCCCCGCTGCAGGGTGTGGCGCATCTTGGAAAAGTTGTCCCTAAGTACAAATAAGATACAAATCATCAAATGTGCCGACTCTTGCACATGATACATCAACGATGAATCTAGGATAGCAACTAAGGGGATGATGGGGGAAGAGATTGAGATTATGCATTACGTTTTTCACAAAATGGTACCAGTGTAGAATTTTACAGGACATCTCTGGCATTTCAATAAAAGCAAATTCATTATTCTATCATAAAACTTGATACTTATTCATGTTTTTTTGTTGGTTTGTTTCTTTGTTGTTTAACACCGCACTCAGCAATATTGCAGCTATATGACCGCCGTCTGTAAATAATCGAGTCTGGACCAGACAATCCTGTGATTGACATCATTAGCTTATCCATGGTTATCAGTGCTACATAAAATCCAACTTTCTTCCCTTAGATTTCTCACGTATGCAACAAGAAATGAGCAATGTATGTACTTTATGGCATGGTGAATATTTTGTTCACCTCTGACAAATATTTCTGGTGTACTTGTTGATAATGAATCTCAAAATTGAAAACATTTATTACATCAATGTGGTGCTGAATGCCGCTATACGACAGTGACCTGTAAATAATCAGGTCAAGAAGAGAAAAAAACATAACTAAAATCATAAGCACCGTTCATGGTCAGGCTACATGCAATCAACCAACATCAGGTCCATTAGGTTGCTTGAGACCTGTTTTAAACTGGAATCCACACAAGGCTATTGACAAAATGAACATACCATATTCTTCGTAATAAGCGCCCCGATCCAATAAGCGCCCACTGCGATATTTGCTAATATATTGGCAAGTGAACAATCCCAATTAGCACTCCTTCTGATTGATCAATGTACACAAGACTTATTTATTTGTGTATAATACGCACTCGTGTGTTATATGCACCCTTAATTATGGGCAATTAAATGTATCTATCAACTCTGTTTTTTTCCACCAAAATAATATTCCAATAAGAGCCCCCTATTACTAATTTTGAGAGCTTATTACATCGAATACGGTAGTTGTGGGAAAAAGTGAGACTAGGTTGTGTAATAGGACAGTAAACTTCTTGAAACCTACTTGACTGTGTTAGTGTGGAATTTGTAAGCTGCCAGCCACCAGTCTGCCTGCTCCTGTGTACACAGTGGTTTCGTCAGACTCAGGGGTAGAAAGTCTGGCTGCGTGGGATCACTGTGACCCATGTGAATCATCTCCTGGTGCCTCAATGCTGCACAGCGAACCGACGCAATGAGAAACACATCTGTGTCCAGCTGACACAAAGACTCCGCACCACCAACTGACATGTTTTTCACACTGTAAACCAAACCCTCAAAGATGTCGAAGCCGTAGTAAGGCTGAGCCTTGTCTTTACAGGAGTACCGTTGAAGACCCAGCCATATGAAGTTGGTCAGACTGTGGGGATGGAGTCTGTAGCAACCCGAGTCGAAGGTTCGCATCTGGCGCCGGGAAGGAAACAGGAGTATGTTGTCCGTGAAGGTCCGATTCTTCATCAGGTAGGAACTGTCTTTCTTTGCTCTCATGTCTGGCAGAGTGAAGACGATGTCGTACAGCTTTTCTCGGCCTTGTTGTGTGCAGTATTGCTGTCTCAGTTTCTGTGTCCATGTTGCTGTGTCTCCCTTGCCCAGTGCTTGTAGAGTGTGGCCTGTGGAAGTAGTTGTAACATGAGGCTCCTGTATCTCATGTGAATGCAGCATGGAGAAATTCAAATGTCAACTGTTCTAGTGAGTGAGTTGATTTTAACGCTGCTTTTAACAGTATTCTAATTATATCATGGCGTGTCAGCTTAATGTGGGAGGAAAGCCCGAAGTGATGCAGGTCTCAGACGTTTACCACTTCGGTGAAACCCACGAGCATGGGTATGGTGCTGACTAACCTAGAAACATAATCAGGGCAAACCGGGATTCGAACCCATAATAATAGGTTTCTGGCGTGCCCAAGGGACGCAACTCTGCACAGCGAAACGCGGCGCCTTAGATGACTGGGCCACCCGTGCCCCCGTCAACTGTTCTAAACAGTGAACTCAAAATAAACCATCCTGTTTACTATTGCATTGCCTTACAATCCCTTTCAAATACCCCCCTTATCTCCACCATCTAGCAATAGAAAACCAGCTTTTTTTCAGATTAATATGTTTGGATGTAGACATGCACAAGCCCACTTGTCCCAGTAGATTGTCTAATGTTACAGCTATCCTGAGGGCTGGTAGATTTAGGGAATGGACCTATCACTATGCGGGATAGTATGTGTTTCAGGTTACCTTGTACCCCTGTTATAGCAATAGAATATAGAGTTAGAGTTAACAATTGATCTCACAATAATTTGGCATGAGGTTAACACAGTGAAAGCTTATTCCAAAAAGAACCAACACTGACATGTTCGTTTTAATCTTTCAAACCACTAAGTTTATGAATCATGTCTTATCATAATATACACTCCAGATAAACATAGGTATGTCATGCTTTTCACAACATCATACTTAGACAAAGTGTCCAGATACTGTTTACTCATCCTTGTCCCTGAGACTGTGATAATTGACTAATTCCCTCACCTCCCTGGCTGCGTCGGAAGTTGCTGATCATGTGCAGATGTTCATACATGCTCTTCTTGTCCTTGCTTGCTGACACAAACCACTCGGACCGCGAGTCTATTGTGATGATGGAGTTGTTGAGAAGATAGCACACGGAGGCCAGGGGGATCACATCCTTCCACGACAGCCCACCCTGACATACAAGCATCTGATGAGGAGGTGCCATTAACACCATTATTTCCTTTAGACAAGTCAATTTCAAGAATGCAAGTACCAATACCAAGTAACTCTTCCTTCGAGCCAAAAACCCATACCATTTGTATATCATCTTTGGGGAAATGAGACAAGTGTAAAATGTTTGACAGTTGCAAATTAAATGTAATAGTTACATAAGCTGTCAGATCAAGAGATCCAAATGCTCATAAAATTCAGGTAATAATAATGTCTCTTTGCAATATCAATGCAGAGAAAATAAAGATGAGAAAGTGATTAATGACACACAAAATTGAAGAAAGACAGCTACACTGGCAGCAACATCATCACTTTCATAGAATCGTCACAATGATGCATAACCGCTTGCTACCACTAACAGTCACATTACAAACACAGGGCCACAGTTGCCAAGTGGTGTCTCAGCTAAACACTCAAGACAAGAAAAAACAAAAAGCAGTAAGATTAAAAGATGTCAAAAGCAATGTGAAAGTGTAAGCCTTAAAGTACACTGAGCAATAATCCTACAGGGATGCAATGAACACTGGCATGGAACATACAGATGCTCATTTCCAGGCCTGTACAAACACTGACAGGGATTTATGATTTGACTCAAATGAAGAGACAAGTTACCTTTTGGGCTCTCTTCAGCAGCAGCGTGCCGCAGGAGAAGAAGAACTGGCCGGTCATCTCAGTTAGGAATGACATCCAGTCGTCCTCCTGCTGTTTTGGAATCTGTACAGCTTCTTGAAGCACCTGGTCAAACCTGGACACACGCAACAAATCTTACTCCATGGTCCTACACAGTCTAGGCCTTTTTACCACCCAGGGATTTATCAAGGATTCCAAACTAAGAGCCTTTGGGTAAACAAATTGTGGAGAAAATGATATTTTGTTCAAAATTGGGATTGGGATTAGCATAGTTCCTATTTCTTCAAGCATAATAAGAGAGGAACTGGATGATACACTAACAATATTAAGCTTCCATGGCACACATTAAGCTTCATGGCACAGAGGGTACTGCTCTTGTATCTAGTCAAATATACATGACAGGGCTGTAACTTACTGGTGAAGAACCTCAGCACAATCAGCAGGTTCCCTGTAACATAGACGCAGGTACACGACATTCCTCAAAGTGTGCAGGAACTGGGTGTAGAATCGTAGGTCTCCACGGCAGCCAGTCTTCCCTTTGTAGGCCTAGAAGATGGAGAAGATACATGATTATGCACCATTTATAACAAAATTATTTCCAAAAAAGCAAGTAGTCTAAAATTGGCATTAGTCCGGGCCCGTTCAAGCAGAAAGAGACACAGAGACACAGAAAGACCGACAGACACGGTGAGTCAGCTTGGTGAGAGAGGAAATCCTGGAGATGGAGATCTCAGATATTCACTACTTAGTTGAAACCCACAAGGACAAGTATGGTGTTGACAAACCCAGAAATATAATCGGGGGCGAACCAGGATTCAAACCACAATCATAGGTTTCTCGTGTGCCCAAGGCATACATCTCTGCACAGAGAAGTGCATGCGGTGCGTTGGAAGGCTGGGCCCCCCTAAGGCCAAATAGTGTAAGCATGTTTCCCATTGCTGATGACCAAGCTACATTAGTAAAGACAAGAACAGAGGTGCTGCCAAACATTTAGTTTCAGAACAGAACAAATGCCTTATATGCTTGTGTCAAGTGCCCCAGTACTTACATAGTAGACATCAAGGAGAGTTTCATACCACTCCAGGCTGTCTGTGAAAGCCATGGTGCGGTCAGTCTGCACAGCCACATTGTAAGCATGGTCAAGCTTCCCCGACTTCAGGTACAAGCGTAGCAGCTTCACTCGTAGGCTTACATCTTCTGGTCGTTGTGTCTGCAACAATAAATATGACTCTAGTACTCCTTGACACAACAACATGCAAGGACGATTTTCTACAGGTAAACATTTGATGTAAATCAAAGACAGCAACATTTAACCTTTGAGCACATTATTCCTTTTAAGTTCTCCAAACATTAGTTTTCCCAACCACTGCAAAATTGGACATTTTGTACAAGACTTTTTGGAGATGCTTAATTAGTTACCATCACTTGTTTGAGTTTGTTTATCTGACTGGATAGTTGCCGTCTCAAAACCTCAACAAATTGTTATGGCAGTGTTGATGTCATCAAGTCAGCTCACACAATTCAGACTGAGTGCCTGCTGGCTGTCACAGGACCAAAACAATACTGTCACTGACAAAATATTTCACTTTAAGTATATCAGATCAGCTTCATTTTTTGCAATGTCCATTCAGCTGGTATAAGTATGTGCATCCCACTACTGACACATCGACTCAAGAGAAGATGGAATGGTTTCAACGCTGGAAATTATATAGTTCATATGAGTGAGTGAGTGAGTTATATCACGGCGTGTCAGCTTAATGTGGGAGGAAAGCCCGAAGGGATGCAGGTCTCAGACGTTTACCACTTCGGTGAAACCCACGAGCATGGGTACGGTGCTGACAAACCTAAAAACACATGGGGCGAACCGGATTCGAACCCACAATCATAGGTTTCTTGCGTGCCCAAGGGGCGCAACTCTGCACAGTGAATCGCGGCGCCTTAGACGACTGGGCCACCCGTGCCCCCTAGTTCATATGAATGTACATGGACACTTACCAATTCTGATGTGATGAGGTTTTCTAGTTCCTGGAAGTCTTCATCACCACTGTTCTGGGCTATCATCTCCTGCACAAGAACATGACATTATAACTATGGGCAAAAGTTATGTTTACATGCAAGCCCTATGAATAGATCTTGAAATGACACAAAATACATAGCACCCAATTATTATTGCTAATATTTGTTTTGTTGTGTTTGTTTGGTCACAAATCAGGTGAAGCTAGGCAACGACAGCTGCTTAGAGTCCTTGAATGGGTATTTAGAGCGTCTGGGGCTTCGGTCCTGTCATACACTGAAGCACATTTAACATATGTGGTGTCTCCATGGGCAAGGGACCTTGTCTAAAATATGCCTGTTCTCCCAGCAGTGAATGGGTACACAGTAAGATGAGATGGCAATGTGGTTGTTTTATCTTGTATAGAAGTTGTAAGGTTATACACAGAAGGTATTGAAAGTTTTAGTGCCATGTGTACCACATTTTTTGTTCTTGGTTGCATGTTAAAAGTAACATTGCTTGGAGGTTATATTCAATTTTTTGTTTCATGATTAGTAATCTCATATATGTTTCGAGGAAAATACTAAAGGAAGCGCCATTCATTGGCTTTCCAGAGACCCAAGAGCAATACAGTCTTTTCACAAATGTCTTCAGCATTATGTGTGCTACCCTTGAGTGATTGAGTGAGTATGGTTTTACGCCGCTTTTAGCAATATCCCAGCAATATCACGACGGGGAACACCAAAAATGGGCGTTACACATTGTAACTAAGGCACAAGCCTATTTTGCAGCGGTGATGTCTCGCAAGGGGTGCCTTAACTTTTGTGGCGTTGGTACCAGCAAACGATAAGAGGATTCAAACATGGTCAAGAAGTGGATTTAGAACACTTTGAGATTCTCCGGCACACACCAATTTCATTGCAACGCCTCAGTTCTGATGGCATTGTCACAAGCAAACTATTTAAGGATTTGAATGTAGACAGATACTTTTGCGTACATTTCACTTGGAGCCCGACATTGCTGTTTGCAGCGATATTTATAGTTATTTTTATTATTCAACTGCGGACTAAGCAATATTCCAGCTATATAACAGTGGGCTGTAAAATAATGACAGCAACAATCCACATTGCCGGGGTACAGTGACACACAAGGCACCGATTGTAACCAAACGACCCATTAAAGTTGCCTCTGATTAACAGATGTTTGCTAATAAACAAAGATGATAAGAAATAGGTTTGAAGAGCTAGACTCAGGCTCTGAACTGGTGGCAAAAGTGGCTATTGATGTCCTCACTCACCCTCAGTCTGAAGATAACATCATTCCCAGGGCAGGTTAGCTCCGCCTTCTCCAGCCAGAACTACAGCGAACAAAAGCAAGAAATAACACAGGTGAACTCTGATGACGATCCACAACTTTCCACAGCTCTTACAGGTTTCAGAATACTACAGTTTCCAGGACGTTGACTGTCATCAAAACTGTCATGAAGAATTTTCAAAATCTTAATGTAGAAAGAGGAATGTCCCATCCAATGTTTAATAATGAAAACGTCCTAATGCTGTTTGTCTCGTAAAGTCACTGTTCCCATAGAAATGTACTCTGGATACCCCAATGTCTTAAATAGTTGGGTTAACTGGTTAATGAGGAAGATCCATATTATATTAAGTGGGATATTTCATGAGTGAGTGAGTGAGTTTGGTTTTACGCCGCTTTTAGCAATATTCCAGCAATATCACAGCAGGGGACACCAGAAATGGGCTTCACACATTGTACCCATGTCGGGAATCGAACATGGTCTTCGGCGTGACGAGCGAACACTTTATCCACTAGGCTACCCGACCGCCCCGGGATATTTCATGAATGCCAGCTATAGAGTTACACATACATGTCCATGTATTCATTAAATAAAATTTTAACTCACTCTAGCTCGTTCAGGATCCATTGGCACCTGCGTACACAGCTCACAAACTGAAACATAAATAATAAAAAACATCAAACATTCAAAAAATGAAACCAAAACTCAGGACAGTGACAAAACATTGCTGTACTGATCAACAAGAATATATTCTGTATAACAATTTGTGGTATTTACCGTTTGTGAATCTGATAAAACAAGCAATCTGTGTGAGACGAACAATCACAAGTTATGCTTTGTAAATAATCTCACCTATCAAACAGGTAACAGAAAAGTCACAATCAATATCACTCATAAGGTAAAATACAGTTTCTTTGAAAAGGAATTAACACAGCAATACTGGTGGTCATATACATACCACCATGTTGTTGAAAATGTTACTAGCATTGGTTTAGCAGACTAGTCAGAATACCTTCAACAGATTGACTCAGGATCACAGGCTAGAGCCAATTTGCATCCCTGCAAGTGTTTAGTTCTCTTACTAAATTTGATAACATTTTCACAATGATCATGATGATGCTTCAAATATCAAAGCAACTCACTTTTGATGATCAAATCTTTCTGCGTGCCATCAAGCTCCAGGGCCCTGAAATGCACACAGTTGAGGTGAAATACACTGACACCGATAATTTCAATGTAGAAACGGCAATACTGCTGTCATTTGAGCCTAGCATGCATATAGTGGCATAACGGCAATGTGTTTTCTAAAAGTCCAAGTGAGGCAATGTATATTGGTAAAATGAAAAGAACTAGTTGGCTTGTAAATATCATTTGATATATGTAAAGAATAACATGCTCATAATTAATAAACCTGTGACGCAACAACATGTATGCTGCAGGACACTACCTCTTGTAACATGCCAGAGCCTTTTCCTTTTCATTTGTCTTTAAGAAGATGTGCCCCATGAGCTTGTGTGCCTGGGGCACCGTCTCTCTCACACTCAGGAACGAGGACAGGTACCTGGAGGGGAGCAACAGAACATATGAGTGAGTGAGTGGGTTTGGTTTTACGCCGCTTTTAGCAATATTCCAGCAATATCATGGCGGGGGACACCACAAATGGGCTTCACACATTGTACCCATGTCGGGATTCGAACCCGGGTCTTCGGCGTGACGAACGAACGCTTTAACCACTAGGCTACCTGACCGCCCACAGAACACATGAAGTCAACAACACTAAAGCACATGGATGGATTAGGGTTTCAAATCCACTCATTTTCTGACCCAATTCTTATCATCATCCAAAATGACAATCATACAACCTCCCAAGAATAGTTGGAAAAAAACAACAATGAAGATATCACCATGCCATTTGTAGAACAATCACAAAAATGACATTCTTACCCAAATTATGCTAAAAAAAATATTAATGACCTTGAATAAGCAGCCTGATATGTGGGGTCTATTGTTTCCTGGAATCAACATACAGGTATATATAATGATTCACCCGTGAAGATTCCGGGGTAGAATAGGTCTTCAGCAACCCACACTTGCCGTAAAAGGCGACTATGCTGTCGTAAAAGGTGATTTACGGGATCTGGTGGTCAGACTTGCTGACTTGGTTGATACATGTCATTGATCCCTATTGCGTGGATCGATGCTCATGATGTAATCACTGACTGGATTGTCTGGACCAGACTCAAATATTTTACAGGCCTCAATCATATAGCTGGAATACTGCTGAGTTCGGCGTTAAACAACAAACTAACAAATATATAATGATTACATGCAATCAACAAGGAATCAAGCCTGACCACACAATTCATCAAGTCACCTGCTACAACAGACATATGGTGCTGGGGACTTATTCTAACCCTGAATTCCCACAGGACCAGACACTGCATTTACTCTTATGCAATATTGTCACTTATTATATCAAAATCATATTCATAAACAAATGATTATGGGCAGTGATAATTTAATTTGCTAATGCTATTATCCTTTCATTTCATATTACCTTTTAGCAACTTCATACTCGGACACGTCAAAATACAGCCTTGCTATCTGGTAGCCTCTGGAGTTTTTCTGTTAACAAACAACAGGAACATTGATCACACCATTATCAATCCACATCCTAGCACTGCTGATATAAATTTCAGCACATCGTGATCACTGCAGAAAACGATAAAAGGTGTTAAATCTAACTGTTGGGTATTACCTAAATGGACAGAATTGAGAATGGTGGTGAGGTGAAATGGGGTTTAACGTCGCGTCCAAGATTATTGCACTTATATAGCGACGTGCATGCATGTGTGTATGTGTGGCTGCTTGTACTAGTCCGGACTGATGCTGATTTATAGTGCTAGCTCACTGAGATACCACGCAGCAGTTTAACATGAATACCCCACTCAGACACAGTATACTGACTCCGAGCCGACCAGTCCTTGTTTTAACCCCTTAATGCCGAGCACCAGACAGGGTAACAACAAGTACCATCTTTTAACGTCTTTTGATTTGACACGGCCGGGTATCAAACCCCGGACCTTCTGCTCTCCGGGCGGACGCTCTACCACAAGACCACGGAGGCGGTCCATTAATAATAGGAACTATGATGCCCCAAGTGCCAGGTTCCACACAAGCATCATGTGTTAGCCAGCTGACCTGATTTCACAAAAACTAATAACATATTGCTGAAAAACGTCAGAGGATTCTGTGAACATAACAGTGAGCATGGTGAGGGGCCCAAGGAACATGAAGCCCAAGGAATAGCAAACTACACATAATAATGGGAACAGATGTGTAGTAACGAAAAAGAATGTGTCAGCATTTCAAAGAAGATGTGAAAATAACTTAATAATATATGGCCTGCCTCTAGCATGTTTAGAATAGAGTACCACAAACTTTTCAAACATGTCACAATACCCTATGACGTAATTTGTGAAATTGAGTTGCCAGATTCACCAGCGAAACAATGTCCTGTGACATCAGGGGTCATCTAGAGTGCATAAGCTCCTCTCAGGGATCTTTCATCTCTACGGGTCATGTCAATGAATAAGACCTGCATCATTTAGAGTTGTTTTTTATATATTTGTTTACTAAATATAGACTCATTTTATAGCAGGCCCCAGTTTATGAAGGTTATTTATATTTTCAATATATATTTCTTTTCGGTTTCAACTCTATCTCATGTGGATGAATGGATTGTAAATGGGAACTTATGTGCATATCTTAGTTTTTCACTTCATCATCTTTTATTATTTTCTTCTTTGAGAGGCATTTAGAAGTTGGAGTACTAAGCAAGGATAGATATATGGATGAACAACTTCTTTATTACAATTATGAGTGACGCTTCGGTGTAGGTTCTAACACTGTTATCAAGCAAGTGATGATAATTTCCTAAATATTTTTTTATTATAATCCACAGGAAAGCAGTTTATTAGGTATTTATTTATTGACATTGCACACATGTAAATTATGTTGGTCTTTTAGAAGTGAATGAGATTTGTTAAGAGTTGTTCATGTGATTAGAGAGAAAACTATGACTTTTCTTAAGCGTCCGAAAACCCATATGGCGGGGATATATGGGTCCGGTGTTTCAAGGATGTTACTATCCTGCTTCGAGGACCTGTGCTACCAACCACCTCTAAAACTTCTTACTGATACCTGAAAATGCTGAACTGCAGCATCTTCAATACAGACAAAACAAAATCTCTCGTCTTTCACCATCGGCAATTGAATTCGTCTTTAGAATTGTAATAATGTTGTTGATGATACACAACAGGATTACACATTCAAATAACGTATATCATAATCCAAATCTATTTTCGCTATATCGAAAGTAGGCCTACTTGAATCTAAGACTCGAGAGAGTGTGCTCTTGACAAGACGAACTTGATGACACAACTTTTTCTCTTTCTCACCTCTTTTTCATTCTTGATTCTTCCCAGTACACTCGCAGCATGCCTATCGACGTCTTGTTTCGTTCGAAACATGGTCTCAAGCTTTTCACCTCCAACCTTTTTCTTCAGAACATGTGAGGATGCGGCGCATTTAATTTTCCGCCATTTTTCTTGATCACAAACGGTTTTCTACGAATGAGGCCCTCAACCAGCGTGTATGGCTTCACTGTGTTCTGAATAAGACGTCTGAAAGAGCAAAATCTTATTGATGATATTAAACACAAAATATATTCTCCTCGTGCGCGCTTAGACAAACATCCATTACAAGCGCTGTGAATATTGACATTCGTATCTTACTTGACTTTGAAAATGACGGCGTTCCGCTCGCACGTTGCGCACCGGTTTCTACCCTCGTACCGGATATGATTACGACAACTTATTTCGGGACACTATGTTATTTAACTTGCTCCTACCAATTTCCATCAAGAAACATTCATTGTAAAATAACAAACAGTTAAGATCTTCCCAAGAATGTGTTTTATGTCTAAACAGTTGGATGTTGTAAAGTGGACCGCGAATCACTTTACGGTAGTAGGTACTCGTGTAATCTCGGGATTTTCCGGTTGAGCACAACGCACAGTTCAATGTCATGTGTTTTTAAGCCTTTCTTCACGAGAGAATGTATATTCCTTATTACACATCACAACTGAAGCATCCACAGAATCCTTATCAAGTGAACAATGAAGTTTTTGCGTAAAGTAAATAATGAATACCAAATGTATCATTGTCAAACGAACCTGTTAATAGAAAAAGGGGGAAAAAAGCAAAGAAAAACATATTGAATTTGTAATTGAACGTATAAACTTTGATACGTTAATGTGACTCATTTTCTTAGTTCATACCGTACCGAAAAAAATCAATCTGTGGTACTCACCAATCTGTGAGAATGGTTAATAGACTAAACTTACTTTTGCAGGTGTGAAAAATCAAGAACACATTAAATGACAGAAGTTTCTGATTTTTTGTTTTGTTTTGTTTTGTTTTTTGTTTGTTTGTTGTTGTTGGGTTTTTTTGGGAGGGGGTCGTTTATATAGAAATAAATATAAACTGAAGATATATAGCCTTAAGTATGGATATAGTAGACTTGCTTGGGACAAATCGGATAGTTTTTTTCAGGGTCTGTATGAGAGACAGTTTTATATTGCTCATTCACTTACTCACTCTTTTTTATATAGGCTCTATCAGAAACCCCTAATGAAACTTAGACAGATTTCTCTCCCGAACAACTACTTGTATCCATTTCCGGACATGCTCTGCAGCAGCATCCTGTAGGGGAATGAACATGCACTGCATGGAGTACAGGGGGCATCGTCTGCAGCAGCATCCTGTAGGGGAACACACATGCACTGCATGGAGTACAGGGGACATGCTCTTCAGCAGTATACTGAAGCAGGACAAACATGCACTGCATGGAGTACAGGGGACATATATTCTGCAGGAGCATCTTGTAGGGGAACAAACATGCACTGCATGGAATACAGGAGACATACTCTGCAGCAGTATACTGAAGCAGGACAAACATGCACTGCATGGAGTACAGGGGACATACTCTGCAGCAGCATCCTGGAGGGGGACAAACATGCACCGCATGGAGTACAGGGGACATACTCTGCAGCAGTATACTGAAGCAGGACAAACATGCACTGCATGGAGTACAGGGGACATACTCTGCAGCAGCATCCTGAAGGGGAACGAACATGCACTGCATGGAGTATAGGGGACATACTCTGCAGCAGCATCCTGAAGGGGAACGAACATCCAATGCATGGAGTATAGGAGACATACTCTGCAGCAGCATACTGAAGGGGAACGAACATGCACTGCATGGAGTAAAGGGGACATACTCTGCAGCAGTATACTGAAGCAGGACAAACATGCACTGCATGGAGTACAGGAGACATACTCTGCCGCAGTATGCTGAAGGGGGACAAACATGCACCGCATGGAGTACAGGAGACATACTCTGCAGCAGCATCCTGAAGGGGAACAAACATGCACTGCATGGAGTATAGGGGACATACTCTGCAGCGGTATACTGAAGCAGGACAAACATGCACTGCATGGAGTACAGGAGACATACTCTGCAGCAGCATCCTGAAGGGGGACAAACATGCACCGGAGTACAGGGGACATACTCTGCAGCAGGAACCTGTAGGGGAACAAAAATGCACCGCATGGAGTACAGGGGACATACTCTGCAGCAGCATCCTGAAGGGGGACAAACATGCACCGCATGGAGTACAGGGGACATACTCTGCAGCAGGAACCTGTAGGGGAACAAACATGCACTGCATGGAGTATAGGGGACATACTCTGCAGCAGTATACTGAAGCAGGACAAACATGCACTGCATGGAGTACAGGGGACATACTCTGCAGCAGCATCCTGAAGGGGGACAAACATGCACTGCATGGAGTACAGGGGACATACTCTGCAGCAGGAACCTGTAGGGGAACAAACATGCACTGCATGGAGTACATGGGACATACTCTGCAGCAGCATCCTGAAGGGGACAAACATGCACTGCATGGAGTACAGGGGACATACTCTGCAGCAGCATCCTGAAGGGGGACAAACATGCACCGCATGGAGTACAGGGGACATACTCTGCAGCAGGAACCTGTAGGGGAACAAACATGCACTGCATGTAGTACATGGGACATACTCTGCAGCAGCATCCTGAAGGGGGACAAACATGCACTGCATGGAGTACAGGGGACATACTCTGCAGCGGTATACTGAAGCAGGACAAACATGCACTGCATGGAGTACAGGGGACATACTCTGCAGCAGCATCCTGAATGGGGGACAAACATGCACCGCATGGAGTACAAGGGACATACTCTGCAGCAGGAACCTGTAGGGGAACAAACATGCACTGCATGGAGTACATGGGACATACTCTGCAGCAGCATCCTGAAGGGGGACAAACATGCACTGCATGGAGTACAGGGGACATACTCTGCAGCAGCATCCTGAAGGGGGACAAACATGCACCGCATGGAGTACAGGGGACATACTCTGCAGCAGGAACCTGTAGGGGAACAAACATGCACTGCATGGAGTACATGGGACATACTCTACAGCACCACCCTGAAGGGGGACTAAAGGAATCACTGAACAGGGATAGTGGAGTGATGACTCTCAAAACATGCTCGCGGTGTCATCAGTTCCTTCTTTCTTATCATTTGCATTATCATATTTATATTATTTATAAAAAAGATTTCAGTGATAATGACGCTATTGACGCATGGCTTCTGTGTGGCAACTTGACATGGTCATGCTATGATTTTCTAATGACAAAAAAGCAAAATATAGTTCAAGGCACATTTATTGGAATATAACGTTTTGAGCAAATCACACCAGAATGTTTCTCCTGTTACCACGGAAATATATGATATATGTTTCAGTCGATATTGTAATAAACCTTCAATGAACACTTCTAATCTTTTCGCCCATTTTCTTTCCTTATACGTATCTATATCTATCTATCTATATACCGATCTCCTCCAGTAACTGGATATGCATGTCAGTGTTAATCAGACAGGACTCATCAGTACAAACATATTTACACACCATTTGTTATTATGATTTTATATATATATAATGACATTTTCCATGCCAAATGATGTCTACAATGCAACAAACTTAACCCTGCCCTTATGGAATTTCTGTTTCTCTGTATCAGTTTTGTTGACAATGTGTGGCTGAGTGGGCTCAACTAGGAAAACACAGAGTTTGCGATCGTCACAGGGAAGTAATTATGGAATAGGAAGGTTTGGTTCATGTTGTACAGTGATAGAAATGGGTTTTTTTTAAGTGTGCCCAGGGCAATCATGAAGATGTTTAAGTGTGCTCCCTTTAATTAAAGTGTGCAAACTAGCAGAATAGTTTTTATCTCAGCGAAACTAAGTTTATAAGTTTTACCCAATCCCTTACATTAAGATTAACATTGCCCTTTATCATTTCCGAATACCCAAACAGTTGGTTGGTTTGTTGTTTAACGCCGCACTCAGCAATATTCCAGCTATATGACGGCGGTCTGTAAATAATCGAGTCTGGCCCAGACAATCCAGTGATTGATATCATGAGCATCAATCCACGCATTTGGGATCGATGACATGCATTAACCAAGTCAGCGAGCCTGACCACCCGATCCCGTTAGTCGCCTTTTACGACAAGCATTGTCGCCTTTGACGGCAAGCATGGGTTGCTGTAGATCTATTCTACCCCGGAATCTTCACAGGTCAAATACCCAAATATATGTAGTGGTTCTACCCAAATATATGTAGTGGTTCTTCTGTGCAGTTAGTGCATTCATACGTTCATCATGTCCCGCATGTTTGTCATGTTTCTCTTTGGATTCAAAGGACAAAAGAAGTCTCAAGGTATTGTAAAAAATAGGATTTCCAAGCGTGCACCGGGAACGTCATTTTAATAGTGCCACTGACACAAAATTACAAGGAATTACGAACCCTGTGTAGATGTTGAAAATAAATGTACAAATTGTGAAAAAAAATATTGCAGAAAGAGGAAATTTTTTATGGGGCCATAAAACATAAACAATCCAGTGATTCCACTGTTTGTTCCTCAGACTCTTGTTTGTTAAAATTTGTTTACCAAAGGAATTTCATTTCAGGACATTGTAACCTCATTGTGTGACATTAATTACGTCCAAAGGCATGTTTCTGCACGTTGGAAAGTGGGGGCTTATTTGTAAATATGCACATAGTATCCATTTGTTCAAAATAAACGCACTGAGGTTGGGAAAAAGAACCTAAAGAAATAACTATGATTTCTGCTTAATCTACAAGACTTAATCCCAAAGTTTAATACTAAGTCTTGTAAAGAAAATTTCCTATGTAAAAAACGTTGGTTCTGTTAGAAATAGAAATACGATTTCAAAACAATATTTTTTTAAGTTGTAATTATGCCAAGACTAAGATTCCCGTGATAATGGCTTTTGTGTATCTCGATGGTGATTCTATGACGAAGACAAATCAGAATATTACAAGGGTAATTTTCAGAAAATGTCAAATTTGCAATTGACAAAAATGTCAAATAGTTTTATTTTCAAAGCACATTGATTGTGCATTAAATGTTCATTTGTGTCACGTGTTTGCCAAGTTTAAGTGTGCTTTCATACGACACAAATTGTCACAATGTTAAAATCCCACTTTGTTAGCGTGTTCGCCTGTCAATTCAAACTTTCCGATTCAGATAAACGAGAAGACAATCGGGGAGCAACAAAGGACGCAAAAAAAACCATAATATTTGGACGTAAAGATAGTTTCAAACTGTAAAAATATTGTTTTTACAAATCTTCTTATTGGTATCAAAATACTCGATACAGATTGGACAGAAAAAAATAAAGGATATTACCCAAAGAAAAATTGAAATAATGAATGAAAATTATTACACAGAGCTATTCAATAATACTAATTCTAGGAACAGGACATCACTAACCCGGGCTGTCGCAGCACTGCTCTGTTCTGGCCTCAGTTTCACAAAGCGACCTAAGACGATCGTAACTCCCATACTTTAAGGTAGACTTACGACAGTCGTTAATCTGTAGCTTTTTCAAACATGTCCAGTAAGATCTTATTTTAAAGTTAATGTCATATTTGTATTCATTGGACACAATACGTATTGATTTACACATTCAATTAAAACATCATTGTTAGGAGAATACTAACTAGTTGGCCCACGCATCTTTCAATAAGACAACCTTACTAATGAATTTACTAATAGTGATTAGTAATTATATCAGCGTGCAAATTTTTTTGAAGCTGTGGCCTGACTAATCTGTAGATTATAGGAATTATATACACTACACTTGAAGATCCGGGGTAGAATAGGTCTTCAGCAACCCATGCTTGCCGTAAAAGGCGACTATGCTTGTCGTAAAGAGGCGACTAACGGGATCGAGTGGTCAGGCTCGCTGACTTGGTTGATGCTTGTCATCGTATCCCAAATGCGGATAGATCGATGCTCATGATGTCAATCCCATGATTGTCTGGTCAAGACTCGATTACTTACAGACCGCCGTCATAAAGCTGGAATATTGCTGAATGTGGCGTTAAATAAAAAACAACAAACAAAACGTATATACCATTTAGGATAAAGTGGCTTAAAATTAGTGTTTCCATATTATCTTCATAATGATGAGTCGATGCCGCAATTTGCCAAAATAATGCTTAAAGCGATGTAAGACATCTAGTCTCTAAAATGAACATATCATACAGAAATAACAAAATAACAGTTGTTAAATTATAGTTATAAAATATATTAAAAAGGAGCCCAGATACTTTCTTCCTGATACTGCAGTAATCTAGACTTGCCAAACATTATAGACTTGCAAGGGCTATATTGGATATATTTGTTTGAGGGCCTGTATGACAGATTAACAATCATGAACAATATAAAATTATACAATATACCAATGAAAATATATAAGGGGTTAGTATTAGGCGTCGTAATTTGCTCTGCAGAGTTGCGTCCTTTAGGCGTACCTGGATCCGCTCATCTATAGAGGGTTCGAATTCCAGATTCGCACTGATTATGATACTTTGTATGTCAGCAGCATACCCGTGACCATGGTTTTCATATATCGTCGCACCTTGGCCTTAAAGAATATATTATCAGTTGAAAATGAAAGCGCGGAAAAGCTAATCATTATTTGGATATTTTTATAATCGATTTTCTTTTAGTATTCATCAGATTTTCAAATTTTCAACATTACTTACATAAACAACATAACGTCGGTTTTATTACAAGCCCAGCCCGTGAGCGTGTACCAGGGATATACTGGACACTAAATTCCAGCAAGTAAGAATCCATGCCTCTGTTTCTGGCCAAACTGAGATGGAAGCAGATATGAAATTTCATCCTGAATATTGTTTAAAGTTTGGTGTGAGGGGATGGCGGGGATCGGTGATGAGGGGGGAGCTCGACTGGGGGGGGGGGGGGGGGGGGGGGAGTCATGTGTCACTGTGTAGGGGTTGGGGGTGATTGAGGAGGAGGGGACGAGGAGACGAGTGTCGAGATAAGATGAATGCACATACTTACATACCTGTAAGAAAATTGATTGTAGTTTGGATATAGAATATGGCGTGTACGTATTATTTTGTATATACACATCTTAAAACCTTTTTTTTTATTTTACACATTTTCATGAACATGAACAAGCTAGCCCAGTTACCCTTGTTCTTGGGTCATCGGTGCAGGATAGGTTTATATTCGCTGGAATATTGCTTAGTGCCGCGTTAAACAACAATCAATCAATCATTGGTCGGTCGTTATTATATGACCGAAACAATGTTACGTTAAATCTTCACTCACTGCCTCGTTATTGGGCTCTTGGGACCGGCATTGAGTACAGACCTACGGGAAGGTCAACATGAGAACAACTTTTCTTCTTTTTTTGAGAACACGATTGTTATTCAACGCCACAGTCAGTAATATTGATGATGTGTGAAACTGACATTTGAATGCGGCAATCAGGACAAGAAAATAGCATTGGCTGCTGTTAAGAGCAAGGCGTCGCAATCTCATTAAAATCGGATCTAAGTTCTGGCTACCGCTAAACAAAGATGTGAGGACATCCCATTAGGGGTCACGTCAGAACGACCTTTCAAAGTTTCATCCGACCAATGAGAGCGTCGCTTACCAGATCCTGAAAGTGACAGTCGGAATGTGTTTCCTAATAATGCAACCCCGAAATGTTTAACACGGGGTATTCCGAACGACAGTTACGGGTTTTATGATAATATCCATACAATCTAGGTTATTTATAAGCCATTCCAGAATGTAGTTTTGGTCAGTTTAAAAAAAATTTAATCGAGAATACCTCAAAATATGTTTCGAAGCTTAGTCGCCAGTTTGAAACTAGTGCCGTAAAGCTCGAGATAGCTGCCTTCTGATTGGCAAATGTCGATTTCTTGTCAGTCATTTCATTGGTCGGTCAATGTTCTCGAAAGGTCGTTCTGACGTGACCCGAAATGGGATGTCCTCAGCTCTCTGGTTAGCAGTAGCGAAAACTAAGATCTGATTTTAATGAGATTGAAGGTGGCGCGCCATCGGGGTACCACGACCTTGGTTCTGTCGCCGACCCTGACCACCTGATATACGGATTACTGTGAACAAATTCTATTCCGGCTTCCCACGGAGTTTCGGTCAAGTTCAGTAGCACTGCATTCTACAAAATGCTTCAGTGAGGAACTTTTAAAGCACCACACTCGCGCACGCACGCGTGCGTTTTAATTTGTCAGTCGCGCATGCTTTATTCGTTTACTTAATTAAAGAAAAGGAGAGTCATTGACGTTTGAATGTTGTAGTCACTGGATTTCCTGAATATTCTCATTGAGTGAAGGAATGGTGTCCCGGGAATATAACCATATATTACTAAAGCTGCATAAAGCTGCCGTCATATAGCTGAACTATTGATGAGAGCAAAACAATATAAAAGCAAACGCTGAAAAGCTTCTTTTGTCTCGTATTATTTTCTCGTTTGAACAGAAACAATGTTTACTTAATCAAGTTACTTCACACAACAATAAGAGCTCAGCAATGGACTTAAATAGAAGCTACAGTTAAAAATATCTTTCGGACTTTAGTGGTATGCATTGTCAGCTGTCATGTGATTATCGCCCTTTGAAACTATTCGTGATTTTCCGGTACCTTTCGGCAATATCCGTACGAACGCTAGACAAAATGGCGAACAAATTACCATGGGGCCTGAAAGGGAGCCGTTTAGCCCCTGGTTCTGCAAAGGTATGAGTAATTACACAATTTCACATTATTTTCAAGGAAGATGATAGCTTGTTCCCTCAATGTGATGATGGTTGAACTGCAATTATACCGCAGTTTCACGTGTCAAGAGATAACATGATATGGCCTACACTGGGTCACGTTGTTTACTGACACTCATATCGTGGTGACCCAGTATTTTCTCTAGGTAGTGTTTAGTCGAACATAGGTAGAGCTCATTATATTCACATTTCTAAAACAACAAGATAATATATAATATGTTATTACAGTCAACATTTTGAGATATCTTATATTCCCAGAAAGACTTCAGTATACCTAAAAGTAAAACTGGAAGTTAAATCCAGTTAAGCATGTGCAATTTACAAACGAAATTTAGATGAGTAGGCTAGGTGTGTTCAAACCCTATGGTACCTTAATGATATACCAAGTGCATTTAATAAGACTGTAACTATATCAGCAAAGTCAGTAAGCGTGTTACAGGATTTTGTAGGTCTTGATTGGCTGGGAAATGGGGAGCACCTTTAGAATACAGTATCGCAACTTCTCGTGAGGACGATCTCTGCCGTAGGTCACATGTCTCAAAGACAAGCAACCAGTTTTTGTGAGAATCCGTCGGACGCGAACTCGCGACCTTCGGATTGTTAGCCCAACAGCTAACCGATGAACAACGTCCACACTGTGGAACAAAGTGCAAATTTACCTTGTCATGCCTATGACGTTACGGAACTGAACGGAAAGGGTAGAATAGGTGACAGACACTTACGAAGGTTACGGGTAGCCATGGTGTCTCTTGACTTTAGTCTACGGACATTTAAGAATGATCCCAATGCCATTTGGCACACTCGTCCCATTCCGTAATTTACAAGATACAGAGTGGTGAGGAATGAGCGATATGGCGCGACCTGAAAACCGCTTCAGACGTCGAACTCGCGGAGACGCATGGTATTTAATAATTCGACAGCTGGATTTTGTGACAGAAAAGTCTGGTAGGGAACACTGTCAGGATGATGTGGATATTAGTAAGGAATGAGGGAGGTATGAGCATGGCTTGTGACGACACAACTGTGAGTTCACTTTTGAATCAGTACTGAAAAAATGTAGCCAGTTAAAGTGGCTTGTGTGAATGTTCCAGGACAGTTTCCAGTAGCTAAATTATTTGACACAAAACCATTTCATCCTTTTTAATCGACGTTTTTGTGTGAAGAATATCAGGAGCCGCTAATGATCGCAAGGGGATGATTGATCGTAAAGGGGATCCAAGGGCTCAGGATAGAGTTCGGGGTAATTTAATAGCCACTACACCGGTACCTAACCCTAATGATCGTAAAAGGGTGATTTAGTGTTATGGGATCCAAGGGCTAAGGATAGAGTTCGGGGTAACCTACCCCAACACTGGCAACATTTGGATGTGTTCAGCGCCAATATTTTAACATGGTCTTTCTATGTAAACTGAAAATGCATTCTTGTGCATGATAATGAAAATTAATGAACCGAAAAAATAATATATGTATATAAGTTCCCATTTGTGACCATTTTAGCCACTTGAATTACGACTAAAACAAAATAAATAAATAAAAAATAAACATGATAAAAGTGCTTTCATAAACTAGCGCTTGCCATAAAATGCGCCGCCGCAGTCTATATTTGGTAAACAAATATTCAAAACTCTCAATGCCGCTGGGCGTATTCAATGACTTGCATGTAGAGATGATAGATCACTGGGAGGAGCTTATGCACACTTGATGACCCCTGACGTCACAGGGCATTGTTTCGCCGGTGTGACAAAATACTACAAATTACGTCATAGGGTATTGTCACATGTTTGAAAAGTTTGTGGTACTGTATTCTAAAGGTGGGCCAGGGTTTTCCTTCAACTTAAAGCAGAACGGGCTGTAGCCTAGTGGTTAAAGCATTCGCTCGAAGACCTTGGTTCAATTCCCGACATGGGTACAATGTGTGAAGCCCATTTTGGATGAACCCAGCCGTGATATTGCTGGAATATTGCTAAAAGCAGCGTAAAACCGTACTCACTCACTCCAACATGAAGTTGACATGTTCACTCACGTCAATATTTGATCTTTGTTCTTGTAATGCTGTTCTAATTTTCAGACCATCTCCGAGAGCAAGTTGAAAGCTTTCGAGGTGGGGACTATGAACCTTGGAAAACAATCCCTGTCAAAAAAGGAAATAGATGAAATGAGGAAAAAGGTAATGACAATATTAAATATTTCGTAGAATGGTGTTTTCTTTGTACGTTGTTTTCTTTTTTAAAGTTTCAGATTATGAAAATGCTACTTTGTTGGGTCTGAGTGAGAAAGTTATTGTAATGTTATTTGATATGTCTTGATCATGATGATATAGACATGGTAGAGACAGCACCTTGTACCCTTTATTCAAGGGCAGAATATGAGTTACACATGTCACAAGCATGAACAGCGAAGTATTTGGGATTTTGCAAGCCGAATGGCCATGTTTATCACACAAGATTAAAGGTCAAGGCATGTACACCAACGTTCATTTCGTGAAAAGACAGTACACCCTGCTATTGACAGTGACTAGCCAATCAGAGAGCTAGATTCTTTAGTAAGTTCTACACAAGGTGATATTAGTGTTTTCTAGTACACTATACCAGGTACTTATGGAAAGTGTAAGATGAAGAAAACTGCAGAAACAACTGATGTTTACTAGGGCTGTTATGAGGCACTCGTGTATTCGGTGAATCAAACCGTATCCTTTCAAGTATTGAATTTGTTATTCGTGGCCACTTAAATCGAATATTTATGAATATGCAATCATGTGCATTTACATACCCTGTACCTAAAAATATCCATAACAACATATTATATGCATAGATTTCTTCAAAGACAACACTCTTATATATATAGAGGATTCATCACGAGTGTTTTTTAATATGGGAAATATCTCAACCGAGTCTTAGTTAATCGGTATTAGCTGAGCCTTTGGCGAAGCAAATACCGATTAACGGGACAAGGTTGATATTTCCCATATTAAAAAAACACGAGTGATGAATTCTATTTATCATTTTCACATTTTTGCTTCCCAATTAAGGAATAATTGCATTAAACATTAACATCAGCAACATGTCGAAATCTTACGTATAGATCGTGCGTAGTGATACATGTTTTCCTTGGCCGTGTAAACCAAAATAAACAACCTCTTAACTCCTTTATGACATATTCCTTCGCTGAGAAAAAAAGTTCCTCGGATTATTTTAATCAAAATACTTGAACAGACTTTTGCAGAATAATTGAAATAATGTCTCCAACATCAAAGGTATCCATGTTGTTTGTAAACACCTACTCACGTGCACCGGCGAAAAAAGTCCCACTTCCGGTTATCTCATTTGCATATCTAATTTGCATACTTATGTCATTGGGGTATGACATACTTGTTTTTATGTCATAAGCTTATGTCATGGATAAATGCTTTAGTTAAATGATAAAGTATAGTAATATTTAGTATTGTGGTCACCGGTCAATGTCGCATTTGAGCAGATACTAGTACCTGGATAAGTGATGTATATAAATGTTTAATACTTTGATGATTAACAAACAATGTCAAATTATATATGCTGTTATTGTTTCACAGAATATAACAAATAATACATCAACTGCTGACTTGTTATTGTATTCGTGAATTAATCTTCGCATTCGTTACCCTATATTCATGATACGAATCGTATTTGCCTCATAGTGTATTCATTGCAGCCCAAATGTTTACATATTAAATGTAACTGCTTGCAGCAAGATGCAGAAGCCACAGCACAGGTATATGAGGAGTTTGTTGCTTCCTTTGATGAAGCACATAAACATGCAGGCACGAAGATGTGGGTCAAGGGAGAAACTGTCAATGCTGACAGACCTTTTAGTGGCAACCCAAGAACTCAAAGAAACAGCTCGGGTAAATATATTCTCCAGTCATTTAGGCTAATTACATGTCATTCTGTGTTTTGAGAAATCATCAACACTTTTCATAAAAAAGCACGGAAGCCCTAGGGTACTTGTTATAGCCCTAATGTCAAAAGGTCAAGATTCAAGGAGCCCTGTAACGATTCACTGATACCTATGTTATCATCAATACTTGGGAACACACCGTTGGTTAGATCGCGATACGCTGTGAATAGAACATCAATTGATGGAGTATCACGGAAGTAGCATAGCGCCACCTGTAAGCATGATGGAACACAAAAACATGATGGTAATAGTGAATGCAGCTGCTGTATTTAGGTCTTCATTTCGAGCCAAATTTAGGTTTGAAAAGTCCTCAAAACAGAAAAAAAGGTTGTATGCAGATTGTTGTTATCAGTAATTATATTTTTATACCCCTGTTTACCCCCGGTATATAGCGTTCCGTTCGTCCATCCTTCTGTCCGAGCTTTCGTACGGCCCATAACTTTTTAACCATGCACCGTAGCTTCACCAAACTTGCTACACACATTTACCACAATGAGTACTTGTGCCTTTTGCTAGTTTGAAGATTCTGAATTTTTTTATTTTTGCCGTTTCCATGGAATCATGGTGAAACATAAATTTTGGGTAGAGTTTTTGTACGATCCATGTTTACAATATTATGTATCCTAGCTTCAGCAAACTTGCTACATTAACAGCTATGATTGTTTTTTTATCTTTTATAAGATTCTGAAAGTTTTGTCTTTTGCTGTTTTCATGGAAACAAGATGGCATTGAGAAATTTTGATGACTGGTTTTGTATAGCTAATATATTTTCAAAAATTGTTTCCACACATGTAGATCATCATAAGTATCTGTGCTTTGTGATAGTTTGAATTTATGTATTCTTTACCATATCTGTTAAGGCTAGATGGAAATTATTAATTTATTGATTTTCTTATATGATATTGTTCCATTTTTTATGTGTTTTTATATCAACAATTTTTGGTCCTTTTGATAATTCTTCTTATGCAACTCCTCAATCAAATTTTTATTCAAAGGTGTTCATGGTGATCTACTTCCTCGTAGTCAACACTGGTAACATGGGAGATTTTTTGGGGGGGGTCAATTGTCACTGGAACTCAATCTTAGTTTTTAAAACATTGAAGTTAAAATCAGTTAGAAATATTTCATTAATTAACAAACTGTTTATTATTTGTTGTTGACCAGTGGGGATAACGGGGGTATATGAGCTTTGCTCACTTCTTTCTTGTTTTTACAATAATAAATATATGTCTCAAGCATAATGTTTTATATAGTTGTATTTTTGTCATTTTATTATCTCTTACTATTTGTTGTGGTGTATCATGATACCAGTGGTATCATTTATCCATACCATGATACGTATCATATCACAAGATCTCGGGCGATAGTCAGCTTTATTATTTGCTAAATCCAGGCTTGATCATTAACCAATGTTTAAAGGCATCCATTATCATGATTATGTTGCTTGAATATATTTGCTGACTGCGGCATACCTTCATTTGCATTCATGCTGATGTCTTTCACTCCTGTATTCAGAGTACATTGAAGAATAACATAAACTGCTTGGCATTGTGAGTGTTTCTTGAACTTTGGTTATATTGTGTATTTCCAGGAGACTCCAGACCTGACAAAAACCGTCTGTATAAGCCCACATCCAAGCTAGCCGAGCTAGCTGCAACATTCCAGTCTGTGAAGGAGACAAGGAAAGAAGATGATAAACCGGTAATTTGTAGTCTGTTAGCTGAATCTGTGCATGCTTAAGCACCAAAATGCTTAAAACTCACTCTTAACTCACACTGCATGTCTTCCTATAAGGAATAATGTATATAACAAACTGATTTCTCCGGTCACTTGAAGTTCGTTATATCCATGTTCTACTGTAGTTCTATTTATGACACTAGACAGTGTTATAGATTATTTCATTTGCACCAGCTTCCTTGTGTACATCTCACTGTCTCTACAGGCTGGGGTATCTGCATCCCACTGTCCAACTGTGGGATAAATACAGAGTGTGAGATAGGATAAGTTTAAAATTTATAAATGTCACATTAAGTTGTATATTTATAGACTCACATACTATATGCCCTACCGACCATCCCTGCATAACAGCTCCTCTAGCCTGTCAGATCAAAGAAAGAGAATGATGTGGAATTGGTAGTCATGTGATCATGTCGTGTAGGTTACTATGCACGGGGTAGTGAATGGGGTAGTGATCACAATACAGTGGATATACAAGATATAAAATACACTGGATGATCAAGGACTCTGGTGGCGGTACATTAGCACTCCCTGTAACATGTCCCTACATTCAGGTCAACTGAGGGGGTACCGGTAACCCAGTCGACTAAGGCGCTGCGATTCGCTGTGCAGAGTTGCGTCCCTTGGGCACGCCAGAAACCTATGATTGTGGGTTCGAATCCCGGTTCGCCCCGATTATGTTTCTAGGTTTGTCAGCACCATACCCGTGCTCGTGGGTTTCACCGAAGTGGTAAACGTCTGAGACCTGCATCACTTCGGGCTTTCCTCCCACATTAAGCTGACACGCCGCGATATAACTGGAATACTGTTAAAAGCGGCGTTAAACCCGATTCACTCACTCAAGTCAACTGAGGCCTGGCCAGGGTGTGCCAGGTATTGTACTACCATACTTGAACAGAAGCATGTAACTTTCTTGATAAAATTTCCGTTCCGCACATTGGTACAATTTACAAAGCCCATTGGAAGACGGACATGTTTTCTGTATAGTTTCATCTTTTGATCTTTGCGTTTGTTTCACAGAATTCTAACAAAAAGAAAAGAGGAGATGAGAAGAAGAAAAGCAATCTGGAACTCTTCAAGGAGGAATTGAAACAGTGAGTTGTAGGAAGCACGTTGCATTGATCATCAGATTCTTAATGGCTGTTTATTAAACATGTTAAATCCATGCTGTTGTCTTATCTACTTGACCACCTTCGTGACCACCTAAGTGCAATAATCTTGGACGTGACGTTAAACCCTATAAACCCTATTTCACCTCACCTTGGCTCACCTCAACTCTTGTCTGGTCCAGAAGATTGTTTTTAGGGTTTTTTTTACTTAAAGAACAATTACACTTGAAAGTTGATAATGGTTTCTAAAACTGACGGTCTGCAATAAAGATCTTTCATGTCTTCAGTTCACAATGGATTCCCAACATAAAACAATAAGATCGTAACCACAAAAATAAGAAACGTCATTATAAATATTATGTTAGAGCATGCTGCCGAAAACATGGAAACAGCCTCCATAAAAAACACCCCCCACAAATTTCCAAAGTAGGCTGAACAGAACAAGATATACCTGGTACAATATATTCCATACCATTATTCTCACTAAGATGTCTGTCCTACACTCACAGTGTTAATTTATATTAATGCATGTTTTAGGCTGATGAAAATGTCAACTTGTGCAAATATGTTGAGTTGTTTGATGTTTGAAGCCAGGTCACACTACCTCACAGCCAGCCTCGTGCTGCCAGCAATCAATGGTAAACTGTGGTAGTTACAATAGCTTAAGAGAAATCAGCGCTGTGTTGAACAGGACCCACTATTGTTTAACTTGTTGAAACTACTGATTTAAAAATTCACCTTGACTTCACAACTTGCAGGATTCAAGAAGAAAGACAAGAGCGACACAAACTAAAGAAAGTGTTGAGAGATTCAGGTGTTGATCTGCCGGACATCGACACCAAAATTTCCCCCTTTCTTGATCCCATGGACATAGGACCTGCTTCACTACGTGGGCCAGGTAGGTAGACTTCATCTCGCTGTGTAGAACTTGGCCTTAAATCCATTCATCAAACCCCCTCTTGGGAATTGGGGTTAGAATAGGTCTCTAACCAATGCTGGTTGTAAGAGGTGACCAAATGAATTGGGTGGTCAGACTCGGTAACTTGGTTGACGACGTGTCCTCCAATCTCCTTAAAATATATTTTAGTTCTTGCTACCACAAAACAAAGATATGAGGACATTCCATTATGTGTCATGTCAGAATGACCTTTCATCTGACCAATCAGAGCATCACTTACTGGATCGGGAAGCTGACAGTTGGAATGTGTTTTCTAATCATGCAACCTCTTAAAGGTTAAAGGTTATGGTATTCTGAAGAAAAGATATGAGCTGTACATCTATCTCCTGCTTCAATGGGATAACCATTTCAAATAGAAGAGACTTGCCATGGAATGTACTGCTATACAATATTGGCCATCTAGTAGACATTCCAGGATTTTCTTTTGTCAAGTTTTCAAAGTTTAAATCAATGTTTTGCTAAAGCCTAGTCTGGAATGGAAGTCACCAGTTTGAAACAAGCACCATTAAGCTTGAGAAAACTGCTTTCTTATTATCTAATGCAAACTTTATGTAAGTTATTTCATTGGTCGAACAAAGTTAACAAAAGGTTGTTCTGACGTGACCCGTAATGGTATGTCCTCAGATTTTTGTTTAGTGTCATCGAGAACAAAGCTCTGTTTTAATGAGAATAGCATGTCCTTTCCCGACATCATGGATCATTGGGCCTGTGTTAAAATATTGCACTGAACGATGTCACTGATTTTGCATTGTTGTCCACAGCTATTTGTGTTAATGATTTTAATAAGCAGTCTGTGAAGTTATTATTCCGCTACACATATTTACACAGTGTGTTTGCGCTTTTTATTATGTCAATACCATCATAAATGCAGAAATTATTGAAGTCTATTCTTAAATATCAACCTTGATTCAAGCTTTCGACCAGTAGTTGAGACAAAACGTTTGGTCATATATTTCGAGTATTTCTTGTTGGTATATATATAAAGGTACGCTACTGTGATTGTTGATTCAGGAGACCGAGCAGGGGGAATTGGATCATTTGACCCGGGAGATGAGAACACAACCAACATCTATGTGGGCAACATATGTCCAAAGGTAAGATAACATGGATGCATGTTCAAAATGAGTTTTATTATCAGAATTGATAATCATGTAAAACATTTTGTTATTGATAGCTACATACTAGGTATAGATACTACATTCAGTTTCTTCAGTCAAACATTTGTTGAGCACCTCCCTTGGGTGTGCCAGAAACCAAGGTTTGTCGGCCACATACCCTCAGTGCTTTCCCACAGTGGTAAACAGATGCATCACTTCAGCTTTACTACTATAGTCTGGAAGGTAATTTAAGGTACCGACGTTCGTCCTGTTCGTCATGGGTGGAATGAGCATTCATTGAAACAGCCATCTGCATAATGCTACCCCTGCGTCACAGGGCCATATGACACAGTTGAACAAATCAACTCAGTTAAAGGGTGCAAGGAAATCAGGTACGTTGAGACGCCTAACGTACTAACACTGTGTTCGTGCGTGCGTGATTCCCGTGCACCCTTTCGAGTTGGAGTTGATTGGTTCAACTGTGTCATATGGCCCTGTGACGCAGGGGTAGCATTATGCAGATGGCTGTTACAATGAATGCTCGTTCCACCCGTGACGAACAGACCGTCTGATTGTTGATGAAATATAGTGATAGCTAAATAGACAGATTTTTTATTCATGCACCGATTGTCTTTAAATGTAATATCCAGTTATGTATGACTGTTTAATAATCTCATACCAACTTTGACTGGAGTAGGTCGGATAGTTTTTCAGATATTGTAGTAAACGTCGGTACCTTAAATTACCTTCCAGACTATACATCAAGCTGACACATGGTGTAACTGCAATACAAATCTGATCTGATCCAGGTTGTCTGCAAGGCCAGCCTTGTGATGCTATGTAATGAATCCCTTTGAATATATTCATTGATCCCGATAACTATTTCATACAGCTAATTGATTTACAGTTAAAGTCTTAAATATTTGAAGGATGGAGAATTGTATTACATTTGCTAATGAAAAGCCTTGGTGGTGAAAATTTGACCTCAGATGACAGAGCAACAGCTTTGTGAAACATTTGGGAAGTATGGTCCTCTAGCAAGCATCAAGATCATGTGGCCTCGCACAGAAGAGGAGCGTTCCCGGGGACGAAACTGTGGATTTGTTGCCTTCATGAACAGGAAGGATGGAGAGCGAGCGATGAACTCGCTACGAGGTGGGTAGGAGAATACCAAGGATTACATTGGCTCATTATTTCTCTGTTTGCGTTATTTGTTTGTTGTGATCCTGTTGCAGAAACTTGTTGGGAGGCTAGGAGCGTTTGCTTCACTGACTTTGGTTGAAATGTGAATTTCAACAAATTTCTTTCAGTGTTGTAATTATTTGTTAGATTTCGATTTTCATCCCTATTGAGGCATTCGTTATCTTGGCCACTGCTTGTTTTCATCCAGGCTGCTGTGGATTTTTACACAATTGCTTTGTGAGGTGTTACAGTTTGCCATTTTTAGACCTTAAAATAGCTAAGATGGGGAGATGAGTCAATCAAACAAAGTCAGTTTGGATAAATCTCTTTCTACTTATGAATTTGTTTTGATTGAAAAATGTATCCAACAGAATATGATAACCACTTAACAGTACATAGTCTTTGACCACCATGTTGAAACTTCTTTGTAATTAGGCCTCTAAGTATACAAAATGTCCAGATGGAATTTTGATCGCAAAATCTTTCTATATTGAATTGGATTCACATGCATGACAGTTAGGAAATAAAAACTGGAAATCACAACTATCAAATAATCATGGTATACATTGTATAGGTCATTGTCAAACATACCCAATTAAACTATAGGATCGAGAAGAATGTATGTTTACGGCCGACATACACCTCCGTAAACTGTGTGCTCCAGTCTTTCTCTTCATGTGTACATAACTTCTGTGTGTCTTGAAAATATCAGCATATGGGATTAAGAGTAAGAGGCGCTTGACCTTTTTCCAGGTGTGTCATTATCAAAACTGATCAATCTGTGATAGGCAATCATGTATGATGATGAGGCATCACACCCTTTTTTTAAATCTAGTGGCCACCAACATTGCTCATGTTTCTCTTTGTTTCTACAGACAATATGTTCTTTATGAGCTATCAGTGATAGTAGATTGGTAACATCACAAATAGTTTCATCTCTTCCCGGCACTGTGTAGGTTTTTGAAATAATTTCCATTTTGTTCATTTCTCAAACTCCCAACTATTTTCATAAAGCACTCAGTACAAGTTTGTTTTGTGTCAGGATTCCTAATCTCATTTCCCTCACTATTAAGTCGTATTTCCTTCTTTTTTTCTTTTCTTTTTTGAAAAAACAACCAAGCAAACACTTGAAACAGGATGTATCAGATTTTAACCGTGTCATTTTGGTCATGTTCACAGATTTGACATTGCTTAGGCTTTGTATTATATCTTCCGTTTTTTATAAACACCCGGACTCAGTCACTACCATAGCTTCATTTCGAATCTGATTCAAATAACAGTATCCTTTAATTAATCAATTTCTGTGCTAAATTAGGGGTGATAAAGGTATTGAAGTCACTCCCGAAATTTGACGATGATTGCGAATGGGTCCAGGGTATTTATGAAATTGAAAAGGAGATACCATACAGTGGATAATCTAGAATACTGGATTGATTACCGTGTCAATTTTCTGTTGTTGTGCCCCCATTCCGAGTTAGAAGATGTCGCCAGCAACCTTTGTTAGCCATAACAGGCGACGGGGGCACGGTGGCCCAGTTGTCTAAAGCGCCCCGATTCTCTGTGCAGAGTTGCGTCCCTTGGGCACGCCAGAAACCTATGATTGTGGGTTCGAATCCCGGTTTGCCCCGATTATGTTTCTAGGTTTGTCAGCACCATACCCGTGCTCGTGGGTTTCACCGAAGTTGTAAACGTCTGAGACCTGCATGACTTCGGGCTTTCCTCCCACATTAAGCTGACACGCCGCGATATAACTGGAATACTGTTAAAAGGGGCGTTAAACCCAACTCTCCACTCATAACAGGCGACCAATTGATTGGGTGGTCAGACCGTGACTTGGTTGATAGCATGTCCTCGTACCCCGATGGTGTGGATCGTTGCGTACAATATCTATCACTGGATTATTTAGTCCAGGCTTGACTATTTACAGCTGTCATACAGCCGGAATATTGCTGAATGTGGTGTTACACAACAAACAAAATCTGCCTTCAGTTACGAAAGATTATTCCAGATGAAAACTTTCTTTGTTTATCAGTTGTGATTAACAGTTCAGTTTTGAGAATATTTTTTATCCTTTTTCAGCATGGTTATTTCAGTATGATCAATTTGATACCATTGATAAACTGAATTTGATCCTTCTGATGTAAACACAACCCAAATATTTCAAATAGGACCAACTGGCCATCATTGTTGCTGAAGTTGATAATATTTTCATGTTTATGTGAGTTGAAAAATATATGTGATAACTGTTTACATCGTATACATTCTACTTTACAGATGTAACCATTACCCTAACTTATTTTTAATTCTTGTTGTCAATGCGATTTCTTCACTCTTTGCCTTTGGAATATTTAAACACAGGAAGAGAAGTGATGGGCTTCGAAATGAAGCTAGGGTGGGGTAAGGCGGTGCCCATTCCGCCCCACCCCATTTATATCCCCCCAGCTCTGGTTGAGATGACCCAGCCACCCCCACCCTCAGGACTTCCCTTTAACGCACAACCACTGAAGAAGGCAAGACTTGAGAAGTTGTATGGAAATATTCCTCCACCAAAAGATGGCGAAGATGAACAGTCTAAGGAGGAGAAAGAAAAGGTAATGACATTTGTCAGTGATGTTTATTTAGATTTCTTGAAATTGATTAGGTGCTAAATTTTACAGATAGTTATCTTGATACTGTAATTCTCAAATGGATGTTTTACTTACATCGGTAAGTATAAAAATAATAGAATTATTTTTTGAATGTTTTACAATATTTATTTTGAAGTCTTAAATTGGAATTGATTTTTCATATTCTTGAAGTAATATGGATTAAAATGTTTTATAGTTACTAAATCCATTCATTGTAATATATTAGAGTAAATTGTTTATGTAGCTGTTGTTGGTATAAATATCCCATCTCATGTTGTTTTCAACTGCCATTTCTCCAGACTTTAGCCAACGCTGTTGTCAAAGTGGTTATCCCCACAGAAAGGTATATTTTTAGACTCTTTTTCGACCATTTGTCTAAAGATCTTCATCACCTGATATGGAGAAATATTTTTTTGGATATCCATGTTAATCATATTTTACTCTCAGATTATTTCCTAAATTTTTTTAAGTTAATGCATTATCAAATATTTGTACATTTGTTTCAAAGAGAATGCAAATTTGGAAATTTATGTTTCGGATATAGTTTTTGAATAAGAGTATATTTTTGAGATTTCAAAAAACATATCATACATGATGAAGACAAATGGACAGAAAAATGTTTAGTTGAGATTGTAATGTGAGTAAAAGGTAGGACTGGATTGATGAAGAGGAGGAGGAAGAAAGATGATGAAGAAGACTCCTGATGTGGATGTGGACCAGTGAACTGTTAAAAACGTGTCACTTGTGAATTCCAACTGTGTACTGGGACAGTGTTCACGCGTGTGAATATCATAAGGATTGTTACTTAGCTTCTGTTCAACAAGTGAACACGCATGGGATGTTCTGTTAGAGAATATGTTTCATGTTGTGGGAACAGTCTCCATATTGTTCCATGGACCTCCTGTATAGAATGAAGACATACACATCTGTTCAAATGGACATTTTCATGCTAATGTATGAACGGGATGTACATTTCATATTTATGTTTAAATATTTTTCAAATCCAGTAAACACAAATTTGTCTTTTTATAGTATGATTTTGACAATGATATGTTTTTGTAAACATGAACTGTACCTGGTAAGAGTTTTTAGGTTTTATTTAAAATGGTAATGAAACAGTGGTAAAAAAACCAACCTGATTTTGGGGGGTGAAAATGTACCAGTAATATTTGTCAAATATTTTTTTTTTGGTAACAATCAGCTGAACATTTTCACCTCATCTCCTTTTTCATGTAGTGATTTGTATTTACTTACTTTTGCTTCAGTCACACTAACTGAAATTTTCAGATTCAGATATATATAGGGATATCTATCGTAATTGTCAATGTTAAGACATTATTGTGATATATCAAATTGCATAAGAAGTCACTTAAGTTTATCATTTTATAAGGAGATTTAACACAGCATGTTTGTAGAAGTTGTATGATTTGGCGGGGGTCGTTTAAGGCGCTACAATTCGCTGTGCAGAGTTGCCTCCCTTGGGCACGCCAGAAACCTATGATTGTGGGTTTGAATCCCGGTTTGCCCCGATTACGTTTCTAGGTTTGTCAGCACCATACCCGTGCTCGTGGGTTTCACCGAAGTGGTAAACGTCTAAGACCTGCATCACTTTGGGCTTTCCTCCCACATTAAGCTGACACGCCGTGATATAACTGGAATACTGTTAAAAGCAGCGTTAAACCCAACTCACTCACTCGCTCGTATGATTTGGGTATAAACTGTAACATCAGGTACTACTTGGGGCTACCTTCTGAAGGCTTATGAAATGGCAAGCAGGATGTTTACTTGGATGTTTGGCTGTAGATTCAGATGTCTTATTTTGTGTGTGTTGTGTATAAATTTGACTGGGGTATCTCCTTCGAAGAGACATGACCTGGCTGTGCTTGTATGATTTCATTCTCTGACAGGGGCATGCAGAGTTGCATCCCCTGGGCCCGTCAGAAACCTGTTATTGTGGGTTCAAACCAGTTTCCCCAGATTGTTTCTGTTTGTTAGCACCATGGTTTTGACCAAAGTGGTAAACGTCTGAGGCCTGCATCACTTCAGGACTTCCTCCCACATTGAGCTGACATGCTGTTATATAATTTTCAAAGCAGCATTAAACCCAACTTACTCACTCACTCATACTCTGACTGCAGTGATCACATTATGGAGGGTTCCCCAGCAGCCTAAGCATGTCATATTTGGCGACTGTTGAATTGGGAAGTCAGATTTGGTTTGTGTCTTTGTACCCTGATGGTGTGGTATTTTTTTCACAATATTTATCACTGGTTTGTCTGGTCCGGAACTGATCATTTTCAAGCCCAGTGGAATAGCTTGAATACTGCTGAACATTGCACTAAACAACAAACATAAAATTGATCTAGCTTCACTATTGTTCACAATGGGATTGCCACTCCCCAACACACCAAGTAGAGTGTTATAAGAGCCGACTACAATGAGAACCTAGTTGATAGTGTGTCATCTTACCCTGCTATTGTGGATAGTTGCTCATGCTTTCAATAATTGGTTTGCTTTGACCAGCCTTGATTATTTGTAGGAAGCCTTGATACAGCTGAAATATTGCTGACTTTTAAGAGGGGTGTAAAATAACATTCATTCACTCAGTCATCCAGTTTTACCAATGGGCGCATCTTGAATACTTCCTGGGTTTGTATGCACTACGTCCCTCCATCATCTGTGAGTACATACAGCACCATGAAATGCAGTAGCGATGTGTGTCTATATTTATACACTACGTCCCTCAAACCTGTGAGTACATACAGCACCATGCAGTGTAGTAGTGATGTGTGTCTATATTTATACACTACGTCCCTCCATCACCTGTGAGTACATACAGCACCATGCAGTGTAGTAGTGATGTGTGTCTATATTTATACACTACGTCCCTCCATCACCTGTGAGTACATACAGCACTATGCAGTGTAGTAGTGATGTGTGTCTATATTTATACACTACGTCCCTCCATCACCTGTGAGTACATACAGCACTATGCAGTGTAGTAGTGATGTGTGTCTATATTTATACACTACGTCCCTCCATCACCTGTGAGTACATACAGCACTATGCAGTGTAGTAGTGATGTGTGTCTATATTTATACACTACGTCCCTCCATCACCTGTGAGTACATACAGCACCATGCACTGTAGTAGTGATGTGTGTCTATATTTATACACTACGTCCCTCCATCACCTGTGAGTACATACAGCACCATGCAGTGTAGTAGTGATGTGTGTCTATATTTATACACTATGTCCCTCCGACCGCCTCCGTGGTCTAGTGGTAGAGCGTCCGCCCGGAGAGCGGAACGTCCGGGGTTCGATCCCCGACTGCGTCATACCAAAAGACGTTAAAAGATGGTACTTGTTGTTACCCTGTCTGGCGCTCTGCATTAAGGGGCTAAAACGGGGACTGGTCGGCTCGGAGTCAGTATACTGTGTCTGAGTGGGGTATTCATGTTAAACTGCGGCATGGTATCTCAGTGTGCTAGCACTATAAATCGGCATCAGTCCGGACTAGTACAAGCAGCCACACAAACACACACACGTACATTCATGTCGCTATATAAGTGCAATAATCTTGGACGCGAGGTTAAACCCCATTTCAACTCACCTCACTTCGTCCCTCCATCACCTATGAGTACACCTGTGAGGTACGTAGTGTATACAAAACCAGCAAGTATTGATGATGCTTCTGGATCTGATCACATGGTTCAGAATGCTTGACATTATTTAAGTAAGCACAGGGATCGTACTATCAATTTTCTATTAACATGATTAAAGAGTGGTAAGATTTTTTATGATAGTAAATGTAGAGTATATTACTAGTTGCCATATGACATACCTGTAACAGCATACACCATGAATCACAGCCTGATGTTTGTTTAGAGTTTCAATTGTTTGTTAGAGATTTCAATTGTTTGTGAGATTTTTTCCTTTTTTGTACTCACATTCTGATCATGATGTGTAAATGCTATCACTGTATCATTGTAAAGTTGTTGACCAGTTTCAAATTCAGACATAACTATTTCCCTGGAATATTGACATGGGCCCAACTGACTTCATGCCAACAACAAAAAATAATTTCAGTATATTCACTATTCTCTTGAAGCAATGTGTTAATGTAGTCAATTATCCCCAAACAGTTCCTTACTGCACTTTATAAAGTGTCATTGAATTTTCAGCTTTTACCTGTAATTAGTAAGAAAAAGTATCTTAAGAAATTGTATTTTAAAATTTAATTAATATGCACCCTCCTACCCACCAAAACCTGAGACTTGATCACCCCTGGTCAGTGGCTAGTTATTGTTTGCTGATTGCATATATTTGGTGTAGTTTTGTCCCCAAGGGGACTTAACTCCCATATCCTGGCATTGTCTAGCTTCTTCTTACAGAAATCTCCTGTCTCTTATTCATCGATTGGTCGAGTTTGTTGTTCGAGAAGGACCCATGTTTGAAGCAATGATTATGAATAGGGAAATAAATAACCCTATGTTCAGGTGAGTGATCTATTGTTACTTCATGAAGAATATTTCTCTTCCTTTTGCTGTCTTTCAGTATTAATACTTGCCTGTCGCTATGGGTCTGTGTCACATGTATGCACAACATATCCAAATGGAATTATTTTGATTGATCAGTCTTGAATCTAAATTTTACAGATAGGCACTTTTAGACTATAGCAAATTAATTGATTAATTTCCTCATACTTTAACTTTGGATGGTGATTTTCCCATTGTGAACAGGTTACTTATAAGACATAATAAGGTCAACTTAGTATACCAAATTTAATGTCTTGTAATAATATCTTCAATGTCTAAATTTTGGTCTTTGTTAAGATCAGCAGTATGTAAATGTATGATTGAGGTGAATGTCGAGTTTGACTCTGAGTTAAGTTTTAATTGATTGAAAGAATGCCAAGAAGGCAGCTGGTTAGGTTCGAATGAATCATGCGAATATAAGTCTGCACGTGAAGGTGGGCCTGAATTTGCATGTGTTGCATATATAACCCATGGGCTAATAGCTTGGGGTCTTCAGTTAATGACATCCAAGGCATGTAGAGACTTGGTTTGCTGTTGGCCTTCTGGCATAAGTAGATATTTTCTTCTGTTTAGTTGTTTTTTAGATTTGAAACATTTCCCAAACAAAATACTAAAATCAGTCATTTCAAATAAGAAACACTATCCATATCATCATGATGAGAAAATTCAAATGCTACTTTTGACACAGACCCTTAAAGGAGGTAATCCAGTAAGGTATGTTATTTTGTGAAAGGAGATATGTTTTTCCTGTAATAATAACCTGAGCTTATTTATGTTGGTGAGTAGATATTTTGTCAACTTTGATTTGTATCTAGTGTGGTTTTCCCAGGCAGTTGTTCTTGACATCAGGAGCATCTTCCCGAGGCAAGTGAGTTAACTGACTTTGAAAGTCCAGTTTCCACCCTTGCTGAACTAGGCCGGAATTCTTGGGCTCTATCGTAGCGCCAACAGTGGCCAACAACTATTACGAGTTATGACCCGTCTGAGCCTCTCCAATGAGATTCCGCCTCTCCTATCAATTGCATTTGCTTGAAACAAAACAGTGGCGCCCCGCCAAGACGATCTGATCGATAATCAAGGTCTATGTTGTGATAAAACGGGTCTTACATTGCGCAATGCGTGAGCTCCTTGATTAAAAACATGAAAAGATTTGGAAAATATCTGTTGACAATGAGTTGGCGGTGCAAATGCTTTGCAAATCCTGCAATCGACCGAAATCTGCAGGACAGTTTACGAACCGGATTTCGATTTCGATGCACGGTTTTGATTGGACTATGCCTAGACTCGTTAGTCCAGCCAAAATGTAACTCCATAATACCAGCCTAGTTCGGCAAGAGTGGAAACTGGACTTTTTTAGTCAGTTAACTCCCTTGCCTTGGGAAGATGCATCAGGAGTGGCGATGCCTGATTGTCTCCCAACTGCTACCTAGGGAAAGTCACACTAAGTCTGCTTTAACCACTGACTGTTGATTACTGATATATCAAGAACCAATGCCTTGCATACCGAGAGTGCCGCAGTTATACTAGGGTAGTAGTGTGTCTGTGGGGAATAAATGGCGACTTAATAGATCAGGTGGTAAGACTCGCTGACTCTGGTGTCCCCTGCCGCTATATTGCTGGAATATTGCTAAAAGCGGTGTAAAACCAAACTCACTCACTCACTCGAATCCCAGATCACTGTGATTATTTTTCTAGGATTGTCAGCACCATACCTGGGTTTCACCAAAGTGGTAAATGTGTGATACCTGCATCACGTCAGGCTTCCCTCCCACATTAAGCTGACATGCTGTGATGTAACTGAAATACTGTTCAGAGCGGCATTAAACCCATTTCACTCACTCTCTCTTACTAAGATCGAAGGGCCTATACAGCAGTCACTGGTTAATGGGAAGAATAATGATAATACATTGTAGATGAGATGATGTGTGACAGAGTATTTTTCTGTCTTACCATACAGTCTTAGATTAAAGTGTATTGGAAATAATGGAGAATAAGCAATGTTTCAATTTACTGTAGCGAAGTTCCATGTCTTTAGAAGACAGACACATATCTTCAAGCACTATCTTTGGGAACAATTCGTTAGTGTCTTGTTAAAGAAAACTTTCGCAATTGATCAGGCAACAATATATAGATTATTAGATTTTCATCCCTTTTTTTTTTTTAATGTGAGGTGAGGTGAAAACCTCTCACTGAAAGGCATTTTCGTTTTTATTATTTGAAAAAATAAATTTAAACAAATTGTTCAGGGCATCTGTGTACACTAACTGTTGATGAATGTGATTATTTGAAGCATGAGTGTTTTGGTAGGACTATGTATATGGTCAGTTCACCAAGTAGTGAAAGAAGGAACACATAATTTTCTACAGCTGTAGAACTGCCTCCGTGGTCTAGTGGATAGAGCATCTGCTCGGAGAGCAGAAGGACAGTGGTTCGATCCCTGGCCATGTCATACAAAAAGACGTTAAAAGATGGTACTTGTTGTTACCCAGTCTGGCGCTCAGCATTAAGGGGATAAAACAAGGACTGGTCAGCTCGGCAGCAGTATGCTGTGTCTGAGTGGGGTATTCATTTTAAACTGCAGCACTGGTATCTCAGTGTGCTAGCACTATAAATCGGCATCAGTCCAGACTAGTACAAACAGACACACACACATGTGCATGCACGTCGCTATGGAAGTGCAATAATCTTCAACGCGACATTTCACCTGATCTCACTTGAGGCTTGGTATTTTATGTATGAGGCTGGGTGTTTCGTAGTGAGGTAGGCAGGGATGAAAGTCTAATTGTTTATTATGGACATATTGTTACATGTCCAAAAGGTTGACCAACATGACCATGTGTGCTTTTACACCAAAATGTAGAAAGACTAATCATATTTGAATGATGATCGTCTACACTTGATGGAAGTTCTTTCTGAAGTGCTCATTACTATAAGTCATAGAAACAATATGTTCGGCAACAATACTGTATGGTGAGATTATCTGCTCCTGCTGTTATCGACATAGGTTTCTTCTGGTTTCCAAATCTGAGATGTATATTGCTGTAGAAAATGTTAATTACGTGTAGTATGTGATCAAGCTAATTTCTGTGCTTTTATATTAACTAGATGCCATAGAAGATAGACTTCCCTGTCAGATCTTGTGTGGTAACTCAGTACATGTAAACCAGAGAAGATTCATGATTACTATTCTCTAAGTTCACTCATGGCAGTTAAGCATATATCCTGAAGTACACTCACTGATACACTATGTAAGCCAGGTCTTTGTCTCAGTATGGTAAGGGAAGAGAAACAGGTAATGTAACTGTGTCCAGCTACAAAAGTTTAAATTTTGATTTTCTTAACTGTTAAGGTAACCATCTGTGACCTGCATCATTTCAGGCTTTCTTCCCACATTAAGCTGACACACCATGAAATAACGGGAATACTGTTAAAAGCGGCGTTAAACCCAACTCACTCACTTATTTAACTGCCAAGAGGCACAACAGATTGATTGTATGATGTGAATGTTTTTACTATGTATTGTCAGAAAGTAAAGCAATTTGTGTATAATGCAGGTTTCTGTTCGACAACCAAACACCAGCACACACATACTACCGATGGAAGCTCTTCTCCATACTTCAGGTACAGCTCTCTTTTATTTGATGACATTGACATTTGTATTGACATCTTGCTCAGAATTTGTTAAAATATTCTCTTCTACTTATCGTTTGGTACCCATGCTTGTCATTATGATATGAGTGGGGTATCCTAGTGGTTAAGGCTTTTATTTTTTCTGTCTAAAGGCCTGGGTTCGATACCCCACATGGGTACTGTGTGTGAATCCCATTTGATAATGGTAGAATATTGGTAAAAGCTGGGTTAAATTCAGACCGAAGCAGCTGTAATGAGCAGTGACCAGCTTCAAAAATATAATATTGTCTCATTCTTGCCATTAGGGACAACTTTGTATGACCTAGTGGACATTGATAGCACTTGCATGTGTGATGACTGCATGATAGCATGTTCCCTGCAGAGCTTAAGTTGTAAACACCTTTGGGCATATCCAATAACATCCAAGCCCATTCCGGACAACTGCTATATGTAAATTGGAATTTAACTATATTTGGAGGGAAATACAACTAGTCCCTCTAGATTTTCACTTTTCTTGGACTAATGGCAGATTGGCACTAGATCTATAGTCCTTGTCAAACTGCCCAATAGTAAAGGTATCCTGAGGACTAGTAGAAATTTGCCATTTTTAGGGGTTTGCTATATGTCATCATTATAAGGACTAGTGGACAAAATCTGTTACCGTAGTTTCTGCCGCTGCTAATGGACTAGTGGCCGTATCAAACCCAGGTCATTGGTAACCCTTAAAGCTGCTTTGTTTAGTCCAGACGATGGTTACCATACAACTGTATTGTTTGACCAATGTAAACACCTATCACTTTCCCATTCTGGGCATTTGGTTTACCTAAGAAATGATCATCCTTCAACCCAGGTTTTCAGTGTCAGAAGTCGTCTCCAGCAACCTATGCTTGTTTTAAGAGTCGACTTAACGGATTGGGTGGTCAGACTCGATGACTTGGTTGATTGGGTCTCATCTGACCTCCATCGGTCAGTTTCGTCTGGTCCAGACTTGAATATTTACAGGCCACTGTCATAGCTGGAATATGTCTGCGTGGGGCATTAAGCAACAATCAAACAATCATTATGTACCAGTATTTGTATAGTATTAGTCACTGCTACTGTCTTCAGGGAGATTCACCGTACACATGGCGGACAGAAGAGTTCCGTATGTTCAAGGGTGGGTCTATGTGGCGACCCCCACCATTAAACCCATACACCCAGGGAATGCCAGAGGAGCTTGTGAGCAAGTCTGCCTATAGCCTCGATATTGACCCCAGCATTAAGAAGGGACAGCTCACTGACAGGTATGCACAGGCAACGTTTGCACTTACAGGCAGTATATTCACACAGCTGTTTGTCTATATGTACCAGACCCGTGAAGATTCCGGGGTGGAATAGATCTTCAGCAACCCATGCTTGCCGTAAAAGGCGACTATACTTGTCGTAAAAGGCAACTAACGGGATCGGGTTATCAGGCTCGCTGACTTGGTTGAGGCATGTCATCGATCCAAATTGCGTGGATCGATGCTCATGATGTCAATCACTGGATTGTCTGGTCCAGACTCGATTATTTACAGACCGCCGTCATATAACTGGAATATTGCTGAGTGCGGCGTTAAACAACAAACAAACATAACAAACAAACTATATCTACCATGTTTGGAGATTTGCCTTGATTCTGATACCTGCAGAATTATTTTCAAATTGATGAAATATGTTTTTATTCTGATCACAGTAAAACTAGATCAGAAAAATTAGTTAGTAAGGAAATAAGTTTAGTGGATCACAGTCAATAGTATTGCTGGCATTTGTTGGATGAATATCACAGGGTACAGGTTAGACAATTCCTTAAAACAACCTGTAGTTCCCCAATTTTGATTGTAGATGTTTTCTATGATACACAAAACTGATTCTCATAATATGTGAAGTGTATATTCAGTAGAATGACAAATCTGATGATCCCTATCAAAAGTAGAGTAGTATCTAAAAGATGCCGTTTGCAGTGTCAGCTGGCACCTGCAGGGTTTTACCAGACAGACAATATTGCATCATGTACACAGTGATGACACATGACCATTGGGGGCAGTCGGGTAGCCTGGTGGTTCGCTCGTCACGCCGAAGATCCGGGTTTGATTCCCGACATGGGTACAATGTGTGAAGCCCATTTTTTGTATCCCCTGCCGTGATATTGCTTGAATATTGCTAAAAATGGCCTAAAACCTCACTCACTCACTTACTCACTCACTCACTCACTCACTCACTCACTCACTCACTCACTCACTCACTCACTCACTCACTCACTCACTCACTCACTCACATGACCGTTGAATATCTAGTAGCAGCAATGAAGGGGTAATGTAAAAAAACATTTGATGTTCCAGTCAGCGAGACAGGTTGGAGGACATGTTGCGAGAGTTGAGCCCAGAGCGGCAGAAAATAGCAGATGCCATGGTGTGGTGTCTGGATCACGCAGAGTCGGCGGAGGAAGTGGTGGAATGCATCGCCGAGTCTCTGTCCATCCTTCAGACTCCACTACCTAAAAAAGTTTGTAACCTCAGACCATGACCAATGCCTCCGCGACTAAGATGCCACGCAGATTGTCAATGTTTATGTGCTTTAAATATCTCAATACCAAACTATGGGGCACAGGTGGCCCAGTTATATGAGGCTCTGCAATTCACTGTACATAGTTATGTCCCTTAGATATGCCAGCATCCTATGATCATTGGTCCAAATCCCAGATTTGCCCTGATTATGATTCTTGGTTTGCCAGCCCAATACACTTGCTCAGGCTTTCCTCCACAATTAAGCTGAGATGTTTCCTGGTGTAGGTACTCTCTTATGGTAAATGTATACGTCCTGCATAAGTTAGTGTTGTCTTCCTCAGCAGCCTCATGCCCATCACATTCGCTCTCTCTGAACCAAACAAAGCTGTCAAGATCTCTCACACACCAGAGAACGTCACAGACCATAACATGCTTTCCCCAAGACAATTAATATTTTTATGCTGAACTATGTCGATATTTCAACAATTGTATCTTTATTGATTTTATCACCAATATAGTATCACAACACATTGCATGCACTTGAAAAGCTCACAGCTTAATGCAGATGTTGAGAAGTCTTATGGTAGTTCTGATGAGTTGTCAGAGACACAAGATGTATCTTTATCTCTCCTGTTTCAGATTGCACGTCTGTTCCTCGTGTCGGACATCCTGTACAATTCCAGTGCTAAAGTGGCCAATGCATCCTACTTCAGAAAATAGTAAGTAGATTCTTCAGCAGATCTGTGCATCCCTTAGAAGCCAGGATCTTGCTTTTGACTTTCATGTGCATCCTGCTTATGATCCTTGCATGAGACCCATGAACATCCGAGGTAGAATAGGTCTTCAGCAACCCATGCTTGCCGTAAAAGGCGACTATGCTTGTCATAAAAGGCGATTATGCTTGTCGTAAGAGGTGACTAATGGGATCGGGTGTTCAGACTTGCTGACTTGGTTGATGCATGTCATCGTATCCCAATTGTGTAGATCGATGCTCATGATATCAGTCACTGGATTGACTTGATCATGTTGGATCATGTTAGGTTTCAGCATTGTGGTAAACATTTATGCCATGTGTATCTGTTGGCTTTCCACCCACATAAACCTTGCTTGCGTTTCAGTTTATGAGACATGTTGCAAGGTCAAATACATATGCAATGTCAGGATTCTACCCTAGTTCAGAAATTTGTGGAATGTTTGTGGCATATGATTTGTTTTCCACAAAGGTCAACATCTTCATAATAGGAAGCGTGATCTCCATTTGATTAGATATAGGTCAAGGTAAGTTGAAAGTGTGACCAAACTGATTGCCTACAACTACTATTTACTTATGAAGATGTCCAATAATTCACAGGCCCCTATGTATTGATAATTGCTCTTGAACATATTTACCATGAGCCACTTAGTTCCGAAGGGAATAAGGGTAGCATTGAGGTCTTATTGAAAAGATTCTCTGTTATATAACTGGCAACAATGGTTGATCCGCTTGTTCCATTATGCGTAAGCTGCATTTATACATGTTAGATAGACACCAGAATAGTACATTGTCATGCTTCTATCTCTCCTTGCAGCTTTCAAGTCAAGCTTGAAGAAATATTCAGAGATGTACACGAATCCTATGAAAACATTGATGGAAGATTAAAAGCGGAACAGTTCAAGGTACATTGTTGTTTGTGTATGACTTGTGACATGTACAAGCATGGAATATTGCTGACAGCAGCGTAAAACAACATTCACTCCTTTTCTCTCAGGAATGACATTGGTCCCCTGTGAAGATCTGACCGCCTCCGTGGTCTAGTGGTAGAGAGTCTGCCCAGAGAGCAGAAGGTCCAGGGTTCGATGCCCGGCCCTGTCATACCAAAAGATGTTAAAAGATGGTACTTGTTGTTACTCTGCCTGGTGCTGGGCATTAAGGGGATAAAACAAGGACTGGTCGTCTCAGAGTCACACACCACACCACACCACACCACACCACACCACACCACACCACACCACACCACACCATTTGTAGATTAATGCTCATAATGTCAATCACTGGATTGTCTTGTCCAGACGTGCTTATATACAGACCGCTGTCATATAGCTAGCATATTGCTGAGTGAAAAAACAAAAAACAACTGACATTGGTGATTGTGAATCATAATACTTTGATGGAGATGGTTGTTGCCTAGCAAATGTTTGTCTGATCCAGATCAAACAAATACTTTACCCCTCACAATTGTGAACCATTTAAAAGGTAAACATACTGTGTTTTCAATGTAGAGATCTAAATTACCTGTAGATTTACCCACACAAATTTGATTTTGTAATATAATCTATAATAACTACTTAATTTCCTATTCTGAAATGTGGTTTAAGCAGCTTGTTACTTGTAATTCCAGCAAAAGGTGATGTCGTGTTTCCGGACGTGGGAAGACTGGGCCGTCTATCCAAACGACTATCTCATCAATTTGCAGAATGTCTTCCTCGGCCTCATTACACCCAAAGAAGAACCGGTCAGTAGAGAGACTGCATTGTCTCACTTTTGCTCAAATCTGCAAACCCATGAAGATCTGGGTTAGAATAGTCTTCAGCAACCCATGCTTGTCACAAGAGATGACTAACAGGGTCAGGTGATCAGGCTTTGCTGACTTGGCTGATGAGTGTCATCGTATCCCAGTTGCGTAGATTGTTGCTCATGATGTCAATTACTGGATTGTCTAATTCAGACTTGGTTATTTACACTGGAATATTGCTGAGTATGTGTTGTATGGTGTGTCAACCCGGCATGGAGATCATGGGAAAACTTATGTTAGGCCATTCAAATGTTTAGCACATGTGAGATTTTATTGTGTCATTTTAAATTTACCCCATGCTCTCTAATACTGGTTATTGTACCATCATTCTATTGATAAATACACTGAATACAATTGTCACTATAACTTTGTTTTAACTCCAATGCAAAATATGCAGTGCTACAAAGTAACCATCCGCTCAAATTGCACTCCAGCGGGGAAAAAATCTGTGCAAAGTTACTGATATAACAGGGGTTAATATGATGACGTCACTTGTGAAATGAAACTTACGGGTCCAGTTTCTAATGTAGCTGTTGTGCCCAGGGGCCCGTTCCACTGATTGATCTAGGTGCTTAGGTGATGGTTACTCCAATAGTGCAAGCCAAGATAGGCTTGCAGTAGTTATAGCACTAACATCACTTTGTGAAACTGGGGCCAGGTATTTATCATAATAGGATGATGGTGTGATACCTTGTATTATAGAGGATTGGTATTATTTGTTATGCCCACATCAGTATTATTTGTTATGCCCATTGTTTGCACCCCTTGGAGTGATGTATGTGTTGAACTCCTTCACTGTATGTTTTGTCAGGAGGTTGAGGAGAAGATAGAGAAGCCTATTGTAGACTACCTGGATGGAGCTCCACTTGATGATCTGGACGGCTTGCCACTGAAAGATATAGAGTACATTGAACGCAAAGTCATTGAGGATTTGGATGGGGCACCACTGTCAGATGACTTGGATGGCATGCCGTGTAAGTATAAACATTGAACTCCATACAGATTTACATTTTGTAGGATTACCTCTATGAATTTGAAAATAAAAAGTCTTGGCTAAAAGAAAATATATCAACATATTTCAAGGAGAAATGGGCACATATTTCAAGGAGGAAATGCTGCTAGTATTGAGATAGGGATTTTGGTGCTTGTTTTTCAATCGAAAGTTTCACAGTAGAAGTAGCCATCAATGTTGGCTTGTTAAGACCTTTATTGGTCCAGAGCAGAAGCCCATTTCTGATGTCCCGCGCCGTGATATTGCTGGAATATTGCTAAAAGCGGCGTAAAACCTCACTCACTCACTCACTCACTCACTCACTCACTCACTCTCTCACACACACACACACACACACACACACACACACACACACACTCACTCACTCACTCACTCACTCACTCACTCACTCACTCACTCACTCACTCACTCACTCACTCACTCACTCACTCACTCACTCACTCACTCACTCACTCCATAGCAGAACCACTGACTGCACACTGATACAAATAGACCGCCTCCGTGGTCTAGTGGTACCATCTTTTAACCTCTTATAAAGGTGGGTCCTTGTTGTTACCCTGCCTGGCGCTCGGGGACTAAAACATTGTGGATCATGGCTCACAATATCAGTCACTGGATTGTCTGGTCCAGTCATGATTGTTTACAGGCCAACATTATACAGCTGGAATACTGCTGAGTTAAGTCGTCAAACAACAAACAAACTAAAAACAAACATGAATAGGATTTATGTCATCATAAGTTTGTCAGCGTACCAGAAATAAGTACTAGTTTAATGAAACTGTGCTTCACACACACAGACAGTTTGCATGTGTACATAGTGGAAACTATAGTAAACTAATCATATGTTTCCCTTTTCAGTGGAAAAGCCTGAAAAGCCAGCCAAGCAAGACACGTCTTCCACTGCCCGCTTCGCCCGGTCCAAGTGGGAGGAGGTTGATGAGACAGAGCTGGAAGCACAAGGTAAGGGGTATTGGAGCTCTGGCATTTGATAACCCGGTATTTTAAATGCATACACACTTCATTGGTTGATATATAATGTATTAATGTGCACATTCCGGTAGAACTTGCAATGTTTGGATACCGTTCGTGACAGATGAAAATTCTTAGGTTGAAGATAGAATCTTAAGAATGACATTATTTGATAAACTGTCCTGCATACCAAGGCTCACTAAATACAATGTTTATTCCTAATACAGGATATTGACCATCCTAAATGCACTCACGTAATAACCCCTTATACTAGTATTGGGTGATAAACTTCAAGGTAACTTTGAACTTTTCAGCAATGTCAACATCCAAGTGGGACCTGCTGGACCAGCAGAGTGGGGAGGAGGAGGACGGGGGCGGACAGGACCAGATGGTGGGGGAGGACATTGATGGAGCGTGAGTAGGGTCACCTCACCATGGAGGGTATTTGTATAATCTGCTGATGATAAAACATTGTGACTAGAAACTGAGTCAAATAAATGGATCAGGTGGTCAGACTCTTTGACTGATTGTGTGTCATCATACCCTGATTATGAGACGATAACTGTCCTGTTTACTGGTTTGCCTGGCCCTGATTCGATTATTTCAGTGTGATAAAGCTTGAATATTGCTGAGGCAGTTTGTTAAAGCTTGAATGTTGCTGAGGCAGTGTGAAAAAGCTTGACTATTGCTGAGGCAGTGTGAAAAAGCTTGAATATTGCTGGGGCAGTGTGATAAAGCTTGAATATTGCTGGGGCAGTGTGATAAAGCTTGAATGTTGCTTGGGCAGTGTGATAAAACTTCAATATTGCTGGGGCAGTGTGATAAAGCTTAAATGTTGCTGGGGCAGTGCGATAAAACTTGACTATTGCTGGGGCAGTGCAATAAAGCTTAAATGTTGCTGGGGCAATGTGATAAGACTTGACTATTGCTGGGGCAGTGCAATAAAGCTTAAATGTTGCTTGGGCAGTGCGATAAAACTTGACTATTGCTGGGGCAGTGCAATAAAGCTTAAATGTTGCTGGGGCAGTGTGACAAAGCTTTACTATTGCTGAGACAGTGTGATATAGCTTGAATGTTGCTTGGGCAGTGAGATATAGCTTGAATGCTGCTGGGGCAGTCTGACAAAGCTTTACTATTGCTGGGGCAGTGTGATAAAGCCTGAATATTGCTGACTACAGTGAACAGCAACAAACAAACAGTTTTTGTGAGCCATGAAACAACCTCATTGTTGTTTGGGATAAAGTTTGGTCAGTTGAATTGAAAGCAAAAGACATAACGCTTCTGCTACTGCCAAGTAAACACTTCCAAGTAAATGATAGAACTCCAGACTGAGAAATTGTATTTGAAGAAATGAGGCAACTTGGACTGTTTCAGCCCCATGGAGTTAGAGGACAGAGGACAGGAGTCTGAATCGAGTGAGGACAGTGATGATGATAGCCAGGACCAAACTCCATACAGACAGGAGATGTCTGAGGAGAGGAGAGCCAAGCTGAGAGAAATAGAGGTGAATAAGCTGTTTTATCATCCAAAACTGGCTCCCAAAGGAGATATAGCTTGGGTGAGATCAAGCGATATCTACATTGTAGATATCTCTGCAGTGAAATTGCATCACAATGCTTTGCAGACCATTGTGACATCATTGTTTACAATAACTAATGGCTCTGCTACTGAAGCTGTTAGCAGTACTTTTTACACTTAAAATATGATACATTTGACACTGCTTATTACTGTCTACAAACTGAAAAAGTTTGAAGAATAAAATCTCACCCTCTTGTCCTTCCACTTTTATCAACTCGTGTTGACATATTTGATATCAAAAGGCACTTGGTTAAGATTCTCTATATAGAGTAGACAGCGTCAGAAATAGTCCTTGCCAAACTGCCCAATAGTTTAAGGTATCATAAAGATTGGTAGAAATTTGCCCCTTTTAAGGGTTTTGCAGTATGTTATTGTAATAAGGAGTCTTAGGCCTCGTGGACTAAAACTGTTAGTTTCTAATTCTGGTAGGGGCAAGTCATTTTAGCTGTGGGTCAAATTTACAGACTTAGCCAGTGACTTAGTCCTTCAGCCTGCTTAGTGACAGTGGGGTAGGCTAGCCTAACGAATGAGTGCCCCTCCTTGTCATTGTAGTATTGACTGTCTGTTGTTATACTGAGAAGGGGTGGTGGGGTAGCCTAGTGGTCAAAGCACTCGCTCATCATGGGTACAATGTGTGAAGCTCATTTCTGGTGTCCCTTACTGTGTTATTGCTGGAATATTGTTAAAAGTGGCGTAAAACCATACTCACTAGCTCACTTAAACTGGTAGGGGGCATCACTTCAGGTTTCCTTACACATCAAGCTGGCAAGTCATGATTTAACTGAAGTACTGTTCAAAGCTGTCACTCACTCACTCACTCACTCACTCACTCTGTTGATGCAGGTGAAGGTGATGAAGTATCAGGATGAGCTGGAAGCTGGACGCAGATCTCGCAAACCTAACTTAACCTTTGCAGAGCAGATAGCCCACTATCGCAAGAAACTCTTACAGAAGGTATGTACATGACAGTCACATTGAAACAATTCTTTTAGTCCAAGTAACTTAACCGAGAAGAGTGAATATCACCAGTGTTGTATTAATAAAAAAGCAACATGCAGTTGCCAAATCGGTGTATTAGTTAAAGAAAAATATTATTCTTATTTGTTCTGTACTTCTGGGCGTGCTCTGTAATTGTTCGGGTAATTGTAATTGTTGGTGATTGTTGCAGGAGACCAGTGAGTCCCCCGGAAGAATGTCACGTGAGAGGAAGAGACACAGGTCAAGGTCACCATATTCACCATCACTACGCCTTGGCTATGACAGTCCCAAGCGATCAAAGAAAACGAAAAGGTTGGTTATCAGTCATGCTGTAACAGCAAGATAAATGTATGCACATAAGGCAGGATATTACATAGGTTGTCTGTTTTGCGTTGTCCTCATTTATTCAATACCATTGATGTGAAGGGACTCATCTGGCCATTCTCAGAGGCTAATGTTCAGCAAGTCTGAGGGGCGGTCGGGTAGCCTAGTGGTTAAAGCGTTCGCTCTTCACGCTGAAGATCCAGGTTCGATTCCCGACATGGGTACAATGTGTGAAGCCCATTTCTGGTGTCCCCAGCCGTGATATTGCTGGAATATTGCTAAAAGAGGTGATAAACCATACTCACTCACTCACTCAGCAAGTCTGTTGGTAAACATTTGCAAATTTGAATTAGTGATATACCAATTCAAGTTCACATAAACTGTTGACATTTGTGATTTAGTTACACATTATTGCATTGCATGCTATGTTGGAATTATTTCAGCTTATAAGAATATGAGAACCCCTTACAAATAACTGAATTAAATCCCAATTTGCCTGCCATATACATTTGTATAAAATCCTAGATGAATCCTTGTGTTTGTTCCTTTGGTTTCTGGGAATGTTTGACCCCTTATGGTTATGTAAGGTGGCAACTTGAGTTGGTTAGAACACCATCAGCGGACCACTTGCAAGGAGACCTGTGAGACCTGTTAAACAACAAACAAACCAAAACTTGCTAGGAATTAGTGTCAATAGAAATGGGACTTGGATTGATATTCATACTGATGGGGGGCAAAGGTGGCCCAGTCAGGCGCCACAATTTGCTGTCCAGAGTTGCATCCTTTAGGTAGGCCAGAAACCTATGATTGTGGTTTCAAATCACAGTACCCCGATTATGTTTCTAGGTCTGTCAACAAAGTGGTGTATTTCTGATACGTGCATCACTTCAGACTTTCCGCCCACATTAAGCTGACGTGGCATGATATAACTTGAATACTGTTGCAGTGTTATACCCAACTCTCTCACTCACTTACTGATGCTTCTCATATGCCACCTCCAGGTTAAGTTATCCGGACTGAATATATAGCACACTTCCTTTACTCACACATTGTTACCCTCATCCACACTGTCTTCTGCAACAGCCCCAAGAGATCTCGACGGTCAAGGTCACCAAAGTCAAGGTCACCCAGGAAGTCTCCATCAAGAAGTCCAAGTCGTCATCGGCACAAACACAAGAAGAACAAATACAGAGACTGATGTCCGTGCCTCAGTATTTCTTGTATATATTGTAAAGACATTGTACAGTGACAAGCTACGCCAACAACTACAGTGATCTCTCCCACCTTCTGCAGGTTTTAAGTCAGTGTTCCAAAGTGAATATACCTGCCAATCCAAACAAGATATATTTTTGTCAAAAATTTGTTTGTCTGTGTTGTCGATTGGTACAAATTTCTCATGACTTGCTGCATTTTCAGATGAACTTTGAACACTACTTGCTAGACCTACTGCTAGACAAACTTAATAAAAGTCAAAATGAACACCACGTTTTGGGACGTAAGCGTTCTTCCAGCAACAAATGAGCCCATTTTCACTGACCTTGAGACTGTGGCCAAGTTTGGCGCTGTGGACGTGGAGTTTGTGGAGCTTTACAGCTGTCAATGCCTGGCCCAATAGCATACCTTCAACCCCTGCTTTTATCCACAGGTTCAATTGTCGGAGGGTGGTTTTTCTTGAGGTTGTTCAGCAGTCACCTTCACACGTTATTTGATTAGTACAATGACACAATAAGGGATAATGATCTTTATTCATTCTTTAATATATGTTTCTTAGGGAATGCAAATTTCATAGTTATTGCAGTGGGGTTGTACAAGTTCTTTCAAAATGTTAAAAAAAGAATCTACAGAAAGAACTTAACCATTAAGAATATTGTCCAGGGCCCTGTTCCTCAAAGCGATCTTAGTGCTGCATTGATCGTAGGCCTATGATGAAGTATGGGAGTTACGACCAACTTAGTACTAAGATCGCTTTGTGGAACAGGTTCCAGGTTTGGCATTCTTGCAGGTCAAATTCCGACCGGTGTACACGGTTCTTTGTTCTACATTCAGATTTTCTCTGTTTCTCCTCCACACCAATGGCAGCATGTAATGCATTCAGCAATGAGTTCACTGTAGTGATGTTGGGCCAGGTGGGATGAGGCATTATTCTTATCCATTCATATTTACCATTCATTCATCACGTTTCATCACATTTAAAATGCAAGAACCAAATGTACATCTATATTGAATGTTCCTATGTAAGTCCTTTGAAGATTTGTCCTTTTTTTCTTCTGATGGCACCCCTTCAATCACTCTTTCTTGTATGAATCAATTGAAAGTACAAAATATTTGAACAGATACTTTCTGAAGATTTAACAGTTTTCATTTAGCCTGAACAAGCTTCAGTTCAATTCAATATATTCATGGGCATGCCATATCGTTCCTTTGGGTTGAGGGGCAGTCAGGTATCCTAGTGGTTAAAGCGTTCGCTCGTCTCCGAAGACCTGGGTTCGATTCCTGACATGGGTACATTGTGTGAAGTCCATTTCTGGTATTCTCCGCCGTGATATTGCTGGAATATTGCTAAAATGTTACACCATACTCACTCACACCTTCGAGGTGATATTCAACATATCATGACTGAATCACCCTCTAAAAAATGTCAAGATTTGTATTTTTAACTTATCAGTCATTTGTGACTGCAGCATGCATGTTATGTCAAGTATTTAATAAATGAAACTTATTTCCCAAACTTAGTTTATGTTAAGTAAGAATCCTTATCTTCTGCAGAGAAATGTGCGGCGTTAAACAACAAAGGACAAAAAGGCAGAGAAATGTAGCGTTTTATCATAATGCCCCAGTCAAGAGTCAAGGTCCTGTTATTATCAGTTAACGTATGGATTAAAATGTAGAAAAAATACTTTGATTGCATGATCAGGCAATATTTCTGTTCAATATCATTTTGGAAATTACGCAAATTTTTTTAAACAACCTTAACAAATAATGATATTACAGAAGTACATAAAATTTTCAATTAGTCATGAATTCTCTTGATAAAATTATTATGTGATCTTCTTTTAGAAGATTTTGTGAGGATTTGTACCAACGTTTGACATGTTTGTATCAGCTATCAACTCCACAGCATCTTGGGTGCTCAATGAGAAGACTATCATAATTTATTGATTGCTAGTATCATGCATTTTGTGTCAATTCGTTTTTTAATGATGTTATTAATGCAAAAGTCAGGTGAAACATATGCACTGTTAACTGATCATCGTTTCCAAAGGAAAGATATTGTTGAAGGAACTGCTGTGTGTTCGCAGGGTCATCCGGTTAATCAAAGAGGAAGATGAATTTATGTTTATTGCTGCACCATATTTGAATGTGATGTACATTTACTCTCTCATCAATCAAGTCACATGTTGTTACCATTGCTGCCAATCATGAAATAAAAATGAACAAGTTATGTTTTTTCTCCTGTTTTATTTCAATTCACTGTGACCGGTATAAACTGTGTTCTCAGATTCCCTACTTCCATAATATTACGCTTGTCCTCTTCACCACCTCTGTGACCTGTGAAGATGCCGGAGTAGAATAGGTCTTCAGCAACCCATGCTTGTCAGGTTTGCCTGGCCAAGACTTAGTTATTTAGATGCAAACACAGAAGCAGCTCACCTTTTCCTGAATGCCCCCAAACCTCCTTCCAGTAACATGTATCCTAACTATATGGACTTCACCAAATCAGGTCAAGACTGACCTCACCAGTATCTGTCTGTCTTCATCTTTGATCAGCATCAAACTGCCGTCATTATTAACTGGCTTTGACTGCCCCAGTGGTCTAGTTTTATTGCCGGGAGAGCGGTAGGTCGGGGGGTTCGATCCCCGGCCGCATCATAACAAAAGACGTTAAAAGATGGTACTTGTTGTTCCCTGCTTGGCGCTCACCATTAGGGACTAAAACAAGGACTGGGCAGTTGGGATTCAGAATAGAGTCTGAGTGGAGTATTCATTTTAAACTCATGATATCAGACTCATGGCATGATATCTCAGTGGGCTAGCGCTATAAAACTGACATTAATCCGGACTAGTACAAGCAGCCACCTACACAGGTGCAAGCATGTCGCTGTATAAGAGCAGTAATTTTGGAAGTGACGTTAGACCCCATTTCACCTCACCTCACTTCTAATGGTAAACACTAGCTCAGTTCAGCATAGCTTGTAACAGAACGACTGCCTCAAGCTACCTAAGAAAGGAGTATGCACTTCCGGTCCAGTGACCTCAACCTTCTATATTGGCTATGACAATGTCTGCACCAGACTTCATTATTTACAGACCAATCTAGTGATTAACATTATGAGCTTCAATACAAGAAATTGGGACACAATGACGTGCAATCAACAAAGTCCCCGAACCTGATCATGCCATCCAATTTGTAACCTCAATCAAGAAGCATAGGTTGCTGATGACCTATATTTCTCCATACAGGTAATATGACAGTTAAAAAGTCCTTCAATGTTAAAGGACCTAGTTACAATTGCAATCATATATACTCAAGATATCGTGCACACAAGTTTTTTTCATTAGTACTTCATGCAGTGACCTTGACCTTCACATGTGAAAACATTTCTAATTGCGCAATTATCAGGTGTTACAAATATGAAATCATCATGCCATATTTACTTTGCTTTCAGAACAAATTACATACTGATCATTTCATGAGTGAAAAGGGGGCACGGGTGGCCCAGTCGTCTAAGGCGCCGCGATTCGCTGTGCAGGGTTGCGTCCCTTGGACACGCCAGAAACATATGATTGTGGGTTCGATTCCGGTTCGCCCCGATTATGTTTCTAGGTTTGTCAGCACCATACCTGATCTCGTGGGTTTCACTGAAGTGGTAAACGTCTGAGACCTGCATCACTTCTGGCTTTCCTCCCACATTAAGCTGACTCGCCGCGATAAAACTGGAATACTGTTAAAAGCGGCGTTAAACCCATTTCACTCACTTATGAGTGAAAAAGATGAAAGAGTCCTTGACATTCACAACAAACATGAAGTATGACGGTGTTCATGTAGTTGTTCAGAGTTAACCTGAACCCCTTTTGAAAATGCTTTAAATTCTTATGAATAAAACCAAACATTCCTGAAATTTGAGCCATGTTTCATAATGTGACCTCTAGAGACCTTGACCTTGACACAGGATGTACCCACAAGTTGATGCCATTGAGACCACGATCTAAAGATCACGTATACTCATTTTTGTTAAATTCCAGCCGTACAAGTAAATACTTTTGTGTACACAATATATTTTAACAGTTGGTGACATTGACCTTGAGTGTCATCCTGTCATGTCAGAAAATCTCCACAGTGGTATTATGTAAGAACATGTTTTAAAGTGCGGTTGAGAAAACTAATGCCTAAATTAGAAGATCCGGGTTCGATTCCCAGATGGGTACACTGTGTGAAGCTCCTAATTCCCTTGAATACTATACATTCCTGTTTGGGCTACAACCACAGTCGACAATCTTTAGATTTTTCAACAGACGCCCTCTGCAGTGCCGACATATCTGATAGTTGTGAGGAAAACCCCATACTCCGCAACCCTGCACCTCCTCTTCTTTCCTGTGTGTCCAGATGTAAACAGTCCACATTTGTTATCACGTCTAAAACACATTCGGTTTGCTATTTCTCACTATAGCGTCTTGAGATTGTCTTAAAGACAAGTGCAGGCAAGCTGAGAGCAGTATTTACAGATTTGGAAGTATAAGAAACAATCATTCTTGGAAGTAGTGGGAGATGGACTCTCCCTCTAAAACACCACCCATCATGTGCTCTGGGTGCGGCATTGGTCAAGTGATTGGGGATCCCCACCCTAGATGCCAGTCATGCAAAAACAGTATATGTACACCAAGCAAGATGTTGCTTCTGCAAAAATCTGAACCAAGATCAGTTTGAAAAAGTTTCTGAGGCTTGGGGCATAAAACTGAAGTCATCTAGGAAGACTAGATCGTTAGCAAAAATGTTTACAGTACTAAAAATAGGATGAAGTCCGATAAAGAGTCTCTTCTTATGTTCATTAAAGATCAATCCATTGAGAGGCACTTGGAGTAACACGATGGTGACAAATGGGAACACCGTCTCCCCTTTTGAGGGGCAATCTCACCATCCGTCCCACCCACCCGAGGGTAAGGAGCAGGCGTACTTCACTGGATATGGATCCGCTGATGTGTGTCTGAGCCTGTTTGGTTGTGACTTTGCTTTTAACGTCTCTCCCGCTGATGATGACTCTTTTCCGGAGGAAACGTTCCAAGTATATAATCCAAAAGTTATGCCATCTTAGTCCAACCTACAGGCTCCTTTGTTGGAGCAGACGGGATACGAAGAGCCAGTGTCTAAGGAGGGGGTATTCAGTACTCTACCCTTCAGGTCATATACAGACAACATCATTAGGAAGATAGACAAGTCACTGATTGATTAGCATGAAGGTCTACCCTTGGACTCCAAAGTAGACATGAGCCTGGAGCAGCTGAATTTCGTCCACAGTTCCTTAGTCTTTATCCTATGTATGCAGGGGGGAGCTCCAGTATGGAAGTATGGATGTCGGCCCAGTGTCTTCTCACGCAGCACTTCCATCTCGTACAGCAGAAATGCCAGAATGCGGTGCTGTTGAAGAGAAGTATGTTGACGCAGCTTATCGCAGCTCCACTGGTCTTCTACAGCAGAATCAGCTCCATCAAGGAAGAGATCAACCAGGCGACTAATGAAATGTTCCAGCAATCAACTGTCAACATGGTGTCCAGGATACAGAAACATCCAGCCAATGTTCAAGTTCACCGAGACGCACAGACATGTGCCATCATGGCAGGAGTATTTTCGTGCCCCAGCTCGGAAACACAGACCAACACATTCCAAGGCCGTTTTCACCAAGAGGTCCAGCCCTTTCCAAGACATGGCAAGAGGCAGAGGTAGAGATGATTAACCATGATGGGTTCTCTTTAGGTACTCACCCAGTACTAAATAGACTCATGAAGTCATTTGCATTGGAAGACATACCATGTACATTCCCCAAATTTATCAATAGTACTGTCAGCATACATGGAACAACACAATCCCAAATCAAATCCTACACTACTAATAGCTTCAACAAAAACAGCTTTTCTCCTAGCAATAGATACTGCAGTGAGGGTGTCAGAGCTACCTGTCATTGTTATTTCCACAATTAGACATACACAAGACTAGAATTGAATATCTTTCTGGTCCTTCCTGGAATTTATTGCCCTAAATAAGTTATCAGCAAATGGTCCCTCAGGCACAGACAATACACGACCCCTGCCTTATATGGAAGTGTGGTCATGCTGACAGGCTTTGATGTCCCATCAGAGCTCTGAGATACTATATCACACCAACTCAAAGACTACAGTAAAACAGAAAACGGCTATTCATCTCATGTAAGCCTCCACCTAAAAAGATGTTTTTGTTTGTTTGTTGTTTAACGCGGCACTCCGCAATATTCCAGCTATATGACGTCGGTCTGTAAATAATCGAGTCTGGACCAGTCAAGCCAGTGTTTGACATCATGAGCATCGATCTACGCAATTGGGATACGATGACATGCATCAATCAAGTCAGCGAGTCTGACCACCCGATCCCGTTATGCTACTATTCCACACAGAGCACAAATCCCACGAACCACCACGATTTGTAAATTTTAGTATTCGTGAGGATTCGTGGAATTTAGCAAATATTCTGGTTCAATTCGTGACGCTCTACGATCTAGTTACGATACAGGTACGATAAAGTTACGAATATTCGTTGGATTCGGCTGGATTTGAAAGAATAATGTCAAGAATTCACTACGTTTTACAAGAAGCTATTACGAATACTGCACGAAAGTTAGGAATCAGATACGAATCAGTTAAGAATACGCCGAATGCATGTACGAATCAGGTACGCATAAAAATGAATTCGCGACTATTCTTGACAATTTTGGGGGGTTTCCCTCAAGATAGCTTCAACGTGTATTCGTGGGATTCGTGACAGATTCGTAGCCGAAGCCACGAATTCACGAATCGCCGAATGAGTTAAGAATACCTACGAATGCCTACGAATCGATTACGATTCACTTACGATGCCTAAGAATGCATTACGAATTTGTTACGAATTAACTACGATATTTTTGAATTTTTTAACTTTGAACAGCTTAAAACTTTTGCTAAGAAATTCCCGATAGCTCAAGAATTATAAGAATTAACTACGAATATATGCGAATCAGTTAAGAATTTCATGAACTGATTACGATTCAACTACGAATCCTAAAATTTATCAATTCGTGGGATTCGTGGTCTGTGTGGAATAGTAGTATTACGACAAGCAAAGTCGCCTTTCACGGCAAGCATGGGTTGCTGAAGACCTATTCCAAGGCAACTGTGGCGGGTTGCCTCAAAGCATCAGCAAGCACAACTCTCTACACTAACTTGGGGAAGTTGCAGATCTCATGAGATACGAGCTCTAGCTACATATCTTGCCACGTGGAACACAGCATCTAAGTAGTGGCGAGATGCCAATGGAAATCCCACTATACGTTCTCTGATTTCTATTTGCGAGACCTACAAAGCGATCTTGAGGAGCTATACTCTCTGGGGCCCTTGCTGGCAGCCCAGGTGATAGTTACTCAATAACCTCCTCAACCCTTTTACTATGAGTAGGGGAGGGGGAAGATTCCAGGAAACATCAAAATCACAAGACGAGTTATCCCTTGAATCATTGTCAACTGGTGGTGGGCAGGTCGCTGGCAAACACCTGGACTCATAGATCTAGGTGATATAGGTTTCTACATGTTCGTGGGATGTAACATTGTACAAGCCAACTGGAAATTATGTCATAGGAGACATCAGCACCGTAATTATGCCAAATACGTAAATATCTGACATCACTAATGCAAGCTATCTGGAAATACCAGAGGCCATTTCCCATCAGTCCCTCTGGTGTATACTGTCTAGGATGTGATAGAGGTAGGGTATTCAAAGGAATTATCAATTGATAGTGATGATTGTGTTTTTTTCCTCAGAATACTACCTCCCCAATATATCTGTATGTAGATGGTAAGGATTATTGGTGGAACATAAGCGATGTTTTCCCGGCCCGCGCATGAATAACTATTGTTTGATTTCTGGTGTCCCCTGCCCTGATATTGCTGAAATATTGCTAAAAGCATCATAAAACCCCACTCACTCACCCATTCACTCACAGCTGAAATGTAAATTTAAAATCTGCACTTTCCGAAAAGCAATAGCTGAGATCATATACCGGAAATCAGCAGCAACATAATCCGACAACCAGTAGCTACTGAGGAAATAGTGGAGATGATGTAAATGAAATATACCCCAACTGTTTGACATACATGGTTAAAACATGAGTTATGTTACCTTTATACCATATACTCACCACATAACAAATTCGACCGGGTAGAATAGGTCTTTAGTAACCCATGCTTGCTGTAAAAGGCTACTATGCTTGTCGTAAGAGGTGACTAATGGAATCGGGTGGTCAGGCTCGCTGACATGGTTGATGCAAGTGTATTAAATAGTGACACAAAAGCACTGAAGCCCCCTGTTATGCAAATTCAGTTTTGATGTGCTAAACTTACTTATTTCAAATCCATACTTGGGTAAATAGATATGTCATCAATATTTTCTTAATTGACACTTTTTCTTAATCTTATTGTCTTTGCAAGGCATAAAAAAATAATTTTCACTGAACTTTACTGATGTGGTGGATTTTTTAAGTGTTCAAAGTGACAAGGCTTCTTAGCTGTAGCGACAGACATAGAGAACATGTTATGTTATTAGTGTAGTGATAGGTTCAGTAGATTAGCGGAAGAGGTTTTCAAGTTCAGTGCTTACTGATTGATAACACCAGCATCTCTGCTGGATTGCATCCCACAAGACAACATGCCATCATACAACTGAAATATTGTTCAAAGCAGCATCAAACAATTTCTCTCACACTTACTGATGGAAGGCTTGACACCTACTTACAAGCTCCACCAATCACACAGGAAAGCCATCTCTATCCTCCAGGGAGCTTGGGCGGTGGGGTAGCATTCGCTTATCACGCCAAATGCCTGGGTTCCATGCCCCACATGGGTACAATGTGTGAAGCCCATTTCTGGTGCCCCCAGGGTATATTGCAAAGATATTGCTAAAAGCAGCATAAAACCATAACTTTGAACAGCTTAAAACTTTTGCTAAGAAATTCCCGATAGCTCAAGAATTATAAGAATTAACTACGAATATATGCGAATCAGTTAAGAATTTCATGAACTGATTACGATTCAACTACGAATCCTAAAATTTATCAATTCGTGGGATTCGTGGTCTGTGTGGAATAGTAGTATTACGACAAGCAAAGTCGCCTTTCACGGCAAGCATGGGTTGCTGAAGACCTATTCCAAGGCAACTGTGGCGGGTTGCCTCAAAGCATCAGCAAGCACAACTCTCTACACTAACTTGGGGAAGTTGCAGATCTCATGAGATACGAGCTCTAGCTACATATCTTGCCACGTGGAACACAGCATCTAAGTAGTGGCGAGATGCCAATGGAAATCCCACTATACGTTCTCTGATTTCTATTTGCGAGACCTACAAAGCGATCTTGAGGAGCTATACTCTCTGGGGCCCTTGCTGGCAGCCCAGGTGATAGTTACTCAATAACCTCCTCAACCCTTTTACTATGAGTAGGGGAGGGGGAAGATTCCAGGAAACATCAAAATCACAAGACGAGTTATCCCTTGAATCATTGTCAACTGGTGGTGGGCAGGTCGCTGGCAAACACCTGGACTCATAGATCTAGGTGATATAGGTTTCTACATGTTCGTGGGATGTAACATTGTACAAGCCAACTGGAAATTATGTCATAGGAGACATCAGCACCGTAATTATGCCAAATACGTAAATATCTGACATCACTAATGCAAGCTATCTGGAAATACCAGAGGCCATTTCCCATCAGTCCCTCTGGTGTATACTGTCTAGGATGTGATAGAGGTAGGGTATTCAAAGGAATTATCAATTGATAGTGATGATTGTGTTTTTTTCCTCAGAATACTACCTCCCCAATATATCTGTATGTAGATGGTAAGGATTATTGGTGGAACATAAGCGATGTTTTCCCGGCCCGCGCATGAATAACTATTGTTTGATTTCTGGTGTCCCCTGCCCTGATATTGCTGAAATATTGCTAAAAGCATCATAAAACCCCACTCACTCACCCATTCACTCACAGCTGAAATGTAAATTTAAAATCTGCACTTTCCGAAAAGCAATAGCTGAGATCATATACCGGAAATCAGCAGCAACATAATCCGACAACCAGTAGCTACTGAGGAAATAGTGGAGATGATGTAAATGAAATATACCCCAACTGTTTGACATACATGGTTAAAACATGAGTTATGTTACCTTTATACCATATACTCACCACATAACAAATTCGACCGGGTAGAATAGGTCTTTAGTAACCCATGCTTGCTGTAAAAGGCTACTATGCTTGTCGTAAGAGGTGACTAATGGAATCGGGTGGTCAGGCTCGCTGACATGGTTGATGCAAGTGTATTAAATAGTGACACAAAAGCACTGAAGCCCCCTGTTATGCAAATTCAGTTTTGATGTGCTAAACTTACTTATTTCAAATCCATACTTGGGTAAATAGATATGTCATCAATATTTTCTTAATTGACACTTTTTCTTAATCTTATTGTCTTTGCAAGGCATAAAAAAATAATTTTCACTGAACTTTACTGATGTGGTGGATTTTTTAAGTGTTCAAAGTGACAAGGCTTCTTAGCTGTAGCGACAGACATAGAGAACATGTTATGTTATTAGTGTAGTGATAGGTTCAGTAGATTAGCGGAAGAGGTTTTCAAGTTCAGTGCTTACTGATTGATAACACCAGCATCTCTGCTGGATTGCATCCCACAAGACAACATGCCATCATACAACTGAAATATTGTTCAAAGCAGCATTAAACAATTTCTCTCACACTTACTGATGGAAGGCTTGACACCTACTTACAAGCTCCACCAATCACACAGGAAAGCCATCTCTATCCTCCAGGGAGCTTGGGCGGTGGGGTAGCATTCGCTTATCACGCCAAATGCCTGGGTTCCATGCCCCACATGGGTACAATGTGTGAAGCCCATTTCTGGTGCCCCCAGGGTATATTGCAAAGATATTGCTAAAAGCAGCATAAAACCATACTCACTCACTCACTCCAATCAATTGGCCCAATGTGCAAGTTTCTTTTTAATTACTTACATCTTGAGATTGAATATATAATACACACAACATGATGTCAAATGATCATTTATTCTCATTAATTACAGACATTGTGAATTGAGCTAACCCAAACGAGTATTCATTTCATGTAGTACAGACAACTGAATTTACACAATTCCAAAGATTTAATTCCCCTAACTTTACCAGAGCTGATATGATAAACATACATGCCCTGTTCTGTGGGCAGGTTAATGAAAACATACAAAAGATAGTTTACAGTGATGTTTAAATATTACTGCTTACATTTCATTCAGCTGGTAAATATTGATGTATAGTATGCAGGACAGCTGAAACTCGCAACAACAGGTCAAGATAAAACCAGGGAGGATTTAAGTCACCAGTTACAGTACAGTCAATATAAAAATCAAGAAAAACATCAACTGAGCAATTTTGAGCTTTGTCTCTAATCACTGAATCAAATGTGCCTCAGCTATAGGGAACGTCTGGTATCTGGAGCCAAACTAATCTTTAATGTCCTATCTTGACCTGTTGAGCATTGTTACCATTATGACTAATCAGTGTGGCTTTCACAGGATAACCCTTCAAAACTGTGGCCGCTTATACGGTACATAAGACACTGATACAAGGACGGTATACTACTGTTTTACTTCTACACAAGAGGCACATTAGCAGTAATCATATCACACATCCAATACTTCAAAATATATCACGAAAATTTGGCAGTGATGGTAGGGTAAACGAAAAGTACAGGAGTATTATCAAGTTATTGCACTGAAAGGTACTATCTATCAACATGGCTTGCAGCACTTCCAACAATTTTCTTCATAATTTTATAAATTGTATGTAGTTTCGTATAAAAGCAAATTGAATGTAGTGCAAGCCAGTTTGAAGCTACTGATGACCAGAGAGTACACTGTATTCTTTCACTCAGTTCAAAACATCAAATGTACAAAACAGAGAAGTCTGAAGGTTAATAGCACCAAAATGAAATCAGACTGGTGACCCTTTATTGCAAATTAAGGTCTCTTTTCTCTATCTAAACACATACCTAGCCAAGAAAAAAACTGTTTGTATGCGAAGCTGATGCTTTCAATACGTAGGGGGCAGTTTACGGTCCATCGTCTGACAGTATGTACAAGTTTTACAAGCACATGACGCCTGGAGCAATATCCCTGACGAGATCACATATTACTTACAGAAACTAAAAGAACATTTTCTTGTATTTATTTAAACCTATAAAGAAAAGGTTCAAGAGATTCATCTTTCATACAAACTTGGCACCTGCTTATTTTATTCCGTAAATTGCCTGCTTTGAGAGTGTCTGAGCGTGGCCTGCTAAACTGGTTATCTCTTTCTAAAGTAGCTAGCCAGAAACTTAAAGACGTTGCATAGTAATTACATGTGCCTCTTCCATGGCACTCAATGAAAGGAGCGGCACGGAAGTCCTCGAGGCAGGAGCCTGGGGAATCCAGGGACTGTCCGGAGCCTGAAGAACCAGCACCGGTGTTCTGAAACAGATAGGGAGGGAATGTGTCACTGTCTTAGCCAGATCATTGTCAGGATTTAGTGGATAAAGTGTCTACAAGACAGAGAGATGTCGGTGGTTTGATCCCATGCTGCATCATACCAAAACACTGTACTTGTCACCCTGCCTCTGCATTAAGGGAATAAAATACAGATTGGTCACCACACACTCAGAAAACTGTGTCTGAGTAGGGTACCCATGTTAAACTGCGGCATGGTATCTCAGTGTGCAAGCACTATTGAACCAGCATTAGTCCATACCAGTACAAGCATGATAACCCAATCTTTTAGTTGTCTCTTACGACATCAAGAGATGATGAAGACCAATTCTAACCCGGATCTTCACAGGTGTCAATGAGCACGACTGTGCTCGTGGCCAACTGTCCCCGTGCTTCTTAGATAAGGCAACTTACAAGAATGAAACTATAGCCGATCCAGAGAGACCTCCAGCCTCCGGGACATTCAGGCAGCACCATGGTCTGGCTGTGGACGGCCATGATCTGAAACAGGCAATACTCATAGTCTCTCATACGGCAGGAACACGCACATTTCCCTGTCTGTTAACAGGCAATACTCACATACTCACATTCTCACATACACAGCAGGAACATGTACAATTCTCTATCTGTTAACAGGCAATACTCACATACACACATACACAGCAGGAACACACATACATTTCCCTGTCTCTTATTTCCCTATCTGTTAACAGGCAATACTCACAGTCTCACACACAGCAGGAACTTGTACAAGTCTCTTTCTCACATTTCCCTATCTGTTAACAGGCAATACTCACATTCTCACATACGCAGAGCAGGAACATGTACAATTCCCTGTCTGTTAACAGGCAATACTCACATACTCACAGTCTCACACACACAGCAGGAACACATACATTTCCCTGTCTCTTATTTCCCTATCTGTTAACAGGCAATACTCACAGTCTCACACACACAGCAGGAACACGTACAAGTCCCTGTCTCTTATTTCCCTATCTGTTAACAGGCAATACTCACAGTCTCACACACACAGCAGGAACACATACATTTCCCTGTCTCTTATTTCCCTATCTCTGAACAGGCAATACTCACATTCTCACACACACAGCAGGAACATGTACAATTCCCTATCTCATATTTCCCTATCTTTGATCAGGCAATACTCACAGTCTCACACCAGCAGGAACATGTACAATTCCCTATCTCATATTTCCCTATCTTTGATGAGGCAATACTCACAGTCTCACACACAGCAGGAACATGTACAAGTCCCTATCTGTTAACAGACAATACTCACAGTCTCACATACACAGCAGGAACATGTACAATTCCCTATCTCATATTTCCCTATCGCTTAACAGGCAATACTCACAGTCTCACACACAGCAGGAACATGTACAAGTCCCTATCTGTTAACAGGCAATACTCACAGTCTCACATACACAGCAGGAACATGTACAATTCCCTATCTCATATTTTCCTATCTCTGATCAGGCAATACTCACAGTCTCACACACAGAGCAGGAACACGTACAATTCCCTATCTCATATTTTCCTATCTCTGATCAGGCAATACTCACAGTCTCACACACAGAGCAGGAACACGTACAATTCCCTATCTCATATTTTCCTATCTCTGAACAGGCAATACTCACAGTCTCACATACACAGTAGGAACATGTACAATTCCCTATATCTTATTTCCCTATCTCTGAACAGGCAATACTCACAGTCTCACATACACAGTAGGAACATGTACAATTCCCTATCTCTTATTTCCCTATCTGTTAACAGGCAATACTCACAGTCTCACATACACAGTAGGAACACGTACAATTCCCTATATCTTATTTCCCTATCTCTGAACAGGCAATACTCACAGTCTCACATACACAGTAGGAACATGTACAATTCCCTATCTCTTATTTCCCTATCTGTTAACAGGCAATACTCACAGTCTCACATACACAGTAGGAACATGTACAATTCCCTATCTCTTATTTCCCTATCGCTTAACAGGCAATACTCACAGTCTCACACACACAGTAGGAACATGTACAATTCCCTATCTCTTATTTCCCTATCTGTTAACAGGCAATACTCACAGTCTCACATACACAGTAGGAACATGTACAATTCCCTATCTCTTATTTCCCTATCTGTTAACAGGCAATACTCACAGTCTCACATACACAGTAGGAACATGTACAATTCCCTATCTCTTATTTCCCTATCTGTTAACAGGCAATACTCACAGTCTCACATACACAGCAGGAACACGTACAATTCCCTATCTCTTATTCCCCTATCGCTTAACAGGCAATACTCACAGTCTCACATTCACAGCAGGAACATGTACTATCTATGGATGCAGGATATTAATTTGGGTTGAAACAATACATTATGAGGAAATGAGGAAATGTAAAACTGCAATACTTTGTTCATGATACAATACGTATAGCTGCCTGAAACAAAAGCTCATTTGTTATTTTAAAATGTTAAATGGTCACGTAACCACAACTGAAGAATAACTGACCTCATATGATAGAGAGCCAAAATATAGAGCAGTCATCTTAAAGTGTCACATCATTAGCTATGATGGGTATTGTATATTGCATTATGGAGAGCAGTAGTGTCACATCATTAAATATGAAGGGTATTGTGTATTGCATTATGGAGAGCAGTATCAACTTAAAGAGTGTCACATCATTAAATACAAAGGATATTGTATATCGCAGTATGGAGAGCAGTATCAACTTAAAGAGTGTCACATCATTAAATACAAAGGGTATTGTGTATCGCATTAAAGACATTGATATTATTGAGCTCTGGGGGTATGGAGGGCAAAGTCATCCAAGCTGCTGAAATTCACTGAACATAGTTGCATCCCTTAGCTGTAGACCTAATAATAATGTTTGAAATCCAATATTTTCCAACTACATGTGTCATAGATTTCAACTGTCAAACATCTTAATATGAATTGTCAACACCAGAGAATAAACAGATTGGATTATCTGCCAAAAATTGGGCATAATATTGGGCACTATAGTGATGAATATTGTATGAAAGTATCACCGAAAATCAGTGATGACACTAGGTGTTCACGAAAAGGATAAGCATGTCCTACTCTACCCATAATACCACCACTCACACAATCTGCATAAAATAAATGAGACCTGATTCCATTCAGACTTTGCTCCCACAGTAAGATGACACCCTGTGAAAATATGATGGTAACTACAACACTGTAGCAAACAGCATAAAACCCCACTCACTCACTCACTCATTCACACACCCACCCTCCCTCACTCACTCACTCACACCCACCCACCCACCCACTCACTCACTCACTCACTCACTCTCACACTCACTCACTCACTCACTCACTCATTCACTCACTCACTACTCCTTATTACTAACACCCTGACTTACAGGTGATGGTGCTTCACAGACTGTGCAGCGACTGATGTAGGGTCTGATCTGTTCTCCGCTGACTGGGTTCATCATGGGCGTCATGGGCTCTGGTGTGGCCAGCCAGTAGCTGTAGTCGCTGCGGGATGCCACGTTGCAGACGTTGTTGATGTTGCAGAACATGAAGGGCATGGTGCTGAACCTGGGCAGGCAGCTACCAGCAGTACCTGATAAGAAACCATTCACACTGTAATCCTACAAAACTGCAACTTCAACTCACATAACAGACCATTCCACAGAGTGATTTAAGCGCTAACACAATCGTAACTCACATACTTTAACATAGGCTTATGACAGTTGTCATGCTAAGATCGCTGTGTGGAATCGGGTGTTGATAGCATCAGACACAACAAACTCAAGTTCAATCCACACCAGTTACTGTTGTCTTCAAGGTTATGATGAAACAGAACTATTTAATAATGATTCAGTTTCAAATTCAAAGGTTTGGGTAGTTCATTTGATCCAAATTTTACTGTATCTTAAATCAAAAGTGACAATGTATCATATTTTAGATACTATGGAAGGCCAAATGAAGTTGGGATATCAAAATGTTTTTGCCTTGACAAAAGAAATACTGCTTGACATTCTCCAACCTATAACAAAATTAGCTAAGGGTTCATCTCAGCACTTTGTATTTTGTCTTCCAATAGCTCTCTAATTCCGTGAGGGGGCACGGGTGGCCCAGTCGTCTAAGGCGCCGCGATTCGCTGTGCAGAGTTGCGTCCCTTGGACACCCCAGAAACCTATGATTGTGGGTTCGAAATCCCGGTTCGCCCCAATTATGTTTCTAGGTTTGTCAGCACCATACCCGTGCTCGTGGGTTTCACCGAAGTGGTAAACGTCTGAGACCTGCATCACTTCGGGCTTTCCTCCCACATTAAGCTGACACGCCGCGATATAACTGGAATACTGTTAAAAGCGGCGTTAAACCCAACTCACTCACTCACTCACTCTAATTTCGTGAGGATCTATTTCTTTAGAACTCAATGAATGATCGAAACAACTTACAAATGTTAGTGAGTTCTGATATATACTACTCAACAGAAGCTACAGAACACACATTGTTTTCATTTGACTACAGACCTGTGAAGATCCGGGTTAAAATAGGTCTTCACCAACCCATGCTTGCCGTAAAAGGCGACTATGCTTGTCATAAGAGGCGACTAACGGGATCGGGTGGTCAGGCTTGCTGACTTGGTTGATGCGTGTCATCGTATCCCAATTGCATGGATTGATGCTCATGGTGTTAATCACTGGATTGTCTGGTCCAGACTTGATTACTTACAGACCACCGTCATATAGCTGGAATATTGCTGAGTGCGGTGTAAAACAACAAATACACACACACACACACACACACACACACACACACACACACACATTTGACTACAGTCCATCTGTCATGATTAACTACAGGCTTGCAATGTATAATGAGTGTTCTTTAACTTGTTTTGAGTAGTACATACGAGAGCGCTTAAAGATTATTGAAAAAACATCCCCATGTTGTGCATGTAAAGCATAAATTGTGAAACAATCTGTCCAGGGCCCACCTGCACAAAGCGGTCTTAGCGCTAAGACTATCGTAAGCCTATGTTAAAGTATTGGAATTACAATCATCTTAGCGCTAAGATCGTGTTGTGCAACTGGGTCCAGAAGTGCAGCAAAAAACTGGTTAAAGTATTTGTCCAGTCATGAATTCTAGAACTCTTACCAAGGTCCTGTCCATGTGCACGCCCATTGCCAACAACATACAGCAATGAGTATCCAATCCAGAGATTGGCTGTTCCTACGGGACAGTTGGGAACGTTGGTGGTCTGGCTGTGCCTGGAGAAGAAACATTATTGTAAGATAAAGGCTCTTAAGGACACACTTTCAGTTATATTTGATTCAGCAAAAATGTTTTTACATAATGGCGAAATCTCTATCTAGAATCAACAACCCCGGATTCGAGTGCTTGCTCCGACTTAAACCATGTTCTGGTTGATTTATAATTTCCTTATAATCCTTATAATGACCTGTATTTGAGTCAGTTCTATTTGTACAAAATGCACTTTCAGAATGACCAATGAACTCCTGGTTCAGAATCAACAGCAACAACAGTGTGACCGTCACACACTGTGACGTCATCAAAATGGTTTAGTCATAAAGATCATAAAGATCTGAGAACAAGAAAAGCGTTATACTTTGATTAGACAAAATAAAATGTTTAATGAAAAGTACAGGTCTCCAAATAGACTTACCGTATTCGACGTAATAAGCACCCGCCTCTAATAAGCGCCCACAGCGATATTTGCTAATATATTGGCTAGTGAACAATCCCAATTAGCACCCCTTCCGATTGATCAATGTACACAAGACTTATTTATTCGCGTATAATACACACTCGTGTGTTATATGCCCCCTATATTATGGGCAATTAAATTCTGTAAAAATATATCTGTCGTATATAAACATTTCAGGCTGTCCACAGCATAAACCACAAAATTTATCTTTCAACTCCACCAAAATAATATTCTAATAGGAGCCCCCTATTTCTAATTTTGAGAGAGCCCTGGGCGCTTATTACGTCAAATATGGTAAAGTAAAAATATACATATCTTTAGGTGGCTTCACACGACAAACTTCAGTTTGCCGTTTTACGTTTACAAACATGAGTTTGTGTGTCTGAATTTTGCAAACACATTTTGCAAACTAGTTTGTGAAGTTTGATAAGTGCTTTCAAACTCAATTTTGATGTGTGAATGATTGTCAGACATATGTTGGTGGTGTGGTGATATTCACATGATGTGACGCCATCTTCAATCTATGGCACTGCTTGTGGCAGACCAATCAGAATGCAAGATTCTAAAATGTCATGGCAGAATTGTATTTGGTTCAACAAGAATAGAATAATTCATTCAAAAAGATCAATGTCTGAGAACATGAAGAGTGTTCTACTCTGCATGGAAACAATCAAATGTGCAATGAAAAGTACAGGTTGAAGAACACATATAAAGTTCAAATACAGATCTTTACCTATCTGTAGCTGCAAGTGTGTCCATCCCTACCTTGTGAAGTAAATGCCAGGGCCAAATCCATCTCCTCCGGGACCTCCAATCTCACCAGGGAATCCTGGCAAACCAGGGAGACCAGGCATGCCATCAATACCAGGAATACCAGGCTGGCCTGAGTTGCCTTGGTCACCAGGGATTCCAGGGGTTCCGGGGAACCCTTCCGTACCACGAAGGCCGTTCAGACCCGGCAGGCCATCATCACCTGGAGAGACATTTGCAGTGAGTTTTGGAAAAAGATTGAGGGTAATTTAGAACTGAAATATTTCACAGAATACAATAACAATGTGCATACAATCAAACACTGTTGTGTCAAACTTTGACGTGTCAAACTTATGGTTGTCTCAAAGTAAAGGTCTGGTCACTGTATTCCTTCTTTATTCGACCGCCTTCGTGGTCTAGTGGTAGAGCGTCCGCTCGGAGAGCGGAAGGTCCAGGGTTCGATCCCAGGCCACGTCATACAAAAAGACGTTAAAAGATTGTACTTGTTGTTACCCTGTCTGGAGCTCGGCATTAAGGGGCTAAAACGAGGACTGGTCGGCTCGGAGTCAGTATACTGTGTCTGAGTGGGGTATTCATGTTAAACTGCGGCATGGTATCTCAGTGGGCTAGCGCTATAAATCGGCATCAGTCCGGACTAGTACAAGCAGCCACACACACACATACACGTGCATGCACGTCGCTATATAAGTGCAATAATCTTGGACGCGACGTTAAACCCAATTTCACCTCACCTTCTTTATTCATCATTATTTCATCTCTGATATGTCAAATTCGATGTGTCGAAGTTGCGTTCGTCTCAAAGTTATTTTCCAGTCCCAAACATGTACTTCCAGCGCCAATTTACTCTGATAAGATGATTTTGGCACATTTGGTCATCTCATCATAATTAACAAAGTTTTAAAAGCCGGAAATCTCCTCTGCATTGTTAAGGGCTATTGTCTTGTTAGTCGCACTCCGTAACACCAAACTTCAAAGAAATGTTTAATTGATGTGTTTATCAGGGATAAACAGATAGTTTAATCAACACCATGAGCAGAAGTGAAAGGAGTCGTGTGTTTGTCACATGTTTATCTTTTGATTACAAATTGTGGAATGTGTCACGGATTGGGATTTTAGCTGATAGTCTTTTTGTTTCACTAGTGTCATAAAATGACGAACAAATAACGAAATAAATCAATACAGTTTGGAACATCACTGACAAATCGTGTGAAGGGCCTAGTTTTAGTGGGACAATAACTGGATAGGATGTTCCTACATCTAAAAAACGTAAATTAACAGTAAAATCAATTGAGACTTATATTCATCAGACATTATTGACTGAGTTTACTGAGATATCATTCCCATCTCGTTTAATCTTGTGTTAAGTTTTATATTCGTGATGCAGAATTTGAATATGTGAGCTGTTATGTTTTTTATGTTCCTACATCTAAAAAAAGTAAATTAACAGTAAAATCAATTGAGACTTAAATTCATCAGACATTATTGACTGACTTTACTGAGATATTCCCATTTCGTTTAATCTTGTGTTAAGTTTTATATTCGTGAAGCTGAATTTGAATATGTGAGCTGTTATGTTTTTTAACTTGTATGTAAACCATATTTTTAATAATACATACATGTATACATATCTTGTATTTTTATTGATTCAATTACTATTGACAATAATGATGAATTATAAAAGTAATGTTGGACTTTTATTTCAATTTTGCATTGTTTGTCACATGTGTTTCTATTTTTTCACTCATCATGTTAATCTGTAGATGTATGCCAAGTTATGTTTTGGTTGTGTTGAACCTAGGTTTAACTCCAAGTATTACGTAGGTCCCTTTAACTTCGACACAACGGTGTTTGACTGTATTTAAGATGCACCAAATCCGCAACCTAAAGTGTTCTCAAAGCGCTACATTATTATATCAATCATAGCTTGTATACTTATCACTATGCCCATTGTTATTAGATATAGAATCATGATATGTTGAAACTGTAATATGCAAAAAAAAAGAAGAGAAGTTTTTCTCTGGATTCTCCATTCCCACAAATATTTAAACACTGAACCATGCACCTAATATACCGTTTTCACCGTAATAAATGCCTTGGCGCTTATTAAAACCATACACAATAAGTTAAACCTGTTTTCAGAGATTGAACGGTTGTTAACAAACTTAGTTCAAATGTTGACGAACCTAAACAATGTTTTATAATAGATGTGGCGGCAGCTTACCTCGACCTCCCCTTAGTCCTTCTAAACCTGGTCGACCGGATTCACCTGGTTCTCCCTCTTCACCTCGTGGGCTACGCACATCGACTATATCAATGGGACCAGGGTCACCGGGGTAGCCCTTCAAACCTGCAAAACACAAGTGCTTCATATAACATCAGTAACTATACCAGTTCATTAGGAATATTATTTATAATATTAGATGCTGTCCTGGACTTATAGAGAAGCTAATCAAAGGGTCTTTTGAAATATTTCAACACGAGTCGGAAAAAAGTTTAATACTCTGAGGCTTGATTGTGACATCATGTTAACTGATGACATTACAAAGGTTTGCAAAGCACTGCCATTGAAGTGACATCTCCGAGGAAATATCATTTGTTCTCATTCAAGCGTTATCTCCCGTGGAAGTCAGCTTGGGATGTTAGATCAGTGTCTTCAACTCATTTGAGAGTTACAATGAATAAGTGATAAGTTCACAACATCTCATTGAAGATATTAATCAAGCGGGGGCACGGGTGGCCCAGTCGTCTGAGTGCAGAGTTGTGTCCCTTGGGCACGCCAGAAACCAATGATTTAGGGTTCGAATCCCGGTTCGCCCCAATTATGTTTCTAGGTTTGTCAGCACCATACCCATGCTCGTGGGTTTCACCGAAGTGCTAAACGTCTGAGACCTGCATCACTTCGGGCTTTCCTCCAACATTAAGCTGACACGCCGTGATAACTGGAATACTGTTAAAAGCGGCGTTAAAAAAACAACTCACTCACTATTAATCAAGCACATGTCCTACCTTTAGTTAAAAAAGGTGCACTTACCATTACTACCAGGAATTCCTGGTCGACCCCTCTCACCAGGGAAGCCAGGATCACCTCTCTCTCCCTGGCGTCCAGGCAAACCATTCTGACCATCGTCACCACGGCGACCTTCTCCACCAGATAGACCAGGTAGGCCAGAATCTCCCTGTAAGGGAAATACCAAATTAGTACACAAGTTGGAATAATGGCTGATGTCTGTCCTCATAGTGTTGTGTAAGTTCATATGATGCAAGACAGTCTAATACTAACATCTCCTCCAATCCTGCCTGGTTCTCCATCGCGACCATCAGTTCCTGGTAGACCAGGGAAACCAGCTTCTCCCTTCATTCCTGACAGACCCGGTAATCCTGGCTGTCCTGGTACTCCACGATCTCCTGGTAAGCCTGCAGAATCAACAGTAAACATATATGGCTTAGGTACACAGCACCACATTGCTTGTTGTAAGAGGTGACTCTCTTGGAGTCACACTTCTATGATGTTGCTGAAGGCATATTATTGTGCCCTAGCTTATGGCATGCCATTATCCCCTCGCTGATGGTATACCATTGTGCAATAGCTGATGGCATGTAATTGTGCCCTAGCTGATGGCATGTTATTATCCCCTTGCCGATGGTATACCATTGTGCAATAGCTGATGGCATGTAATTGTGCCCTAGCTGATGGCATGTTATTATCCCCTCGCTGATGGTATACCATTGTGCAATAGCTGATGGCATGCAATTGTGCCCTTGCTGATGGCATGTTATTATCCCCTTGCTGATAGTATACCATTGTGCAATAGCTGATGGCATGTAATTGTGCCCTTGCTGATGGCATGTTATTATCCCCTTGCTGATAGCATACCATTGTGCAATAGCTGATGGCATGTTATTGTGCCCTAGCTGATGGTATACCATTGTGCAATAGCTGATGGCATGTAATTGTGCCCTTGCTGATGGCATGTTATTATCCCCTTGCTGATGGTATACCATTGTGCAATAGCTGATGGCATGTAATTGTGCCCTAGCTGATGGTATACCGTTTTGCAATAGCTGATGGCATGTTATTATCCCCTTGCTGATGGCATGTTATTATCCCCTTGCTGATAGTATACCATTGTGCAATAGCTGATGACATGTTATTGTGCCCTTGCTGATGGCATATTATTGTGCCCTAGCTGATGGCATGTTATTGTGCCCTAGCTGATGGTATAACTTTGTGCAATAGCTGATGGCAGGTAATTGTACCCTAGCTGATGGTATACTATTGTGCAATAGCTGATGGCATGTAATTGTGCCCTTTCTGATGGCATGTTATTGTGCCCTAGCTGATGGCATGTAATTGTGGCCTCATTGTGGGCAAAAGAGAGTATATCAAGTTTGTTTTTTATGCAATTGAAATTTTTTAAAGACATTTTTGCTAAATATCATCAGTTCTATTTAACCATTAGTAATCTGTGGCTGGGTTATTTTGTTGTTTTTTTAAAATGGTTCAATGGGGTAAAAAATGAATTTGCAACCACATGACCACTACCATGTTTAAATTGTTGTAAAGTTGTGCAGAAAAAAATACTTGATTTTCAAAGATAAGATGTCTAATATATCCATCAGCAGTTTTTAATCAAAATTATTTTATCAAAAGTTTTAAATCAAATTATATTTGTTAAAATAAAACTATGTAGAAGTATTCTTTAAGTGCTGACTAAGTGCCAGTACAGTTCATTTTTTGGATATATTATAGCCAACATATAATATTTTCATTTGCATATCAAACCTATGATACAATCAACTGAGAGGTGTAGCTAGTTTTGCATTTTGCTCCTCAGTATATTCCAAGCCGACAAATGAATGATCTGATCATTTTGGATCATGTAAGCGTTGGATCTTACCTGGCAGACCATCAAGACCTGGCTCTCCACTCATGCCCTTAAATCCAGGTAGAGAATAGGCGGACTCTCCCTTCTGGCCTGGTAATCCAGGTCGACCCGGTAGACCCTCATTTCCTGGCAAACCTGGAAGGCCAGGCAGTGCAGGGCTGCCTGGTATGCCGTCCACGCCGGGGGGTCCAGGGCGACCTGATAATCAACACAGATGCAGTATTATGTATACAATCATAGGTGAAGGGGCAAAATACAACTCATATACCACCCACACTGGGGTCCAGGGCGACCTGACAAACAACACAGATGCAGTATTATGTATACAATCATAGGTGAAGGGGCAGAATACAATTCATATACCACCCCCACTGGGGTCCAGGGCGACCTGACAAACAACACAGATGCAGTATTATGTATACAATCATAGGCGAAGGGGTAGAATACAATTCATATAAGCCCACACCGAGGTCCAGGGCGACCTGACAAACAACACAGATGCATTATTATGTAGACAATCATAGGTGAAGGGGTAGAATACAATTCATATAAGCCCACACCGGGGTCCAGGGCGACTTGAGAAACAATCAATCATATCAACAAACAGATGCAATCATAGGTGAAAGGACAGAACACAGGATTTCTCATCATTACACCACAATCAGTCAAGTGTTACCACAGTGTCCTTATTCTTATCACGATATGCTGCATGTGATTTCCAAACTTTACACGCTAATCCTGCATGAGACAAATGGTGCATTTGGAGTCATGGATCTATGACGTCACATGTGATGCATTCATGAATGTCGATTCACATAACATACCAGTATGTTCGTTTGTGCATCGAACCAATCTAATATCTCTTGAATAAGAGTAATTCTTCATATATTAACACACATGTATGGTATTTCTTATACCATAGAATAACGCTCAGTGGCTCTCACCTGCTGGTGCTTCCTCTCCTGGCAGACCTGGCAAACCAGGGCCTCCATCATAACCTGCAACATGATAATCACACCTATATAGTCGCAAGTTGTATCAATTTCTGCATATATTACACAGAAGAGTGTGGAATAAATGTTCAAAGCATAAAAGGCTGACGGCTTATTCAATGTACATGATTATTCAAGGAATTACAGTATTCAAAGAATTTTACTGATTTGAAGCTCTTTCTCTTGAATCTGTACTTTGAGGCTATACAACATGAAGTAACCAAGATGTACGAAGTCCACAGCACAATATTAATTTCTGATTCTGCGGTATTCATTCACGAAACAGTACCATTAGTCTAAAATGTTGAGCTTTGCCAATGGCAGCATACCTGGTGCACCAGGCTCGCCATCAAGACCAGGTCGGCCTTGGAGTCCGTTCTCTCCTCGTGATCCACGAGGGCCATTAAGACCAGGCAAACCATCATCACCACGACCTCCAGAAAGTCCATCAACACCAGGGCGGCCAGAGGAACCAGGCGATCCCTTCATGCCAGGCAGACCTGACAATCCTGGCAGACCAGGCAGACCATCGTCACCAGGCTGGCCAAGCTCTCCATCGATACCAGGCAGGCCATCCTGACCACGATCACCTATACGGCCAGGGAGACCAGGGCTGCCAGGAAAACCATCCACACCCTAAACAAGCAGGAAGCACAAGTCATACATCAACTCCATTACATATGTGTCTGAGAAAGTTTTGTCACAGTCAGCGCTTAAGCTGATAGGGTCACTCTCGGTCAGCTTACCATAAAAATGAACATAGGGATAAAACAACGGATCAAGTTGTACCCAGTTTTTTGTTGCCACATCATTTTTTAACCAGAACATTTTTAAGTGTACCCAAATCTTGTGATGGTTCCAATTGCCTTAAAGCAGGCTGACATTGTTGTAAACATCTTGCGCTGCTTAACAAGAACAAAAATCGGAGAACACTTAGATTTGGTCTGGTACAATACAATACAACAACTGGCAATAACTCTTCAGCTAAGGGCAATCAGAATAGGTCAAAAATTACAATTACATACATCAACTACCATGTAGATACTTTAATATTTTCAGGTAATTTTGGAAGGCATTAATTCTTCTTTTAGGATCTAGACAATTGACTGATTTGAGAACTTATTGTTAGCTCTATTCACACTCCGGCGCAGGTGGCTCAGCATAACTCCACTGTCGCAGGCTAATTTGCATATCACGTGACCGGACTTTTCTTTTGTTTGTAAACAAACACGCTTTTTCAGAAATCAGTATAGAACGGACTAATGCCATTATTTGGGGGCGCTTAACATATTGTTTTGCATAATTATATAGATATGCTACTACAACTGTGACAGTGAATTTCATGACAATATATATTTATACATGAACGTGACCGTATTGCTACCTCTCCATTGGGCTTCGATGACAGCCGTGGAGCCGCACATCCAATGTAAACATAGGATAACTACGCAAATACAAGTAGATTTTCACGTATTAGGATACTTTCTTAATGAACTGTAACCATTCTTTGACATTTGTTCATGAAACTGTGTAGACTTGTCAAAAATGAAACGGATGAAAAGCATATTCAATATCTTGAATGGACTGTGAAGGATGTGACGAATCGTCACATGGTGCTGGCCTGTGGCAGAGGTACTATGCTCGCTGGCTGCTGGCTGCATGGAACTCGGGGTAGGAGAGTGAGCTCTACTGGCGAATCCTTCCAGCAACATTCATAACCTTTGAGTCATTTTCAGACTGCATGATAAAGGTGAAGTGAAATGGGGTTTAACGTCACGTCCAAGATTATTGCACTTATGTTGCGACATGCATGCAGGTGTGTGTGTGTGGCTGCTTGTACTGAGATACCATGCTGCAGTTTAACATGAATACCCCACTCAGACACGGTATACTGACTCTGAGCCAACAAGACCTTGTTTTAGCCCCTTAATGCCAAGTTCCAGGCAGGGTAACAACAAGCACCATCTTGTAACGTCTTTGGATATGACACGGCCGGGGATCAAACCCTGGACCTTTCGCTCTGCGGGGAGATACTCACTCTACCACTAGACCACTGAGGTGGTCTGCATGATGATGGAACAAGTAACATAGATTATGTTTAGAATTAAAATGCATCCTTTAAATTTCATTTCAGTCAAAGTAGGCTTTCAAATAAATATTCCGTTTGAAGTGATGAAGATCATAACGGTGTAACCTAGATTTCATGCAATAAACTGATTACCATAATTGACGTAATAAGTGCCCCGCTCTAATAAGCGCCCACGGCGATATTTGTTAATATATTGGCTAGTGAACAATCCCAATTAGCACCCCTTCCAATTGATCAATGTACACAAGACCTATTTATTCGTGTATGATACGAACTCGTGTGTATGCACCCTAAATTATGGGCAATTAAATTCTGGAAAAATATATCTGTCGTATATAAACATTTCAGGCTGTCAGCATAAACCACGAAATTTATCTTTCAACTCTGTTTTTTCACCAAAATAATATTCTAATCAGAGCTCCATATTTCTAATTTTGAGAGCGCCCTGAGTGCTTATTACGTCAAATAAGGTAATCAGAATGGTAAAATGTTATAGTAGCATTAGGGGCGGTCGGGTAGCCTGGTGGTTAAAGCGTTTGCTCGTCACGCCGAAGACCCGGGTTCGATTCCCGACATGGGTACAATGTGTGAAGCCCATTTCTGGTGTCCCCCGCCGTGATATTGCTGGAATATTGCTAAAAGCGGCGTAAAACCATACTCACTCACTCACTTTAGTAGCATTAAACTTACTAAGCAGCAATGTTGGAGGTAAACGTGAGGTCATGCCCTGTACATACCAAGCCACCTTGCTCTCCATTGAGGCCTGGCAGACCATCAAGGCCTCTGCCTCCCTTCAACCCAGGAAGACCGGGGAGGCCGTCACTGCCATCTCTACCTTGCAGACCAGGGTCTCCAGGCAAACCATCCAGACCTGCAGTACCAACAACACAACTCGTATCATGTACACATAAGGATATTAGACACATAAGGACATTAGACACATAATGTCAAAGGCGCCGCAATTCGTTGTCTTGGGCACGCCAAAAACCTATGGTTGTGGGTTTTCGAATCCCAGTTCGCCCCAATTATGTTTCAAGTTTTGTCAGCATCCTACCCGTGCTCGTGGGTTTCACTGAAGTGGTAAACGTCTGAGACCTGCATCACCTCAGGCTTTCCACCCATATTAAGCTGACACGCTGGGATATAACTGGAATACTGTTAAAAGCAGCGTTAAACCCAACTCACTCACTCACTCACTACCAATATTCAGGGGTGAGGAATCAAGCTTGATAAAGATGTTAGAACCTACACTGAAAAGGCGATCAATATTGTAATAAGTTGTTCATCCCAATATGTAATCCCTAATTATTACTGTAACTTCTGTATGACTCTCAAAGATGACATTAAACAGGGCACTCACTGGCTATTTCATTTTGACACTAAGACCATCACCAGAGTAATGGTGGAAACCTTGAAACAACATAAATAAGGATAATACTGGTAACTTAAAAAAGTTGAATCAGAAAAATGTTTTAAAAAATGAAAAATAGTGGCTTTTGACAAAACTATGCCAAATGTTAATAAAAACTCATTTACTGTTGTTATCAACATAAATAAATTACTTTAAATACCATTATTAAAACCTGTTGAAAATTGAGTTATATACTCCCGACACCACTTCATGAAATGAAAATATATATTTGAAATAGAAATTGTTTTTAATTACTTTTTTGACCTACTGACCTGAACATTCTGTGTATAACAAGAGTTGATGATTGTTTATAGAACGAAAGTCTTACCAGGAATTCCCATCTCTCCGATCCTGCCTTTGGGGCCAGATTGTCCATCAGGGCCTGGGAGGCCACTTAAACCAGGGAGGCCCTCACGACCTGCAAGTAGGATAATAAATAAAACAAAAATATCTTCTCTCCTTTTATGCCAGGTACTACACATAATTCACAGAACCTGCTACATACATCACCAACAAGCTACCATGAGTACAGGATTATCTGTCCTCAAGGAGGTGAGGTGAAATGGGGTCAAAGTCGTGTCCAAGATTTTTGCACATATAGTGACGTGCATGCCCATGTGTGTGTATGTGTGGTAGTTTGTACTAGGCTGGATTTAGCAGTGCTAGCCCACTGAGATGTCATGCTGCACAATTACAATAAGCTGACCATGAGCCGACCAGTCCTTGTTTTATCACCTTAAATGCTGTGCTCGATTCAGGGTACAAATAAGTACCATTTTTAACGTCTTTTGATACGAAGTGACGGGGGATGAGAGACCCCTGACTTTCCGCTCTCTAGGCAGATGCTCCATCCACTAGACCCCGTTGGTGGTTGCTGTTCAGAGTCAATGTATGAGTGAGTGTAATCTAACATCAACACAGCTTGACTTTTGCCACTACTCTATCGTGTAGTGTGACATCATGTGACAATGCATGATGTAAGCCCAGAGCCTCATGCACATTTTGAGTTGTTTATTCTGAATATTATATTTTTTTTTTTTTGAAGGAAGCAAATAAAGAAAAACTTATGAAATGTGAACACTGCAAAGAAGCTTCTCTGAAGACAGTCTACTCTTTTGGTGCCGAAATGTTATCAATTTGTGAAATCATTAACGGACGGATCATTTCTTATTGTTCTCATCTCTGGGAAAAGTGACATATTATCACTGCAGCTGTCCAATCAGCATTGAGAATCTCTCATATTGCACATTTGAAAAATCATCAGAAATTTCCAGTGGTTCTTTCATCCAGGTAATACTGTAATATATCACTCTTACCAATTTCTCCTGGGTAGCTGAGTCCGGTTTCACCCTTCAGTCCATAAGATCCCTGCCGTCCAGGGAGACCTGGTTGTCCAGACAGACCCGGCAGACCATCAAGACCTCTCTGACCCTTCACGCCTTTGAAGCCAAAAGGTGCAGTGTCTCCTTTCTGACCAGGGAGACCAGGGAGACCAGGTTCACCTGAGAAGCCCTTGAGTCCTGCCTGTCCGGGAAGACCAGGCAGGCCAGGAAAACCAGCTTCACCAACATCGCCTGGAATAACAACCAGGAATTATTACACCACATGTTTCTTTTCCAAACTGTCCTCATTCTCAATATACCGTATTTGACATAGTAAGCGCCCAGGGCACTCTCAAAATTAAAAATAGGGGGCTCTTATTAGATCATAAATTTCATGGTTTATGCTGACAGCCTGAAATGTTTACATACGACAGATATATTTTTCCAGAATTTAATTGCCCATAATTTAGGGTGCATATAACGTTTTATGCACAAATAAATAGTCTTGTGCACATTTATGAATCGGGAGGGGTGCTAATTGGGATTGTTCACTAGCCAATATATTAGCAAATATCGCTGTGGGCGCTTATAAGAGCGGGGTGCTTATTACGTCAAATACGGTACTTGGTTAATATTTGTACATGTACATAATTCCTTCATCATTAATGGTTATTTTATGACTCACATGCTAATTCTACATCTACAATCAAGTGGTTAGGCATGGTTTATTGTACATTATTATTGTACCCCGACAGCAGGGGATATAGGCTATAACGCAACCACTGGTTTGGATGGCACAGAGTTATATGCTGGTTGACATGATATATCTAACATATTGAGGCATATTGCAACAAAAACAATAGCTACTAGTAGTGGGATGATACACAGATCGCATTTGCGGATCGCAATATTTTTAAGTGTCGATCACAGTCGCACACAAAATAAAGTGTATCCATTTTCACCTTAAATTTATTCTTTATTAAATGGTACAATAACACTTATTACAAGTGAAAATGAGTTGGGAAAACATAAATGTTTTTATCCATTGTGCCATACTTGACACTGCCAACTGCAAATCGTTAGTGTGCCAGGTATTTGGCCATCCTGTCTAAGAAATAGATGGCTTCTGCACCACAGATAAGAGTACACGCAAATATAGCGATACGTATTGGATCGTGAGCAAGGTATCGTGATATGTATCGGATCGCACAGTATCGTCCCAGCCCTAATAGCTACAAGATGGCCCACTACTTACCCTTCGAACCAGATTGACCAGGCAATCCAGTCTGACCATCTGTACCGGGGGATCCAGGAATACCACTGACTCCTTTCATGCCAGCCAGACCTACAATCAATCATACATTCATGTAACATGGTTCAAACAAACTGAACAAGTACAAAGTAATCACATCATTCTGTTGACTGCAAGACTCAAGCCCTAGACCACAAAGCTGCCTGAGACTTGTTCCAAAGAGTCAATGATGCTCAATAAAAAAACTGGTTAATATGCTTCCAGCTGACAGGTGCCCTTAGCCATCTCTGTAGGGTGGTTTTACCATGAGAACATCACTGGGAGCACTGGCTATCATCTGATGAAATGGGGTTTTTCCATTTGTACAAAATTCCCAAAACAATAAATGTCATTGACCACTTGATTAATAAAAGAGGAAATACAAATGGTTCATAAGCAATGCTCTGGAAATGAAACCTTAATAGATTGGAATTTGCCATGGAAACCAGAATTATTTCTTTCCCAACATATTACAAAGAGCAAAAAGCACCAGTTCATGGTCAGACGAATATCTGTGGAAAAATGAAATATTGAACGGTTTCCAAGTTATGTTCCAGAAACTTCATGATGAGGGACAAAAACTGAGGAGTACATGTTTAATGCCGAAAGGAAATCATGAATGGATTTTTGGATCTTTTTCCTTTTGGTAGTTTGGAGTGAAGCATTTTTTTTCAAGAGTCTATACTTGATGCATCTTTAAAATTGCATTCTCACATATTAATCTAGAAAATGCGCAAATCAGTCTTGTTTACCTGTTCTATCCTAAATGTTATGACTATCATATCTGTTATAATTGTATGAATGGTACAAACCTGGGCGTCCTGGCAGACCATCCAGACCAGACTCTCCTGGAATACCAGAAAGACCATCTTCCCCATCAAGACCACGAATACCAGGGAGACCAGGGCTTCCCTTGGCGCCACTAAATCCTGGTATACCAGGCAGACCATCATCACCACGGACACCACGCAGACCAGGGGATCCTGAAATCAAGTTTAATAGATAGTCCCTTCAAACAATTGTCAGACAACAGCAGTACATTTAGCATTGGTATAAATCTACACGTGAAAGAGATACTACTGACACATAAAACCTCATAAAGCCAGTTTGGGAATTTAGTAAAAACAAGTAAGAATAATTTCATAATAAGACAAACATACATGCAGTAAATGGATGTGATGTGATGTGATGTTATATGATTTCTTGTCAAAGCATTTATGAAGTGTCTGTAGCCAATGTTTCTTATAAAAAACAATCCTTGAACAATTTGGACAATGGTTGTGACTAAATGCTACTCTACCTGGGAATCCCTGCATTCCCTGCAAGCCTGACAAGCCAGGGAGACCAGGTCCTCCATTATCTCCAGACAGTCCCTTCAACCCCGGGCTTCCGGGAAGGCCAGGAAGTCCATCCTCACCTGTTCAACAGAAAGGTCATCAGTGTCATATTATTGGGCAAAAGGACAGGTGTGTCACAATGACATAAAGAGTTCTTCAGTCCGCATTCTAAGGGTTGAAAGTCTGAGCGCGCTATGAATCATCTTGACATGCTCTGTGGCTGATATACGGGTCAAGTCTGCAGTAAAAGTCAGTATTAATTCCTAGACTGGAATAAACAAATACCAATTCATGCTACAGTGAACCCTCGCTACAACGCTACCTTCGGGGTCCAAATAATTCCACTATATATATACTTAAGATTATCAGAATCATAAGCATAGCACTTTGGTGCAGGTGGTATGCAGGATATTTTTTACGTATGGAACAATTTGACCAGTCACCATAGGGACTTCCCGTGTTACATATATTTTGAATGCGAAAAGGTTATGTTGACATTTAATAGTCAAACTGCCTCAAATATGACTTTTAGTGAGTCATGGTACGGTATTTATGATATGTGTATCCATTCTCTTGTAACTAAAGTTTGTTTCAAGGCGTCAATAGCGGTAATCTGACCGTGGTTGCTGTAAATAATCTACCGATCGCTTTGCATACGATTTAGCCAAAATTATTGTAAACATTATTATAATTATTGAATGAAATATTGAATATAATTAATAAAAGATATTCTAAACATTAGTCCAGATAAACAATGAACAATTTGTTTATAACCAGATACATGTATTATAATAATAGGATTAAATTGCATACTTCAGTTCGCATTTGTTGACTGGTATTTCCGGTGTTACGTGATAGCGGTGATCAGCTGATAATGCTTTCTGAGATGGGGGAAACATCATGTCATTGGAAAACTTGAGGTTATTTAGTAAATCTTGGGAGCCATGCTTTACCGCGCTATAACCGAGTTAGCGCTATATAGAGGAGCGCAATAGCAAGGGAACACTGTATAATGATGATGATGATAATTATAATAATAATAATAATAATAATAATAATAATAATAATAATAATAATAATGTATTTATATAGCACAACAATTCAAAAAATAAAAATGCTCTGTGCACTTTAGCGACTGTAAGACTGATGAAACAGAAATGTCTTAAGCTTTAAAAGAGGAAAAAGTGGGAGCATTTTCAGATTTTCAGGCAGACTGTTCCAGAGATGCTGCAGTTTATGATAACTATTTTGGCCGAAAGTAACGTTGTATCTAATGTTATGGTAGAGTTGTCATGTATTTCAGGCCCAATAGAACAAAAGGGGTGTTCTTAGTTTCTCATTACTGCATTGAAAGTGATATTAAAATAATATATTTATGATAAGGGCTTTTAGGACAATCTCCATTTGAATAGTATTTTTCCCTAATGTTCCTGCCAATGTCAAGGTCACTTTGAAATTCTAGATGTACTCGGTCACTTTTGAGACTGTTCACCCATCTACTCAAGTGTGCAAATCTCTTTGCTTGTCTTGGGTTACCCAATACATATACATTAATAGAGAGAAGTTAAAGTTTTTATGCTGAGAGGATTCTGACATCTTGTCTAAACCAATAATGATGCACCTCTTTAAAAGTGTGATTAGAAACAAGGAAATGTTTTTCTTCCTGTTTCAACATACAATGTCCAATGTCAACATGCAGTGAATCGCTTACCAAATCCGCCAGGGATACCATCAGGCCCAGGTGTTCCAGGCCGACCAGGCTCACCCTTGGCGCCACCTATACCAGGTTCACCAGGAAATCCTTCTTCACCTCTCTCCCCTGGGATGCCACGTGACAGGGTGCGTCCAGGCTCACCACGAGGTCCCTACAATGGTAACATTTTGGATGATTCCGAGTCACAGGTAAAGTTTGGATGATTCCAATTCAAGGGTCAAGTTTGGATGATTCCAAGTCAAGGGTAAAATTTGGATGATTCCAAGTCAAGGGTCAAGTTTGGATGTTTCCAAGTCACAGGTAAATTTTGGATGATTCCAAGGGTAAAATTTGGATGATTCCAAGTCAAGGGTTAATTGTGGATGATTCCAAGTCAAAGATAAAATTTGGATGATTCCAAGTCAAGGGCAAAGTTTGGATGATTCCAAGTCACAGGTACATTTTGGATGATTCCAAGTCATGGGTAAAGTTTGGATCATTCCGAGTCAAGGGTAAAGTTTGGATGATTCTATGTCAATGGTAAAGTGTGGATGATAAAAAGTCAAGGGTAAAGTTTGGATGATTCTATGTCAAGAGTAAAATTTGGATGATTCAAAGTCAAGGGTAAAGTTTGGATTATTCCAAGGCAAGGGTAGAATTTGGAACAATGAGTGAAGCCAATTTCTGGTGTCCCTGATATTCCTGGAATATTGCTAAAAACAGCGTAAAACCAGACTCACTCTTGTTGTGGTCCATTTATTCGTCTCCTACAGTCACAAAGTCTAAACCTTGGATATTGAACTTTTACTTACAAAAAGTTTTGATGTATACAGTAACATTTCAACTAACTTGTATACTTAAACCAACTGGAATAACGGAACATTTCAGACTGAACAATTTCATGTTCTGTGCAAAAAACACACCTGGTATAAAAACACACACACATTTTTGTGCCTCAAATTATCAATTAAACAATAGTTTATTATGTCCATCATTATAACAAATGAGTCATGAACAAAGATCTACCCTTAATCCTGGCAGACCAGGCAGTCCATCATCCCCAAGAAAGCCCTTAATTCCTGGCAGCCCAGGCAACCCTTCATCTCCAGGCAAACCGGGATAGCCCTTGGATCCACGCCCTCCTTGACCACCAGGCAGACCAGCAAGACCATCAACACCTTTCATGCCAGGTAATCCTGGCAGACCGGGCCTACCAGGAAGGCCATCCATGCCAAATTCACCTGAAAGCAGAAAGTTAATGAACAAAATTACCCTAACACCTCAAAATATTATGTTGTTGTGCCATCTGTGTCATTATCTAGGGGTTACAGCTGCCTAAATGAATTAGTACAATTGATGTGCCATCTGTGTCATTATCTAGGGGTCACAGCTGCCTAAATGAAGCATTACCAATGTTGTGCCATCTGTGTCATTATCTATGGGTTACAGCTGCCTAAATGAAGAAGTACCAATGATGTGCTATCTGTGTCATTATCTAGGGGTTACAGCTGCCTTAATGAAGCATTACCAATGTTGTGCCATCTGTGTCATTATCTAGGGGTTACAGCTGCTTAAATGAAGTGTTACCATTGATGTGGCCTTTGTGTCATTATCTAGGGGTTACAGCTGCCTAAATGAAGCATTACCAATGTTGTGCCATCTGTGTCATTATCTAGGGGTTACAGCTGCTTAAATGAAGTGTTACCATTGATGTGGCCTTTGTGTCATTATCTAGGGGTTACAGCTGCCTAAATGAAGTATTACCAATGGTGTGCCATCTGTGTCATTATCTAGGGGTTACAGCTGCCTAAATGAAGAAGTACCAATGATGTAGCTTCTGTGTCATTATGTAGAGGTTACAGCTGCCTAAATGAAGTAGTGACAATGATGTGCCATCTTTGTCATTATCTAGGGGTCACAGCTGCCTAGATGAAGTAGTACCAATGATGTGCCATCTGTCATTATATAGGGGTTACAGCTGCCTAAATGAAGAAGTACCAATGATGTGGCCTCTGTGTCATTATCTAGGGGTTACAGCTGCCTAAATGAATTAGTACCAATGATGTGCCAGCTGTGTCATTATCTAGGGGTTACAGCTGCCTAAATGAAGTAGTACCAATGATGTAGCTTCTGTGTCATTCTCTAGGGGTTACAGCTGCCTAAATGAAGTAGTACCAATGATGTGGCCTCTGTGTCATTATCTATGGGTTACAGCTGCCTAAATGAAGAAGTACCAATGATGTGCTATCTGTGTCATTATCTAGGGGTTACAGCTGCCTTAATGAAGCATTACCAATGTTGTGCCATCTGTGTCATTATCTAGGGGTTACAGCTGCTTAAATGAAGTGTTACCATTGATGTGGCCTTTGTGTCATTATCTAGGGGTTACAGCTGCCTAAATGAAGCATTACCAATGTTGTGCCATCTGTGTCATTATCTAGGGGTTACAGCTGCTTAAATGAAGTGTTACCATTGATGTGGCCTTTGTGTCATTATCTAGGGGTTACAGCTGCCTAAATGAAGTATTACCAATGGTGTGCCATCTGTGTCATTATCTAGGGGTTACAGCTGCCTAAATGAAGAAGTACCAATGATGTAGCTTCTGTGTCATTATGTAGAGGTTACAGCTGCCTAAATGAAGTAGTGACAATGATGTGCCATCTTTGTCATTATCTAGGGGTCACAGCTGCCTAGATGAAGTAGTACCAATGATGTGCCATCTGTCATTATATAGGGGTTACAGCTGCCTAAATGAAGAAGTACCAATGATGTGGCCTCTGTGTCATTATCTAGGGGTTACAGCTGCCTAAATGAATTAGTACCAATGATGTGCCAGCTGTGTCATTATCTAGGGGTTACAGCTGCCTAAATGAAGTAGTACCAATGATGTAGCTTCTGTGTCATTCTCTAGGGGTTACAGCTGCCTAAATGAAGTAGTACCAATGATGTGGCCTCTGTGTCATTATCTAGGGGTTACAGCTGCCTCAATGAAGTAGTACCAATGATGTAGCCTCTGTGTCTTTATCTAGGGGTTACAGCTGCCTCAATGAATTTGTACCAATGATGTGCCAGCTGTGTCATTATCTAGGGGTTACAGCTGCCTAAATGAAGTAGTACCAATGATGTAGCTTCTGTGTCATTATATAGGGGTTACAGCTGCCTCAATGAATTTGTACCAATGATGTGCCATCTGTCATTATATAGGGGTTACAGCTGCCTTAATGAATTTGTACCAATGATGTGCCAGCTGTGTCATTATCTAGGCGTTACAGCTGCCTAAATGAATTAGTACCAATGATGTGGCCTTTGTGTCATTATCTAGGGGTAACAGCTGCCTAAATGAATTAGTACAATTGATGTGCCATCTGTGTCATTATCTAGGGGTCACAGCTGCCTAAATTAAGCATTACCAATGTTGTGCCATCTGTGTCATTATCTAGGGGTTACAGCTGCCTAGATGAAGTATTACCAATGTTGTGCCACCTGTGTCATTATCTATGGGTTACATCTGCCTAAATGAAGTAGTACCAATGATGTGCCATCTGTGTCATTATCTAGGGGTTACAGCTGCCTAAATGAAGCATTACCAATGTTGTGCCATCTGTGTCATTATCTATGGGTTACAGCTGCCTAAATGAAGAAGTACCAATGATGTGCTATCTGTGTCATTATCTAGGGGTTACAGCTGCCTTAATGAAGCATTACCAATGTTGTGCCATCTGTGTCATTATCTAGGGGTTACAGCTGCTTAAATGAAGTGTTACCATTGATGTGGCCTTTGTGTCATTATCTAGGGGTTACAGCTGCCTAAATGAAGCATTACCAATGTTGTGCCATCTGTGTCATTATCTAGGGGTTACAGCTGCTTAAATGAAGTGTTACCATTGATGTGGCCTTTGTGTCATTATCTAGGGGTTACAGCTGCCTAAATGAAGTATTACCAATGGTGTGCCATCTGTGTCATTATCTAGGGGTTACAGCTGCCTAAATGAAGAAGTACCAATGATGTAGCTTCTGTGTCATTATGTAGAGGTTACAGCTGCCTAAATGAAGTAGTGACAATGATGTGCCATCTTTGTCATTATCTAGGGGTCACAGCTGCCTAGATGAAGTAGTACCAATGATGTGCCATCTGTGTTATTATCTAGGGGTTACAGCTGCCTAAATGAAGAAGTACCAATGATGTGGCCTCTGTGTCATTATCTAGGGGTTACAGCTGCCTAAATGAATTAGTACCAATGATGTGCCAGCTGTGTCATTATCTAGGGGTTACAGCTGCCTAAATGAAGTAGTACCAATGATGTAGCTTCTGTGTCATTCTCTAGGGGTTACAGCTGCCTAAATGAAGTAGTACCAATGATGTGGCCTCTGTGTCATTATCTAGGGGTTACAGCTGCCTAAATGAAGTAGTACCAATGATGTAGCCTCTGTGTCATTATCTAGGGGTGACAGCTGCCTCAGTGAATTTGTACCAATGATGTGCCATCTGTGTCATTATCTAGGGGTTACAGCTGCCTCAATGAATTTGTACCAATGATGTGCCAGCTGTGTCATTATCTAGGGGTTACATCTGCCTAAATGAAGTAGTACCAATGATGTAGCTTCTGTGTCATTCTCTAGGGGTTACAGCTGCCTAAATGAAGTAGTACCAATGATGTGGCCTCTGTGTCATTATCTAGGGGTGACAGCTGCCTTTAGTGAATTTGTACCAATGATGTGCCATCTGTCATTATATAGGGGTTACAGCTGCCTCAATGAATTTGTACCAATGATGTGCCATCTGTGTCATTATCTAGGCGTTACAGCTGCCTAAATGAAGTGTTACCATTGATGTGGCCTTCGTGTCATTGCACTTCAGAATAGATCTGCAATTCATGTTCCTTGTATTCTATATTTCAAATATCTTTGATTAAATCAGTGAAAACTCTGAACTTACCCTCAAAGCCTGGTTCTCCATCTCGGCCTGGAATACCTGGTAGTCCTCTTATTCCAACTTCGCCCTTCAGATCCAGCTTAAATGGTAGTGCTACAGGGTCTCCCATTTGACCTGGAACATTAGTGTAGGGTATTGATTACAATTATTTATTCACGAACACAACAAATCAGCATTTGATGTATTATTTATTATATTCAATGAAACATACACTGATCGCTCTCTACAATGCTACCTTTAGGGTCCAAATAATTGATGAGTGTTATGGACAATCAGCCATTTAACTGAGGTGCAGTTGTAGATGACCCACACAACAGACTACTGCATGGCTTGTACATATTCCATTTAGCATATCTTACTTTGATAAACAGCAGACTCTTTTAATTTTTTGTTGTAAATATTCGATTCTAGTGACCACAAATAACAAATTCAATTCATGAAGGGATATGTTTCGATTCACCGAATACATGAGTGAATCGTAACAGCTCTACTCCACACATTGATAACAAATATTACTCCAGACTTTCTTTTGCTCATTTCTTTTTTTAAATCGTTTGCAAGTAATGAAAGCCAGCTCAATGTTCGCAGCCTTTGAACGCCATGACAGTCTATGTGGAAAATGGACAACCTACCCTTTTTTCCTTTCCTGCCATCGCCTCCATCCAGCCCTCCAAGACCAGGATCACCCTTTTCTCCCCTGGCACCAGGGATTTCATCCCCAGGCAGACCCTTGTTGCCAGACAGACCAGGAACACCAGGTAGACCATCAAGACCAGTGTCACCAGGAATGCCAGAATCACCCTAGACAAAGATCAGTCCGATTAGGTAATTCCATACAGGTAGCACCACATGGATTAACTTCATATAAGTCAATATATAGCTGAAATTCACTAGTGTACAGTAGCACATATACAGTCAAGTCTCGTTAAACCGACACTCGTTAATCCGACAATCGGCTTTATCCGACACAAATGATGGGAACCGATTTAATCAGTGCTATTTAGACCCGTTAATTTGACAGTCTCGCACTCCGACTCCGACACACCTAATTTGCAACGAATTGCTGAATCACTCATTAATCAGTCTTGTTAATCCGACACAGTGATCAGCGTACTCCGTGGTCATCTGCCCTCGAGTACACAGCCACATGTTTTGATGCGAGACGAGTTGGTGAGTAGCTGCATATTTCAACGGCTGCAGATATAAACTTGCTTAACAATAAACAATTACTGCTCTAAATAAACAAAACAGGATTAATCACATGCCTAGATCACCTCAATCTCAAATCGGATACAATGTTCTCGCTACCTCTGAGGACATCCCATTACAGGTGACATCAGAGCCACCTTTCGCGAACTTTGACCGACCAGTGAAATTACTAACAGGAAGTGGACATTAGCCACTAAGAAAGCAGCTTTCTTAAGCAGTGCAGCACTAGTTTCAAATTAGCGACTTCCATTCCAGACTATGCTTTCAAAAGTATTTTGAATCAGTCATACAGTTCCAAACATTAGTTTTGTGTGAAACTTTAGTGGTTGCATGGTTAGAAAACATATTCCGCTGACAATGTAACACAACAATATAAATATTTCATTTTTCCTTTTCCTACGTGTTCGTATCGTTATCTATCGTGTAGTTGTCCAATTTTCGATCACGAACGTTTATAATACCTTATTTCGTTAATCCGCATACTCGTTAATCCGACATAATCATATGCAACCAACAGTGTCGGATTAACAGGACTTGACTGTATAAAGAAATTCACTAAATAACAATAACACGAATTGCTCTCCTTTGGGAGACTTTCATGTTAGAGCAGTGCGAGGCATGTTCTTTTGTGAATTTATTTATAGATATTTATCAGAACTATGTTAATACAGAGAAATGTTTGATTTTTATGTATGATATAAAATATTTTAACTTGCAATTTGCATGCAATATATAATATGCATTAGTGACGGGTATTGACGGGCCTTACTTTTGAATAGCAATTTATTGCAACAATAATTCATGTATTGCGATATGTAATACCGGTACAATATGTTGCACATGCAACGGACAAACAGTTTCAATTTTTTTATCAAAGGAATTAGTTGTTAATTTCCTAATTTCAATTCAACCAATCACTTATGTAAACATTGCCAACGAGACAAAAAATATACAAGATTTTGAAAAAGGCAATGTACTGATATTTCCCAAATGTATAATGAAATATAATCATTACAGTGTAAAATTAATATGCATGTGCTTTTATGCTCGGGATGGGTACAGGCAGAAATTCCTATTGCAATACCACATGTTGTATCACGATACATATTGCCATATATTGCAACATCTACTTTGTAATGGCTTTACCAAGATGATGGACCCGTGAAGATCTGGTGTAGAATAGGTCTTCAGTAACACATGCTTACCATAAAAGGTGACTATGCTTGTTGTAAGAGGCAACTAACGGGATCGGGTGGTCAGGCTCGCTGACTTGGTTGATGCATGTCATCGTATCCCATCGATGCTCATGATGTCAATCACTGGATTGTCTGGTCCAGACTCTATTATTTACAGACCGCCGTCATATAGCTGGTATATTGCTGAGTGCAGCGTTAAACAACCAACCAACCAAGATGATGATTTCAAAGTTAAAATGTTTACCAATCAGGGTCCGCCAAGTTAAACTATCAAATTATTTTCGACCATTCAATATACGACCTTTAACCGCAACTCCTGAAGTGATCCGACGCTATGTTGAAAACCGTTTCACAGTGATTGTACTGCGCATGTATTCCCAGAAATGTTCTATTGCCATTTACAGGTAAACCGGTGATACAGTGCATAACATGCTGAAACTGACCTTCATTCCCTGGTAGCCAGGACTTCCAGACAGACCTCTGTCCCCCACTGTTCCCATGGAACCATCCATGCCAGGCAGACCAGGGTAGCCTGTTGACCCCTTGGGACCAGCAGGGCCTCGGTATCTCTCTACGTCAACGAATCCCAGAGGTTCACCTGGTAATCCCTTGGCGCCAGGAAAACCTGGGGCACCATCACGTCCTGGAACACCCTGAAACGGCCAAACAAACGTTACAACAGACCTTCTGCCTCATGGACCAGAGCTCCAGATAAGCTCCGTATCTGCGTACAATACACATCAGAAATGCAGAAATACGCAGTAAAATAAAATCCAAGCGTATCGAATACGCAACGAACGTTACAGATACGCTACAAAAATAAAACTTGTGCGTATCATCAAAATATTGTGAAGTAACCCTTGCGTGTTCGATTAGCAAATCAGCAACTTATTTTGAAATAAAAAACGGGCATTCTGTCAACCTTGCAAAACTCCATGATGACAGTTACATCATGATCATTTGCCATCACACTTTCTTGTGGAAGTATCGTGGTATTTTTTAGTCCTATAAAGCTCTCGAACCCACACGACACCAGTTTGCAGGGACTAGATGAATAATGTTTTTAAATATTTAACTTAAATACCCACATGTGTAAAAACTAGTGGGTAACAGAAATTTGAATACCCAGATAGAATTACTGATACCCAATGATTTTAAAATGCATGGGTAAAATACCCACAACACCAAAAGCTTATCTGGAGCTCTGTGGACTGAATGAGACTGCATTTGCCTGTTTTTCAAACATGACTTGTCTCTCATGAATATTCCTCTGATATAATATCTGAGTGAGTGAGTGAGTTGGGTTTAACGCCGCTTTTAACAGTATTCCAGTTATATCACGGCGTGTCAGCTTAATGTGGGAGGAAAGCCCGAAGTGATGCAGGTCTCAGATGTTTACCACTTCGGTGAAACCCACGAGCACGGGTATGGTGCTGACAAACCTAGAAACATAATCGGGGCGAACCGGGATTCGAACCCACAATCATAGGTTTCTGGCGTGCCCAAGGGACGCAACTCTGCACAGCGAATCGCGGCGCCTTAGACGACTGGGCCACCCGTGCCCCAGATAATATCCGAAACCAACCGATGACAAAAATGGGAGAATGAAAGACATGATGTCAACAGTTGTATGGCCAATTGACCTATTAAATATATCAATCAAGTCAGAATTTATGAAATACTGTGACTCTTGATTGATCCTTCTATCCTTTTTCACTGATTATGTAACTCTAAAACAAGAAATATATCGAGAGATTATTATACGAGCGCATGTGTCATACTGCTTTACTAATCGAGTGTCAGAATTCTAGTATTTCCCAAGCAAGAGCGAGGGTAATACATGAATGTTTACACAAGTTGCATAAAATCAGTATGACACACACATGCAAGTGTAATAATTTCTTGATAATCCAGTATCTCGATAACCCATTTTTTCTTTTGAGCTCCCCTTTAAAAATGCACTGATCATGACCGCCGTTTTAGAAAAACCACAATTGTCGAATGACATCAACAATCTCCAGCTATGATGCCGTTACTACTGTGATGTCATTCCCACCTTATGTCACAATCCGATTCGAATGACGTCAACAATGCCATCCATATGATGTAAACAATACACTGGTGCGCATGAAGTGATATATTTGCGCAAAGGCACATGTTTTTTATAAACTCAGTCATTTCTAAGCATATGGGTAATAAATATATATATATTACACTCATCCAATGTCATCTTTATCATTTTAGTTGAAAATATAACCATTTTCCACACACAACATTACAAGATACTTACAGGCTCTCCAGATCTACCGTCAGGGCCAGGCAGTCCGAACTCACCAGGCTGACCCTTCTCACCCTGGAACCCTGGCAAGCCTGGGAATCCATCCTGACCTGTCACAACCAACATAAAAGCATTATCAAAAAAATAAGGAAGCTTGTGTTTATGGAAATGTTAATTTGAACAACACAGCATGTTCTGTTCAAGTTGACATTGACCTTTTTACAGAAAAGCAGGGGTCCGGAAACGGTCATATGCGCCGGGCGTTTAAATTTTTCTGTCCGGACATTTTAAAAAGTATTGTCCGAACATTCTTAAATTTTGACCGGACATGATCAACATTTAGGACTGAGCAGTTTCTGTCTACAGTTGTAACACAATGAAGATTATCTACACTGACAAGCTTTGTTTGTTTTGATTGCTGTAAATACATCGTACCTACATGATAGTCTAAGCGGTCAATCACTGTAATAGGCAATAAACTGAGTTGACACTGATTGGAGACACTGAGTCGAGGATTAATTACTGAGAACATCTTGTTAATTTGACTGAAAGGTGTCTACAACTGTACAAAAATACCTTGCATCATGGATGTAGAAATACGCTATTTGAAGGGGGCGTGGCCGAAATGGAAATGTCTGATTGGGATTTTAAATTTTTCGGACCCCTGCAGATAAGTGATATTATTAAGAAGCTGACCTTGTCTGCCAGAGTCGCCATTATCTCCCCGAGCTCCAGGAATTCCATCTGGACAGAACCCACAGTCTTCTCCACGGAAACCTGCAATATGCATTTCACACATATATATACTGTCCAAAACATAGTTTGTTTGTTTGTTTGTTGTTTAACGCCGCACTCAGCAATATTCCAGCTATATGACGGCGGTCTGTAAAATAATCGAGTCTGGACCAGACAATCCAGTGATTGACATCATGAGCATCAATCCAAGCAATTGGGATCGATGACATGTATCAACCAAGTCAGCGAGTCTGACCACCTGATCCCGTTAGTCGACTTTTACGACAAGCAAAGTTGCCTTTTACGGCAAGTATGGGTTGCTGAAGACCTATTCTAACCCGGAATCTTCACGGGTCTCCAAAAAATAGTTCTGAAGCAACTGACTTAATACTGATTACCAACGATACACTACTGGCATAAATAGATTTGCTTGTTTGTTGTTTAAAGCAGCACTTGGCAATATTCCAGTGGTGGAGGCGGTGGCTTGTAAATAATCGAGTCTTGACCAGACAATCCAGTGATTGAGATCCAGAGCATCAATCCACGCAACTGGGATACGATGACATGCACCAACCAAGTCATGGAGCCTGACCACCCAATCCTGTTAGTCGCCTCTTACGACAAGCATAGTCGCCTTTTATAGTCAACCTATTCTAACCAGGATCTTCACGGGTGGAAGGCCATCTTAAAATATTGGAGTTATGATCACCTTAGCACCTAGATCACTACGTGGAACGGGTCCCTGGACCCAATAGCTTCATTAAAAACTGGACCTCTAAGTTTCTTTTCAGAAATGACACCATCATATCAATGCATCATAATAACTGGGCATTTGACCATTTGCAAGATGCATGCTGTTGAGGTTTTTCTTGTTTTTGTTCTTGTTTTCATTCAATCAGTCAGGTTTACTGTATGCAAGGCCTAAGGACCAAACATATAGAACGAAGTTAGCACATAGTATTAGATACACGGTGTACATTAGGGCTGTGTATTAGTTAAAAAAAACTATTGCAGTATATTGCAATACAGGTATCTTTATTGTCATACGTATTGGGACACATTGGGACCTTACATGTTGACAGTGATTGTTCATGCAGATCCTATTTTCTAGATACTAAAGTAAATATTACTCAGCATGTTCAGTGGCTGCCATTTTGTAGTCATGGGTACAGGGGAGATAACAATGTGAGAAATATCCATTTCCTGTTTTCTCAATCAATTTTGAAAGGGAAACATCATTTGTGTATGAATTTCTGTGTTGATTTTAGGTCCAAGGATACAAAAAATAACGAAACTTGTTATACTTTTTCTACCCAAAATATTGGAACAGAAAATATATTGCAATACGCATCATTTGCAATATGTATCATCGTTATACTGGTTATACCATGCAGTCCTAATGTACATCATTGTTATGGGTGTTGAGATGTTGAGTTTAGTTTCGTATGTAATTCTGAAGGAGGTTTTTAGTTGTGTAGCACTGAATACCTGCAAAAAGACGATACATGCAAGCACTTTACCTTGGTCTCCAGAAAGACCAGGAAGACCATCCACGCCAGGTGGACCAGGCACACCTCTGTCACCAGGCAGTCCACGCGGTCCAATAGGCCCAAACAATGTGAAGCCCTCTCCAGGGTAGCCAGCCTGTCCAGGGTAGCCAGAATCTCCAGGGATACCAGGTAAACCGGGAAGTCCGGGAAGACCGGAAAGACCTTGCTCACCAGGCGGACCATACGCAGTCTCACCAGGCCGACCATTTTCTCCATTCTCCCCAGCCAGACCAGGGTAGCCCACAAGACCGTCTTTTCCGTCAATACCACGCAGACCTAAATGATAGGCACAAACCTGTAAAGCTTGTACTTCATATGGCGGAACAAGAGGTCACCGAATCTATTAACAATTAGGGATCATATCATGGGACCATATAAACCATGGATATACACTTACCTGGAACACCTCTGTCTCCCTTCATGGACATGCCAGGAATACCAGGGAGACCAGGCAGACCCTGGGTGCCGGGGAGGCCAGACAGACCAGGCAGACCACGGCGACCCTCCTCACCATCAAAACCTGGAGCACACAAAACATTGATACACATGTACTTTCTAAATGTTACTGTTACGCCTATTGATAAAGATTCAAGAATTGACATTCACACACAACTGAACTTTATTTTTATGGCAAATGTGAGCACCAGTTTGGGTTGATGAAACCGTATAATTTGTGATTCAACAGGGCACAAGGGAGCTCTTCATTATTGAGTAACTTTATTGTCACAGGCGCACCAAACAAGCACAACCAAATCACACAGCAACTCGATCGAGAGAAGAACCAGGTAAGGGAGATAACTGCCTTTACGAGTAAACCTGCCAAGCCAACCTGCTTTGGAGGAGGAATGTCATCAAACAACCAGGGTATAGCAACAATGACTGTAATTTTGAATGGGTGAGGGACTGACTGTTTCCCATTTCTGTCTTGGACCCATACATTTGTCACATTGTCACATTGTCACAGTGACGGCAACTGGGGCTTGGACGAGTCCAAAGTTACTACCCGGGTACCCTACACCCTATTACCCAACCCTACCCGGGTACCCACTTTAGGCCTCAAGAGTTGGGAACAAAATGGGAATTGTTTTACCGCAATCCTGGCAAAGCTATTTAGATACATATATGAAACGATCAGATCATTCGTACACTGAAGTTGACAAAGTTGACCCGAGTACCCGAATTACCCATCCCAGCCCTAATGGCCACATTTCTTATTCCTGTTACTACTGCATATTACTATTTTGTATATTGGTTGAACTCGTATCTAAGGTGTTATGCACAGAATTCATTTTTATGCACAGAATTCATTTTTATGCACAGAATTCATTTTTATGCACAGAATTCATTTCCCTATCAACCTGATATCACGTCCCATTCTTCTCCGAATGCAACGCCATGCTGTCATCAACCCTACTAGCCAAACTACCTGGAGTCCCTGGGAAACCTTTAGGCCCTGATGGTCCAATTCTGCCCCTCGGGCCAGGCCGGCCAGTGCCAGTGCCATTGCCAAGGATACCGGGTGGACCCTGAAACACACAAAACAACTTTCTCAATGTGTACACTAGACTAACATCCAGTTTCTGAAATGAACAAATTTTACAGAAAAAAAACAGTTGTTAAAAATTATAATTATAAAATACAATAAAAAGGAGCCCAGAGACTTTCTTTATACTGCAGTAATCTAGACTTGCCAAACATTATAGACTTGCATGGGTTGTATTGGATATATTTGTTTCAGGGTCTGTAAAAGCAAATACTACTCAACATTTGACAAGGATAATTCTATTTTGCCTTTATTGATTTCTCATACAAGTAATTTGGAAGTACTTTTGAAAGTCCTTCATAGCTCAGCATCCCCATCATAAGTAGACTAGTATACATTAAAAGTGCTATTGATGACACGTTTAAAAATGTCTTATATTGGAGGATACTTAACTCAAAGGGCACCAATCAGTGTACCTATGTACATCTTGGGTCTTAAGGGCGCTGTGATAGACTAATAGTTAAAGCATTCGCTTGTCATGCCAAAGGTCTGGGTTCGATTCCCCACATGGGTAAAATGTGCAAAGCCCATTTCTGATGTCCCCTCTGTGATAGTGCTGAAATATTCATAAAAGCGGCGTAAAACTATGCTAACTCACTCTTGGGTCTTTAGAGCAATCAAACTATGAGCGGAAGACTGTAAGTCAAGCAGCAAGATCACCGAGTGATACAGCACGTTAATGAACAGAATGTATGTTGATTGGTTTACTTACAGGATAACCTTGAAGACCCTGTCGTCCAGCGAAGCCTGGCTCACCAAACATACCCTGGCAACAAAAAATACCATGAATAAATGACTATTAAAGTCTTTGTATATATTACACAGCAGTAACATATCAAGTTGGTGCTTACAGTCAGGATGTCATCGTACATACAAAATTAACATACCAAAGTTGGTGCTTACAGTCAGAATATCATCATACATATTACACAACAAGGTTTTTTATATTTTTCCTTATTAAAAAGTCAATGAACATGCATGGTTTCACAGACTGTTCTTACCTTCACTCCATTTATTCCTGCATTGCCTGAGAAACCCTTGGCACCAGGGAAGCCCTTCCCTCCATATGGACCTTGGGGTCCCTCTTTACCACGTTTGCCCTGCAGAGTACATCATAGATCAACATACAATTCCAGAAATTCAGTCAGCGGTCAAAACCAGTTCCTTGTCTTGGTTTGAGGTCTGAGAAACTGAGGAGGCATTCACACTGATACTTAAGTAAGATGTGTATTAACTTCAGTTTTATTCTCAGGAGTGTACCTGACAAGTATGGAGATATAATCAGTGAAGCAATTTAGCTAAGACGCGTAGCACCCGAGAATGCTGAGGGTGTGTGGGGCATGCCCCCAGCCCAAAAACTGCTGAAACAGAGATCATCTTTAACGCTACTTACTGCAATATGGGGACTGTTTAGCTGGCGTTATAAAACATCAAGAGTAATGTCATGTGAGTGTGAATTTTATATATTTTCAAAAGCAGACTGACTGTCTTATTGTATTATGAAAAGTCCACCTAGTCTAGTCTAGTCTAGTCTAGTCTAGTTTAGTCTAGTCTAGTCTAGTCTAGTCTAGTCTACACTGACACCCAGTTTTGATATCTGTGAAAAATTATATGTAGGCAACTGTATTTTTGCCTATATGGTAGCTATGCCACTGAATCTGACATTCTGAGTATATACTTCTAGCTCCTGTAAAAACTCTGTTATTAAGAAAGTCATTTACTTGATATATTCTTAAGACAGTGCAACATGGACCAAACTCAATCGTAATCAATGGGGCTGTTATTAATATCACCAACCCAACACTGAGGCTGGTTTGTAGATCACATTCTTGACTGAGTTGCGTAACAAATCAAATTGGCTGATGAAAATAAAGAGCGGGTAATTGTTGATCGCAATAACAACATGAATGAATACAGGGCTTACTGTAGGTTTACTGAAATGCAAGGCTTAGAGATATTGGGGATGAATGTTGATGTAAAGTTGATGTACAACATGTAATAAAATTTATATTACAAAGGATTAATATTTGAATAAAGATGATACTTTTCTAATCTAGCAGTCTACTGTGATGTTTTGAAATGATGTCTTGATATCAGCAATATATCAATTAGGAGATATACCAACTGTGTTTTGAAATATGATGTAGTCCCACTGTAGAGTGGATACCTCTTAATTAAATTTAGAGCCAAGCATTTAAAAAAAGGAAACCTTTTTTTAACCAATCAGAATCAAGCATTCATCAATGTCATGGTAGAATTTAGAATGGAAAAGGGCAGCAACTACCGTCGTTGGAGGGGGAAACCCATACGTACCCTTCTTCCTGAGGGTCCATCCATACCCTTGGGGCCCTTCAGCCCACTCAGACCTGGGTCACCCTGAAACATTGTTGCCAGTTGTAACTTTATCAGACCACACAGAGTTGAGAAACAGTCATATTGACATGGAATACATAGTGACAGTTACATTGACATGGAATACATAGTGACAGTTACATCGACATGGAATACATAGTGACAGTTCCATTGACATGGAATACATAGTGACAGTTACATTGGCATGGAATACATAGTGACAGTTACATCGACATGGAATATATAGTGACAGTTACATTGACATGGAATACATAGTCACAGTTACATTGACATGGAATACATAGTGACAGTTACATTGACATTGAATACATAGTGACAGTTACATTGACATCTAATACATAGTGACAGTTCCATTGACATGGAATACATAGTGACAGTTACATTGACATGGAATACATAGTGACAGTTCCATTGACATGGAATACATAGTGACAGTTACATTGACATGGAATACATAGTGACAGTTCCATCGACATGGAATACATAGTGACAGTAACATCGACATGGAATACATAGTGACAGTTCCATTGACATGGAATACATAGTGACAGTTACATCGACATGGAATACATAGTGACAGTTACATCGACATGGAATACATAGTGACAGTAACACTAACCATATCATACATAGTTAAGAAACAGTTACATTTACTACACAACTTATTGTAACACTAACCATATCACATATTGTTAACAAACCATTTTAATATATAGAATGAGAAGTTGTCTCCCATATTCACTGGCCTAGAAGCAGTCAAGTGTCATTTGACAAAAACTCATGTTGACTCCAAATAAGGTCTGATACCTTATTGTATTGACTTGAGCTACTAAACACAGAAAGAGAATATCCTGGATGTCTTCCCAAACCTAAGCCAATCAAATATCTCTGTTTGATGGAACCTCCTTATGTTATAGCTAATCAGTAACAGACTAATTCTGCCATTATGAGGTCACGGAAAGATTTTCAGAAAATGTAACTTTTATCAACCAATACACTAAATGAACGACGCCCAAACATATAACATATGATTGAAATATACAAAATATGAATCAAAAGACAAATTTGTAATTAAACAATTCTCACTCTAAAACGTTATTGTAGTATTTTCACTACATCAACTGTTTACGTCTAACCATACATAAACACATGTGACAATATACATATTTATTACATAGTTTTATTTCTTATCAAATAATAGCTGTTTATAATGAGAATCTGTGGGATTATTTTGTTTACCATTTGGATCGTATTTTCGAACAAATAAACTTTATCAATTTTTAGGGTGAAATGGTTGTTTCTACCTCAGAATCCAGATCAGAATTTTGTAATTTGACCCACAAAATTTTGGAAATTTTACCTCAGAATGTTGATTATTTTACCGCAGAATTCATCTGGAACTGTAACCTAGTTGGCAAACAGTTACACTGACATTGACTACATAACTGCACTAGCAAGAACTTGCCATAACTTTCCTACATGGTGATAGACATTTTGCATAATATCCTTGATAGAAATGAACCTACCAAGGGATTCATCAACCAAACAATATCTACAAGGAAGTATTATCAAGCCGATGGTATATGTAGCCAGGTGGATGTAAACCTACCTTGTTTCCTTCCATGCCCTTGTCGCCAGGATCTCCTGGAGGACCTTTAGGACCTACTTCACCCTTGTCTCCAGGAATGCCGGACCGGACCTCCACAGGTCCCACCACGGGGAATTTGCCTGGGGGACCCGGGTCTCCAGTGTCTCCCTGGACAAACACACAACAGATATAATGTATACAGTCTAAGGAGATATATTTGTTTATAGCTAAAATGGATAGAATTATCATAAAAACGCCCGCATGTTATCAGAAATGAGCGGGCCACTGTAACTTGATAATGCCCTCATATTACTTGACGACGGGCCATTATCACGCCCGTTGTTAGGTGACGTCATAGGATAGGGATAGGTGACGTAACGTTCAATAGTGACGTCATCTGGTTTGTTCTATGACGTTTCCATATTTGTAAAAGTGGGTCAGTGACATTCGTGTTGATTGCAGCAAATGTTTCAAAATCGACATTGTTGTTTCTTTTTATTTGATAACAAATTCCATCCATTTTAGCTATAATAACGGTAACGCTATTTTTCAGGGCATTATCATTTGCAGAAGCCCCCGGTCTTTTCAACTGCCCTCCTTCGTCGGGCAGTTAATGGAAGACCTCGGGCTTCTGCAAATGATAATGCCCTGAAAAATAGCGTTACCCTTATAATACTGAGCATACAAGGCCATGACAGGTCCTGATGGGGTATACTGTGATTTATTTTTTAAAGTTCTTCTTTTGATTTCCTATATTCAGAGATATTTTAACATTGAACTAAGCACTAAAGCCTCGCCCTTTATGTTGGTTCTGTTATCAGTGAAATACAAGTCACCTTATATTATAACAGCATGACTTGTTTTATTCCAAAATGGGAGATTTTACTGACAGACTTTAGGCCGAATATCAGCCGAATATAAGCAGGTTGAGATAAATCCCTGTGAAGCTGTCAGTATCAAGTACAGTGACATTGTTCAAAATACAGTGAAGTTCACTCAAAGCAATGAACTGGATACTTGGTAGAACAAAGTCGAACATGATGGTGATCAGATCACATTGTCTATGACATGCACGTCCATTGAGATCTAGATCTACCTGCCTCAAGCCTATGGGCAGGCACTTATTTCGAAAACTGCGTGCATGTTAACAAGTAAAACCAAAACTATAGGCCATTATGCACAATTATAGACAAATTACATATAAAACATTAGAGTCAGAGCAATCACTCAAATCTATTGATTCCGGAAGTAGAATCAACAGATTCGAGTGATTTCTCTATAACAGAGTTGTCTCCATTTTCACATCGCTGTGGAAGTGTGTTACCTTTGCACCCTTGTGTCCAAGCTTCTTTGCTCCTGGCAAACCTTTGTAGCCCTTGGGACCAGGCAGCCCTTCCACACCCTGAAACACAACATGACCATGCCATCATTGTCCCCGTACCCATAGCATGAGATGGCTGTATGGACATCACTGTATGATGGGACCTTAAATGTTAACTCACTCACTCACTTACTCACTCACTCACTCACTCACTATGCTTGACCCGTGAAGATCCGGGGTAGAATAGGTCTTCAGCAACCCATGCTTGCCGTAAAAGGCGACTATGCTTGTCGTAAAAGGTGACTAACGGGATCGGGTGGTCAGACTTGCTGACTTGGTTGATGCATGTCATCGATCCCAATTACGTGAATCGATGCTCATGATGTTAATCACTGGATTGTCTGGTCCAGACTCGATTATTTTACAGACCGCCGTCATATAGCTAGAATATTGCTGAGTGCGGTGTTAAACAACAAACAACCAAACAAACAAATCTAGCATCTGATAGAAGAGCAGAAAGTTGGTGGTTTGATCAACAGCCATGTCATACCAAAAGACGTTAAAATATGGTACTTGTTATTACCCCCTGGTGCTCGTCATTAAGGGGATAAAATACAAGGACTGGTCGGCTTGGAGTCAGTATAGCAGTATTACAGCACCATAAAACCAACATTTGTCCGAACTGGTACAAGCAAACATACACACCCACCCATGCATGCACGTTGCTATATAAGGCAATAATCTTAAACGCAGCGTTAAACCTGCTTTCGGGGCGGTCGGGTAGCCTAGTGGCTTAAGCATTCGATCGTCATGGCGAAGACCAGGGTTCGATTCCTGACATGGGTTCAATGTGTGAAGCCAGTTTCTGGTGTCCCCGCCGTTATATTGCTGGAAAATTACTAAAAGCGGCGTAATACCATACTCACTCACTCACTAAACCTGCTTTCTACTCACCCACCCCCAGTTTGACAACACATCATTCATATTTCAAACAGTGAATCTGTTTGAAGGTATTGTCTTTGTACTTACAGGTAGACCTCTCTCTCCGGGGTAGCCATAGTCACCAGGCAGACCAATTTCTCCCGCCAAACCCTGTCAACAAACAGAAAGCATATTTGTACCTCATTTCATCAAGACACAGTTAAATGTGTTCAGTCATACTGTATAATTCCGCAAGTCCAGATGTGCTTTAAATTGCATCTGAAATATATATATATATTAATATATATATAATAGATGGGGAAATATATGTGAACCATTACGCAACGAATTGTTTTAGGTATGCCCGATTCCGCTAAGACGGAACCTGGTTGCTAAATGGCCATGAGAGGGGCACATGCAGCTATCTATTCGGCTTGTCCTGGAATAACACGAGTTGGTCACAAATGATATCAAAACTTTACAAAAAAAATCTAATACCAGTGTGGGACCATCTTCCCGAGGCAAGCTTGTCCACTAGCAAATGTCAAAGCTTAGGTTCTACCCTTGCCACATCAAGGCCACTAGTCTTGGCTTGACCCTGGCGCCACCTCGCGTAGATCACGAGTTGTGCTCCTTGTAATGAAAATGTGATATCCAATCAGATCACTCTTCTTATCTCGTATAGCTTCACAAAGATGGCAACTACCATAGGCAATGTCCTAGTCGATCAGATAAAAAAACATTCGTGATTTCCTCCCTGACATAAAAACATAGGCAGTTGCTGGGGGGGGGTAAAAGATGAAAAAGACAAATTCGTGTCAACAAAGACAGGGAGTGGTAAGTACCAGTCGTGGATGTTGATTTTTTAAATCATTCTCTGATTGGACTATCGTATCGTCCTATCATATTTAGCACAGGAAAGTGGGCTTGATGTGGCAAGGGTGGTAACAAGACTTTGATAAAACGGCAAGTGGACACTCTTGCCCCGGGATGATGGTGTGGGACATGGTAGCAATCAAATATGACTTACCTCCTCTCCAATTAGTCCATCTTCACCTGGCTCACCCTTATAGCCAACACGGAAACCTTCACTTGCTCCTGGTTGTCCCTGAAAGACACGATGTGTCATAAAGAGACATATCACATGTGTGGAATACATTGATATATACCATACACATGATCTCATTGATGGAATACATTGAAATATATTATACACATATCCCAAAACCATACCACATGGTTGGAATACCCAGAAATATGGTATAACATATGTCACGCGGAGTTTCAGAAGCTGTAGTATCCATAGAGACAGGGTTGACTTACCGATTTCAACTTCCTTATTATTTCAATGCAACATTTAGGTATATGTACCATAGAGGTGCGCAGTATTACCAGTATACCATAATTTGAAATGCTAATGTGCTGGTAGCTTTATCAAGCAACTGTTACCAAAGAGACGACCATAAGTCAAACCTGTCCTCATTACAAAGCATATATCACAAATAATTCTCTTACCCATAAAAACAATACAAGTCTAAGAAATAATGCAACCAATGAAATATGCAACCAAATCCTAATTCTTTAGAGATCATAAGCTTAAATCTACAATAAATATAAAATAGTTCTTCTAAACTCAAGGTTTGATATATCCAATCGTTCCCTCCAAACATAGCACATGCTTTGACAGGTTGAACCATTTTGAAATCCAAATTTTCATGCTTTGACAGGTTGAACCATTTTGAAAACCAAATTTTCGTCACGTTTAAATACGATCTGGTTATTATCTCGAGAAAACATGCAGGCTGTGCTAAAGGTATATAATGTTCTATTAGGCAATTGTTTCAGCAATATACTAAAAAACAGTGATAAATAGTACATAAGGCTTATTCTTACCTTTCTACCGGGTCGACCTGGACGCCCTCTAGATCCTGGCAGGCCAGGCAGACCAGATTGTCCAGAGAAACCTGCACCTCCCTAGAAGAACACATGTGGGTTGTGATGAGTTTAATCACTTATGACTTCTATATTTTGTGTGTTTATGGAAGAATAAACAAAAACATAGTGCCATTGCGCTGTAGCTCACCTGGATCTGTATTCAACAGTTTAAAATGTCAACAAAGACAGAGACTCAAAAAATAAATTATCACTAAAAATGAAACATGTGTTGAGCCAAACTACTAACTCCACACATATTATATTTTGAAGAGACATGGCTGAGTAATGTCCATATATAGGTTTTTCAATATGGCTCCTGTCGTGGCCAGGAATAGGATTTGAAACTGTTACAGCTTCACTGGTCAAGGGGGAAAACTGGCCATGACTTTCAGTCAGGTGAGCTAAAAAACGGTGTGAATACTGTAAACCTACTAAGTCAATTCTAGTAAATAGAAAGTCAACAATAATATAATGAGCCAATCAGTAAACTGAAGTCCATTAATACATGACACTTTCTTACAGATAGCAACTTCTTTTATTCTATCCATAAAAAAGTGTCATGTATTCAACTTCTAAATGCATATCAATGACTTCATTAGTCAATTAGTCAATTGGTCTAATGCTTTTAGGTTTATGGAAACATGAACACAAAAATATATGGCTTGCTCAGGGAATCAAATGCCATGGAATTATTTGCAATTTATTTACATGGGAATAGCTAAAAAGCAGAAACTTTTTCCATTGCATCCTCACACTTTCATGTCATCCTCTCTAATGTTCATTACACTGGATTCAATATATGCACCAGCAATAGGCAGTATCCATCAAACCCATGTTTAAAAAAAATTATGATATTTACCAGTACCAATTTATATTTTACAAGTAGCTAGTAGTCTGTTAATAAACCAACCTGGACCAGACAATTCAGCATTTGATATTATGAGCTATGGTCAATGTGTTACGGTGCCATGCTATCAACCAAGTCACCGAGCCTGACCACCGCACAGGTTGTTGCTATCAACTAAGTCACGAAGCCTGACCACCGCACAGGTTGTTGGAGACCAATTCTAACAGGATTTGCCATTCGCTAAGGGACTATTATCACATCTCAGCGATAAAAGCTTGATGGTAAACTGCATGAGATGGTCTTGGATGACAACTTGCCAGACACCACAAAGGAAACCTTTGGCACTGTTATCTAACAGACCTGGTGCCAGATAAGAACAAAATGGTAATGAGGCTGAAAATTCAATCAAGAAATGATCACTGGAGCCCAACATGACATTGTTGCAGTATACCATATCAGAGGAGCATGACACAGGTCAACCTCAAGATTGTTTATGTTCCTTGACAATCAACTGGTGTTAACTTGGACATGCTTTGGGCCGTAGCAAACAGAGGAGCTCACTAGGTTGAGTGAGTGAGTGAGTGAGTGGGTGGGTTCGTGGATGAGTGAGTGGATGAGTGAGTGGATGAGTGAGTGAGTGAGTGAGAGAGTGAGAGAGTGAGTGAGTGAGTGATGCAGGTCTCTGATGCTCACCACTTTGGCAAAACCCATGGGCATGGGTATGGTGCTGACAAACCTCAAAACGTAATTTGGGTGAACTGGGATTTCAAACCTACAATCATAGGTTTCTGGCGTGCCCAATGAATGCAACTTTGCACAGCGACTTGTGGCACCTTAGACGACTGGGCCACTCGTGCAACCTGAGTTATTAGTGATTCGGTGCCATTTGATTGGTTAATCAAGAAATTTCTTTGAATAACAATTGGACAAAGCCAACTAATAGTCACTGATTCTTTACAGTTGTTTACATTTTTGTGTGAGCTAATTATTAAATAAGCAGTGTGTCAAGTTATTTTTGTCAACACATTTATTTATAGGAATTGACTTGAATATAGGTTTTGGAGGTAAAAGCATTACAACCGGTGTGCTATCCTCGATGCAGATTTACATAGGATGCTCATCTGTTTTTGTGTTTATGCCATCATAATGTAACAAGTATTGAAGTCCATTGTCAACAATACTGACACAACCAGTATTTAGAGCACAGGCAAATACTTCCATCCAGTGGGTGGTCACTGTTTTGGTCAAGTGGAGTACATTTATATGCTGATAAAATCATATATAAATTCACATGAAATCATGCAATCTGCTCAAAATGTCAATGGTGGAGTTTGTGTGACCTGCACAAAGTTCATGGAACTTGAGTATCTGCCTGTGCTCTAAGATAGTTAGAGAACTTGTGCCAGTACTTTATCAGGATATGTAGGTAGATTCGCAAGAACCTCTGGCAGTATGGCCTGCATAACATAAGGTGGGGTTGGGGGGGGGGCGGGGGCTTTATCATCAAACAATAGCCAACCATTTAGACATTCTTATAGGCTGATATATGAGAACACAATTTTCCAACTTCCTTATCATGCAACATAATTATCAATGATGTCTGCATATCTTCTTTTGGGGACCATGCACTCCATGTTTTTGGGGCATATGCTCAGAAAAGAAACAAGTGGGCAGATAAATATTTCGAATTATTGACATAAGACATGTAATGGCGGAAATCTGAGCTGACCCATGATTGAAACAATCAGTGTCCCAAGGAATGTACTCGTCCCCCATCGGATTGTGCTGACACTTGCAGAAACGTGTATCTTTCCGCAGAAATCAGTCACTTTAGGACAAACATTAAGCAACAAGTGCACCCCAGAAGGCCTCCCCGCTCTCTTTATCTGTGAATGTGGCACCATGTGTCCTGGGTGGGCTGTTGTGTTTGTGATGCTGGGATAAACAGGCTAGTATTTCACCAGTATTGTGTTGCGGCCAGCTCATACAGGGGCTTGCTCACTCTTGTACCCTAGTACAGCTGACATTTAGACTTCTACACATGCATGTGGGAGGGAGAGAGACTTACATCATTAATCTTTGAAAGTCCTTTTTTAAATCAGAGGACACCCCAAGCCCCTGAATATCAAATGCTCTTTCCTAATGACAAACAAACCACCCTAAATGTACATTTTGACGTAAGCTATATAAACTATTGAAATGAGTGCCCTTTAACTGCACATCACGTTTTATGCAAAACCAGCCTCTGACACTTGTCAGCTTCATGGAGCTGTGCAGGCATATTATATGTGAGTGAGTGAGTGAATATGGTTTTACGCTGCTTTTAGCAATATTCCAGCAATATCACGGCGGGGGACACCAGAAATGGGCTTCACACATTGTACCCATGTCGGGAATCGATCGAACCCGGGTCTTCGGCGTGACGAGCGAACGCTTTAACCACTAGACTACCCGACCGCCCCATATTATATGTATCATACTTGTACAACTGTTGCTTCAACCAACTGTTTTCCACCTAAACTTGCATTAAATATAATAATAATTCATCAAAACTCTCGACTCAATTTTCAAATACCAACTGAAATCGTTTGCCACCTAGACTTAATTTTATTTGAATGATCATAAGATTCCACATTTTCAGATCAACTACACAATTTTATATCTTGAATATTTAGGAATTTTGTAGTAATAGTTATAAAATATGCGCACTACATCACTCCAGAAAGGGATAATCAAACAGTTCCCTCTGACAACACCCTTTAGCCAGCCACACCTCAAACTTCACATAAATAAGTCTTAAATAAACCATTCAATTCTCCAATTCTCATCCCCAATGTCCATATCCTTTGAAAAATAAATTAATTTTTACTGTCACAGTATTATCAACTAAATATTTGCATGAGGTAACATCCACCAGGTCCTTCCAATAATCAGCTATGACCACTGAGTGAAGCTCCTGTTTGTTCAGATGGATTGCGTTAGTTGTCCCTGCATGGGGGCTGCACAGTAAGCCTTCTAAGACACAAGGGGGGGGGACACTGTTTACCCTACTTCAATGGAGAAAGTGTCAGGCGCTACACTGGGTGTCTGTAGACCACTATATGTGCTTGTTGTTACAACTTCCTTGCCTTTTATCTTAATAATCCTGGAGTCAGATTAACAGGGAGCTCCCATGTGTCAGTCCTGGCTCATGGGACTTTCATTAAGATATGAAAGAAGCTTTGTCTGTGGAGCAGTCTGCTAATTACTTTAATGTGGACATGCCATGGCACTGCACCCTGCCATGGGTTCATCTCTGAGGGGGAGTCAGGGGGATGGTGGGGAGGGGGAGAGTGGAACTTGAGACAAGCACCTGACGAGGGAGGACAGAGGGTAGGGGAAGGTGTTTGTGTGTTGTATAAGGCTACATACAGCAACATTCTAGATACAGGACGGTAGCTGGGTAGGATAAGGTAGCATTAGTTTTAATGGGGGTCTGGACAATTCCTCACACAAACATTTCCCTGCACAGACAATAAAATTATTCCCTACCAGTAAATGGATAATTCCTTTCACAGACATTTCCCCACACATACAATAAAATTATTCCCTACAGTAAATGGATAATTCCTTACACAATCATTTCCCCACACAGACAATAAAATTATTCCCTACCAGTAAATGGATAATTTCTTAAACAGACAATTCCACACCAGACATTTCCCCACCGATAACGGACAATTCCCCACACCCAACAATAACTTGCTGATATGTGATTGGAGGGTTTGGCTTAGCACTTAAGCACAGGAGTTTTTCAATAATGGGTTCATGTTTCTGACAATAAGTGGAGGAAATTGGAAACTTAATGAACGTTAAGTAAGGACTGGGAAAGAGGAGGAGAAGTTAGTAGTGAATGCTTACCATAGTAAAAAATAAACAGTCATAATTTTACTACATCTTTTGAGTATCTAATCTCCAAAACCTTCATCGCTGCGAATAGCTGCAACATTGCTGATGCGACGTTAAGAAATAATCACTCACTCACTGCCAAACCTTCTCTTACTCTTGACTTATTCATAGTCATAGTCTTACATATGTTGAAATCAATGAAAACTTTGAAAATAGAATATATATCATATGGTCAACTGTTTTTTTGCCTTATAGCTACCTTTTAATATGCACACGTGGGGAAGTGTCATTCACTCGGTTAAAAGGAGTGGGAACTTCAAGTAGAATTCTTGATAGACTGGTACATACGAGACCATATAGACTAACACAGTCCCTGGAATAAACTTATGTATAAGGTTTCCGGGTAAATAAGAAGGGATTTGTAACGGAACCCTTGCGTATTAAGGAGCCCACTTGTCTCTTATTTACTTGAACTAAGAAGGGGATGAGAGTGTAATGGGGGTGATTTTGTTATCAAATATATGCACTGGGGACTGTAAGAGAAACTGGAGGTCATTATACTCCATAACATCACACCTGACCGAAAATAAAGGCATGTCCGACATGACAACATATTTCTCAAACAGATTTTTAAAAATCCCAAGACAATAAATATCAGGCCCGTGAAGATCCGGGGTAGAATAGATCTTCAGCAACCCACATTTGCTATTAAAGGCGCTATGCTTGTCATACGAGGCAACTAACGGGATCGGGTGGTCAGGCTCACTGACTTGGTTGATGCACATCATTGTATCCCAATTGCGCGGATCAATGCTCATGATGTCAATCACAGGATTGTTTGGTCCAGTCTCACTTATTTACAGACCACTGTCATATAGCTGGAATATTGCTGGGTGCGGCATAATAATCAAACAAATAAACAAACAGTTTGATCAAAAATCATTAGACAGTAACTATCATGATGGCTCTGATCAAAAGACCCTCCGAATTTGCAGTATGCTGCAGTGTGTGTTTATCCAACCTGCTTCATCAAGGTTGCCTGCCATCAAGTGGTTAACATGCCTCTGACAATGAGTCACTTCCTACATGGTGAAATGTTATACCCTGAGAAGGCTCATAGCTCACGGTGGCACCTAGGGGAACCATTCCATCAGATAAACCTCACAAACCTCTGAGTAAGCATCTTTTGTTTATTGAGTGCATGACAGGGGCAAGCTATAGCGAAAAGGGTACATATTGGTTACATGTAACCTGGTGAGATGTTATATATATATATTGGCCAGGGTACGGTATTGGTGAATCGTGATATAAAGTGGCCAGGGTACAGTATTAGTGAATCGTGATATATAATGTCCAGGGTACGGTATTGGTGAGGAATGAGATATAATAGTGAAGATGGAATACCACACAACGTTATCATTCATAGGAGAAGTGTAGCAGGTAGCACACTATGGGACGGGGCCATGATATGGAAAACAGTACATACTGTGATGGCCATCACGAAGAATATATAAATATTAATGTGTCTTTATTATAAAATATGTAAGTTATGACAGCTTGTAAAAATTAGAAATATTTCCTAAATATTTCCCTGTTGTATTTTTGATGGTTATATGACAGTGCACGAATTATATCATAATTATCCTGTAAACTGTAATTAGTTTTGCAGGTATATATCAGTATACTTTTGCCAACCTCGTTTTCACGTAATTCAATGTTTTGAATCCCGTTTTGGTAAGAAATCTATCAGAGGATCATAGCATGCTTTTATAGAGCTTCATCGCACACCGTTATCTCGTAAAAATAATCATATGTCCATGCCATCATGTTACGCATATTGTTTAGGATGTGCCAGTACCTCATAAGCATCGATGTCAACAACGTGCCTGTCAAAACGATCTTGTTTACTTGTTTCAAGAGTTTTGCATTGACCGTAACTTTTGAAGAATTCATCGTTCTAAGCACACAGTTACGCAAATTAACCATCAGATACAGTTTAATCATACCTTTGTTCTTCAACAAACAGATCACAATCACTTGGCAGCTTGATATTTATCCATATTTGTGTGAATTTGTGATCAGGGCTGAGCTACGTGTTTCGCCGACGCCCGCCATTTTAACTTTGTGACAGCTAGCCTAGGTCGCGATGAAGTTACTGAATTTGGCTAATGCTTAGCATTTGCATTATAAAGTTTATTTAATCTAATGAACTATGTCCAGAGGAACCCAGAATCGTATTTGATGATATGTCAAGACGTGTATTAAAGTTACTGTTAATTCTGACATCAGGAACTATGTAATCTTCGCTGATGTATTCATGCGCAGTATTTAGCGTCACTATTTATGAACATGTTTCTCATAAATATGACATCCAGTGCTTCTGTCAAAGCATACCAGTGGCCAATTTGTGTTATTAAACGTCCTATGCATCAGATAAATTCCAATTGCCTCCTGACATTTGTAATCTTCCTCTTTGAATTGTCCATTGTAATTCCCAGTCGATGTTGCTTGTTGTTATTACGTCCTCTCGGCAGGCAGCAAGGACGTAGCTTCGACGTAGCAGGACGTAATTGTTTATCTTGTGATATTGGAAGGCAATTAGTGAATCAATTAGACAGAATTCATTGATTGGTATAAATACTCATTTTTATACCAAATTACCTCCTGAGATGGTTTGCCTTCCTCTTTATTTCAGTGATTTTACATTGTGAAAGTAGATCCCTCAAAGGAATAAGGACGTAAAGAGACGTAATTTCTCGTAATTTGATTGGTCAATAACAGACATGTGACCATTTTCTCACACCTATAAATACGATGAGATCCATTCTGGGTCATTCTGACTTTGGCAGTCTAAAGGTCAGTTTCAATCAAAGGGCAGATAATTCAGCCCAAAAGTTCCCCTTGTCCTTATGTAATCATTTCTATAAATAGACTGCATTTTTGAACACAGACACAAATTGCTATCTGAGTAACTGTAAAGTCATCCATATATATATATTAATAGCAGTAAACTACCATTATAGTTACAGGCAATAATTATTTTGCCCTGACACTGGTCCTTACAAATAAACCTTAAAGCTCAGAGGGATCTACTTATTTGGAAGCATTGTGTTGTCCATATAAGGCATTGTTATACCCACATGAATAAAAACTAATTATTCATTGGAAAGAAGTGTTTTGACTCTCAGTTACATCCAGACTTCGAGGTTTATCAGAAGTTCGGGTCCGGGCCGCTACACATACCTTGGTTCCATTGCAGCCGGGATATCCCTGGGGTCCTACCGGTCCCTCCATACCAGACTGACCCTGAAATAACAACATGATCTCAACACTCTAGTCATGGAAATCCTTCTACCATCTAGTAATGTTATGATTCTGCTGAAAATGGAAATTTTCAGATTTTATCGGTTTCTGGCGTGCCCAAGGGACACAACTCTGAACAGCGAATCGAAGCACCTTAGATGACTAAAAGATTAGAAGTTTTTAGAAGTTAACACAAAACTATTGAAAATGATGAGTAAAGTTCTGGCTTGTAGACAGAAATGTGATGACACTTTCTTTTCCACTTTATCAAAAACATTGTATTGAATATTAAGTACAGATACAAACCGTAAGGAATTGTCTACTGTATTGTGTTGAATTTTAGTTATTGTATCTTGAAATGAAAAACAATCTTAAAAACATGAAATTATTCATTTTCAATGTAGCATGACCAGATATCGTCCCTCGTAATGAGATCACCTGGTCACCAGATAAGATTCCTATCATGTGATAGTGTACAGACACGCACTAGAGCACTGGCACTTCTCTGGCGCACAGCTGACGTGTGTTAGGAGCTGCACATATTGTGATGCAGTCCTGTTAATGCATTTGGAAACTTAGTTACCTTGAGCATACTGAAAATATGTGAGAAAGAAAATCAAGACATATTTTCTTGGGGCTTATGGAATCCACATGAAGCAGCTTAATGTTTATGAAATATGTTTCTAAACTGTTATGGTAAACCTGCAGCACTCCATGAAAATTGTATCCAGCAAATAAACAAGCACCTGCTTTCAGTACTTACTGGGATACTAGAGACACACTGTGACAACTTACAAGGATACAAGAGACATTGTCACAACTTACCAGGATACAAGAGACATTGTCACAACTTACCAGGATACAAGAGACATTGTAACAACTTACCAGGATACAAGAGACATTGTCACAACTTACCAGGATACCAGAGACATTGTCACAACTTACCAGGATACAAGAGACATTGTCACAACTTACCAGGATACAAGAGACAATGTGACAACTTACCAGGATAGCGAGATGATGTGATAATTTTCCAGGATAGAGAGACAATGTGACGACTTACCAGGATAGCGAGATGATGTGACAATTTTCCAGGATAGAGAGACAATGTGACGACTTACCAGGATAGCAAGATGATGTGACAATTTTCCAGGATAGAGAGACAATGTGACGACTTACCAGGATAGCGAGATGATGTGACAATTTTCCAGGATAGAGAGACAATGTGACAATTTACCAGGATAGCGAGATGATGTGACACTTTTCCAGGATAGAGAGACAATGTGACGACTTACCAGGATAGCGAGATGATGTGACAATTTTCCAGGATAGAGATTAGAGAGACAATGTGACGACTTACCAGGATAGCGAGATGATGTGACAATTTTCCAGGATAGAGAGACAATGTGACGACTTACCAGGATAGCGAGATGATGTGACAATTTTCCAGGATAGAGAGACAATGTGACGACTTACCAAGATAGCGAGATGATGTGACACTTTTCCAGGATAGAGAGACAATGTGACAACTTACCAGGATAGCGAGATGATGTGACAATTTTCCAGGATAGAGAGACAATGTGATGACTTACCACGATAGCGAGATGATGTGACAATTTTCCAGGATAGAGAGACAATGTGACGACTTACCAGGATAGCAAGATGATGTGACAATTTTCCAGGATAGAGAGACAATGTGACGACTTACCAGGACAGCGACATGATGTGACATTTTTCCAGGATAGAGAAACAATGTGACAACTTACCACGATAGCGAGATGATGACAATTTTCCAGGATAGAGAGACAATGTGACAACTTACCGGGATAGAGAGACAATGTGACAACTTACCGGGATACCTGGTATTCCAGTGAAACCGGGCAGACCTGAAGTTCCCTGCAAAGAAACATCAAATGTTATGCTATGTTTGTAAATAATACAATAAGGTTCAAATTATGCATAACATTCTACTCTTCAACATTACAACATCCTTGGGGTTTCATCAAAGAGGTAAATGTCTACGACATTATATAACTGGAACGCTGATGAAAACAATATCCTGGAATTAAATGGATTTTATGCTGCTTGTAGAAACCGGAATCACACATTATGCCAATGTCAAGAAGTGAACCAGGATCTTTGGAATGCTGCCATTTATTTGACCTAATGTGTTGCCTTTTGTGATTGTAAACCTTAAACTGTGGGTTTCAATATAATTTGTTAATTACTCATTAAACTTGGGGTCATTTACTGATTTCACAATTTAGTTCTGTACAAACCGATTTCAGGGTTAGCCTTTGCGTTTCAATTTGGAAATATTTTGGAACACTTGGTTAACTCTAGAATATTTATCCTGTATAATGTTACTGACATATTACCCCTACACTGTATATGTCTTTCATACATAATTACAATTTTGATTTATTTCATATTTAGCATGTTTAAATCATCATGCACATCAGCCTGTAGGGTGTGGCCTTTGTACAATCAATTACTTTCTACTGGAAGCACTTAAAGAACTGTGTACAAAGGATTAGATGCCTCTTTGTGTGTGTATTAATAGTATAGACATATCCTACATCAACTGAAATCACCATATAGTTGCCAAATAGTAAATAGAGAGTGTGTGTGTGTGTGTGTGTGCGTGCGTGCGTGTGTGTTTTTGTTTGTTTGTTTGCATGTGTGTGGTGTGTGTTTGCGTGTGTGTTTGTGGTGTGTGTGTGTTTGCGTGTGTGCGTGTGTGTGCGTGCGTGTTTTTGTTTGTTTGTTTGGGTGTGTGTGGTGTGTGTTTGCGTGTGTGTTTGTGGTGTGTGTGTGTGTGTGTGTGTGTGTGTGTGTGCGTGCGTGTTTTTGTTTGATTGTTTGGGTGTGTGTGGTGTGTGTTTGCGTGTGTGTTTGTGGTGTGTGTGTGTTTGTGGTGTGTGTGTGTTTGTGTGTGTGTGTGTGTGCATGCGTGTTTTTGTTTGTTTGTTTGGGTGTGTGTGGTGTGTGTTTGCGTGTGTGTTTGTGGTGTGTGTGTGTTTGTGGTGTGTGTGTGTTTGCGTGTGTGCGTGTGTGTGCGTGCGAGCCTATGTAAGCATTACGGAACAGATGCAATCTTTTAAACGACAGACATACATTCCTCTAACACAAAACAACATGTAAAAACATCAGTATCCTTAATGTCCCTTCCGGAATACATGTACCAGTCATCCACCTCCTAATCAGCTGGAATTTTGAATTTTGCTGATGCAGACTATTAAATTACAAGTACCGGTATTTGAGTTCTTGAGAAATGAGACAGCCCATCCCTGTCTGATGCCATGACAGTGCGTTCCCACCCCCAGCACTACGAGGTTCACCTCCCACTCGTTACCCTCACCCTCACTCCCACATTGCCACAGTCAAGGACAGTGACATCAAACTCTACATCCCCGCCTTGGATTTATCATGAAGTCGCCTTGTGTCTAGCGGTACCTCATGCATGTCCCTTCTGTCAGACTTGAAGACTGAATTTATTTCAAAACACCAACCCTTTTGCATTTTAGGATACTGTGACCTTGAGTAGCATTTTTTTCTAACATAGAAATCAAATTTGCCTGAGAACCAATTGTTTCCTTTTGTTGTTAACCTAACATTCAATACACTTAGAAACTATCAATATATTTGACGTAATTTCATAAGAAAAAGAATAATAAAGAGGCACCATGACTCAAAAATGCATGCGTCATTCAGCAATTGAGCAATTTGAATGCATTAATGGACTGACAGCATGTGTTTGTCACATGCCGCAGTGCCTCACTGGGCGGGTTCTCTCGTGGCCTACTGGGGGAGTAGGAGGGGGGAAGGCTGTCTACAGTCTGCCTACACACAACATGGGACTGTCTTCAGACAGTCGGCCTTCACACTACACAGGGGGCTGTCTTAAGACAGTCAGCCTTCAAACTACACAGGGGGCTGTCTACAGACAGTCTGCCTACACACAACATGGGACTGTCATCAGACAGTCAGCCTTCACACTACACAGGGGACTGTCTACAGACAGTAAGCCTTCACACTACACAGGGGGCTGTCTACAGACAGTCAGCCTACACACAACATGGGACTGTCTTCAGACAGTCAGCCTTCACACTACAAAGGGGGCTGTCTACAGACAGTCTGCCTACACACAACATGGGACTGTCTTCAGACAGTCAGCCTTCACACTACAAAGGGGGCTGTTTTCAGACAGTCAGCCTTCACACTACACAGGGGACTGTCTACAGACAGTCAGCCTTCAGACTACACTGGGGGCTGTCTTCAGACAGTCAGCCTACACACAACATGGGACTGTCTTCAGACAGTCAGCCTTCACACTACACAGGGGACTGTCTACAGACAGTCAGCCTACACACAACACAGGGGACTGTCTTCAGACAGTCAGCCTTCACACTACACAGGGGACTGTCTTCAGACAGTCAGCCTTCACACTACACAGGGGACTGTCTTCAGACAGTCAGCCTTCACACTACAAAGGGGGCTGTCTTCAGACAGTCAGCCTTCACACTACACAGGGGAATGTCTTCAGACAGTCAGCCTTCACACTACACAGGGGGCTGTCTTCAGACAGTCAGCCTTCACACTACACAGGGGACTGTCTTCAGACAGTCAGCCTTCACACTACACAGGGGGCTGTCTTCAGACAGTCAGCCTTCACACTACACAGGGGACTGTCTACAGACAGTCAGCCTTCACACTACACAGGGGACTGTCTACAGACAGTCAGCCTTCACACTACACAGGGGACTGTCTACAGACAGTCAGCCTTCACACTACACAGGGGACTGTCTACAGACAGTCAGCCTACACACAACACAGGGGACTGTCTTCAGACAGTCAGCCTTCACACTACACAGGGGACTGTCTTCAGACAGTCAGCCTTCACACTACACAGGGGACTGTCTTCAGACAGTCAGCCTTCACACTACACAGGGGGCTGTCTACAGACAGTCAGCCTTCACACTACACAGGGGACTGTCTACAGACAGTCAGCCTTCACACTACACAGGGGGCTGTCTTCAGACAGTCAGCCTTCACACTACACAGGGGACTGTCTTCAGACAGTCAGCCTTCACACTACACAGGGGGCTGTCTACAGACAGTCAGCCTTCACACTACACAGGGGAATGTCTACAGACAGTCAGCCTTCACAACACACAGGGGGCTGTCTACAGACAGTCAGCCTTCACACTACACAGGGGACTGTCTTCAGACAGTCAGCCTTCACACTACACAGGGGGCTGTCTTCAGACAGTCAGCCTTCACACTACACAGGGGACTGTCTTCAGACAGTCAGCCTTCACACTACACTGGGGAATGTTTACAGACAGCCTTCACAACACACAGGGGGCTGTCTACAGACAGTCAGCCTTCACACTACACTGGGGAATGTCTACAGACAGTCAGCCTTCACACTACACAGGGGAATGTCTACAGACAGTCAGCCTTCACAACACACAGGGGGCTGTCTACAGACAGTCAGCCTTCACACTACACAGGGGACTGTCTTCAGACAGTCAGCCTTCACACTACACAGGGGGCTGTCTTCAGACAGTCAGCCTTCACACTACACAGGGGACTGTCTTCAGACAGTCAGCCTTCACACTACACTGGGGAATGTTTACAGACAGCCTTCACAACACACAGGGGGCTGTCTACAGACAGTCAGCCTTCACACTACACTGGGGAATGTCTACAGACAGTCAGCCACCACAACACACAGGGGGCTGTCTACAGACAGTCAGCCTTCACACTACACAGGGGACTGTCTACAGACAGTCAGCCTTCACACTACACAGGGGGCTGTCTTCAGACAGTCAGCCTTCGTACCACACAGGGGACTGTCTACAGACAGTCAGCCTTCACACTACACAGGGGGCTGTCTTCAGACAGTCAGCCTTCGCACCACACAGGGGACTGTCTACAGACAGTCAGCCTTCACACTACACAGAGGGCTGTCTACAGACAGTCAGCCTACACACAACACAGGGGACTGTCTTCAGACAGTCAGCCTTCACACTACACAGGGGACTGTCTTCAGACAGTCAGCCTTCACACTACACAGAGGGCTGTCTACAGACAGTCAGACTTCACACTACACAGGGGGCTGTCTACAGACAGTCAGCCTTCACACTACACAGGGGACTGTCTACAGACAGTCAGACTTCACACTACACAGGGGACTGTCTTCAGACAGTCAGCCTTCACACTACACAGAGGGCTGTCTACAGACAGTCAGCCTTCACACTACACAGAGGGCTGTCTACAGACAGTCAGACTTCACACTACACAGGGGGCTGTCTACAGACAGTCAGCCTTCACACTACACAGGGGACTGTCTTCAGACAGTCAGCCTTCACACTACACAGGGGACTGTCTTCAGACAGTCAGCCTTCACACTACACAGAGGGCTGTCTACAGACAGTCAGCCTACACACTACACAGGGGGGCTGTCTAGAGACAGTCAGCCTACACATGTCAGCCGGATGGACTGCTCATCATCTCACAAGCTCAGAAAACAAATATATAGCAGACCCTGCCAATTCCATCCCAATCAGCCAGCTGGCCCCACCCCTGTGACCATGTAACCCAAGTAATGATCACATCACACACATATTAACAATTCCTTACCCCTTAAACATCAGCCACATGAACAAACACAGTGCTGGAAGTCTGATATTGTACGACTTACATTTTGATAAAGTTTCGGTAACCAATATTAAATCAGATTATTGTTTCTATTCAGAAGAGGATAGACTTGCACATTGTTTTATAAAACCAAATGAATCAGAAGAATTATCATCAAAGGGAAAGAAGTTCATAGAAAATAATATTTGACCTATTCACACCTTTCTGTTACATGAACACTTTCAACTCCCATGGTCATTTAACACTGTCCTATCCATAGGGGAGGTGAGGTGAAATGGGGTTTAACGTCGCGTCCAAGATTATTGCACTTATACAGCGACGTGCATGTACGTGTGTGTGTTTGTGTGGCTGCTTGTACTAGTTCGGACTAATGCCGATTTATAGTGCTAGCTCACTGAGATACCATGTCACAGTTTAATATGAATACCCCACTCAGACACAGTATACTGACTCCGAGCCAACCAGTCCTTGTTTTAGCCCCTTAATGCCGAGCGCCAGACAGGGTAACAACAAGTACCATCTTTTAACCTCTTTAGGTATGATGCGGTTGGAGATCGAACCCCGGACCTTCCGCTCTCCGGGCGGACTCCTATCCATAGAGATACAGTTCTGATTACAGTGTGTATCAGTACCAGTACCAGATGCAAAACTATACATATTCCACTGTGCTGGGTGCTGCTCTAATCTATTTCAAATATGCATAAAAATTAAGAATGGAGGCAAATAATATCCCATGGACACAAAAATGCATTGATGTTGGAATTGATTGAAACTAATGATATTGAAGCATGTATGTAAGATTTATCTGTATTTCTGTTCTGAAATTCCATGTTTTCTTCACTTCAATCACCTTCCATTCAAACAAAGAAATCCCAACCTTAATAAGCATAAGGCATCACACATACTTAGTTGTTCATTTGCTGTTGCTACAGCGGTCACACTGGGACGCCCATTTTAAAGCCATGGATTGGCACATTTTATTGCTGAGAGTCCCCGGGACCAATACTCAGATGGACTTGTACAGGTGTATGAACTGGTTGAGGCCGAGCAGGTGTGAACAAGAGGACGTTTTCTAAATAATTTTATTTGGCTCACCTGACTTATTTTCCTATATTGTCTACTAATGTACACCACAGATAAAATTGTAAATATTTATGAAATAAAAACATAAACATTTCAACTTATTTTTAAGTATGTCTCAAGAGTTCACAGGGGAAGTTTGTTCAAGGCTTTTTGACTGGTCTCTTTTCTTAAAGCTCATGTAAATGTGGAATTTGTGTATAGAATATTAATGTTGAAATCCCCTGAACCATAACAATAGATTTTGCACCAAGTGAAGCCAATACATTCCTGATTCTACACCATGGGTTTCATATAGTATTCCTCATTAGGCCATAGTCAATGGATTACAGGATTTTCATCCCTGCTCATCTCACTTCGTAACACCCCACCCAAAAATAACATGCCTCCTCCTCACATTCAGAAAAGAATGGAATTAAAATCTAATGATTACTTTAATGTAACATGGAGTGAGTGAGTGAGTGAGTGAGTGAGTGAGTATGGTTTTATGCTGCTTTTAGCAATATTCCAGCAATATCACGGTGGGGGACACCAGAAATGTGCTTCACAAATTGTACCCATGTTGGGAATCGAACCCGGGTCTTCGGCGTGACGAGCGAACGCTTTAACCACCAGGCTACCCGACCGCCCCTAATGTAACATGGAAGCAAATCTGTCCAAAAAAGCTGCCAGCCATGAGATGATCTATTAGTGAAGTGTTTGTTTGTTTGTTTGTTGTTTAATGCAGCACTCAGCAATATTCCAGCTATATGAAGGCCGTCTGTAAATAATTGAGTCTGGAACAGACAAACCTGTGATTGACATCATGAGCATCGACCTATGTAACTGGGATATGATGACATGCATCAACCAAGCGAGCCTGACCCGATCCCGTTAGTCGCCTCTTACGACAAGCATAGTCACCTATTGGTGAAGTGAGAAAGGATCGCCAAAAAGTTACCCAGCTGAAAAGTGACTGGCTCCATTTCCACCACTGCTCATGCTCTGTTCATGAAACATGTTTACACTTGTAGCAGCCATAATATTTCCGAGTCCTGTGATGGGATTCGAACCATGGACCTTCTAATCTGAGGTCACACACCTTTTCCAGATGACTAATGGGCAAGCTGACAATGCAAGGGTGTCATCTGTGGGATGACTCCATGCCCTGCTACACACCCATCACTTCTGGTACTTACTCTGAATCCCTTAGGTCCTCGTGCGCCAACCTCACCCAGGTCACCTTTCATCCCAAATTGGCCAAGGGGGCCCTCTGGTCCAGGAAAGCCAGGCAGGCCAGGGGGACCCTGGAGACCCGGCAGTCCTCTCCCTCCCTGTAACACACAAACCAGCATGAACTGTTTCATTCACAGAACACATAGAAAATACACATTTACTGGTGGTTTGACCTCAATCACACCTTTCTAAGTACTAAATGTATTTTCTATTTATGCATCTTACAATATAAAATGGATATTTCACTCTAGTTAAATAACACTAACAAATAAAATTAGAGTTTAATATTTTTTCCTGATGCTGATTTTAATAAATACAGATATTCCAGAGAGGATTATCAAAACTTATATAATGGTCACTATTTATTCCCTATTGTGTAAATGTTATTTAACACATCTTTTTAACAAAAATTAACATCTAAATCATGTAGATACCCAGTACCTAGCCAAATTAATGACATTTCTTCATTTCACAAGTGTTAACTGCTAAAGCTGATGTCAGAAGGCCAAACAATCATAAAAGACCCAGAAAATGTCAACGACCAGCAAAGTTTATTTGTTAACAAGTCCTAATTAAACAAAGTGTTGCATCACTGTTATAGCCATTTAAACACTAGCTGCAAGTGAGAATGATTAAGTGTGATGTAACACCAGTCTGTGGTTTCCCTAATAAGAAGTCAGGGGACAGACAAACAGCTTCACACACCAATGTAAACAGTGCTCACACAACACACTACAACAGCAGAGCTATAACAGCGGACCTCTACTTCTCTTTAACCTGTAATGTTGAGCTGGGATGTAGTGACACTGTTTCCTGTTATATCACAGCTAGGTGATAAGTCATAACAATACATACAGAATTGCAAACATTCACAATAATCCTCTTAAAGTGTTATACAAAGTTAAACATAACACAATGAAGTACTTGTATGAATCTATGTAAGGAAAATGTTTGTACACATAACTGCTAAGTGATAACAGATAGTAACGCCTACTGAAATGTAACATACAGAACACTGTTTGTGAAATGTAATACAAAGTTCAACACAAACTAAACATGATAACTGAAGTGATTGATTCTTTGTCAACTAACTGTCACAACTTGTATCACATAATGCATAATTTTGCAAATAGGCTTGGTAGGAAGTATTACTTACGTTTTCTCCTTTCTGGCCCTCACAGATACACACAGACGATGTGCATCCTTTACAAGCCTGGAAAACAAAAAGAAGATATTAATGTTAATGAAAGAGTATGCTTTTACGCCTCTTTTACCAATATCCCAGCACTATCATGACAGGGAACACAACTAATGTTCTGCACACATTGTTTGTTTGTTGTTTAATGCTGCACTCAGCAATATTCCAGCTATATGACGGCGGTCTGTAAATAATTGACATCATGAGCATTGATCCACGTAACTGGGATACGATGACATGCATCAACCAAGTCCACGAGCCTGAAAACCTGATCTGGGTAGTCGCTCTTATGACAAGCATAGTGAACCCGTGTGGGGAATCAAACCTGGGTCTTTGGCATGAGGTACAAACAATTTACCAACTAGGCTACCCAAATGCCCTAATGAAAACAAAAACATGTTATTCTGCACAGTACAAGTCCCAACCTAAACAATTCTATTGGACTCTAAAACGAATGACTAATGCCTGGTAGTTCCTTAAATCAAAGAAAATTAATGACAGTCTCATTAAACTCAAGTAAAAACATATCTTTTTGGAAAGGGCGTAATGATTCATCAAATGCACTGATCAAATACTTGTTTGATTAGGATAGATGTTGACATAGGGGACTTCAATACAGATTAATGATAATATTTTGTATGATGTATTATCCTAGAGCAGTCTTCAAAATTAAGCCTGCAAGTCAATAGGTCCTTGTCATAAGACTCATAGCCCTTTTGTTGAATATTGATTGATGGAGTACCTAGATTCAAATTTCAAGGACCGGCCCTCTTAACACTGAACACTGTGCAGGGATCAACTATTTCACAAAACGCAACTGGAAAGTTTAAAATTTGAGTTTTATGAATGTTACCAATCCATCTTTTAATTTACCAGACTTGGATTGGCAAGCATCAGTTATAAATCATGAGTATATGAGTTGTGTATGGTGTTTGAAAATGGTATCTTTGAACTGTTAGATCTATATAGGTTATCTAGGTTTGCAGAGACTCTAAATTCCAAACTTACCAGCAAGACAATAATGTTTTTTGGAATTTGTTCTTTTAGAAATTGTTGAAAATCAATAATTACTCTTTTGACTACACACAAGTCTGCAAACCCATGGTTCTTGATGTACACTAAAATCTTTGTAATCCTGTTTAAATTTGGATAATCAAAATTTATACTCTCTGTCAGTCCAACAATCAGACTTAACATATAATATTCAGATGAAAATCTACTAAAAAGTATATCAGTCTAATAGACTATATAAATAGTTTGTCGACATGTTTTGGTGTATCAATTTAATTCATTATTTTTTCAAGCATGCCATCTTCAAAACAAATAGTGTCACTTTGTTCTCTAAAATTCCAGGCAAAGATAGAAGAAAACCTACTTCATTTTCTCACCTAATAAAGAATATAGAGGGTAATAGCATAAAACTTATCATTCATGCTTTGGTTATCCTCACATTATGTGTAAGGCATATCTATAGGGAGGGGTGTGGGACTTAAAGAGTGTGTGTGGAGAATCAAAGTTATTCCTATGCACGCAACATAAGGATTTTTTTATGCTTGCTACATGTGTGTGTGTGTTACTGCTTGCTACAAGCTGTGAGTTTGTGCATCTCATGTGTTACTGCTTGCTACAAGCTGTGTGTGTGTGTTACTGCTTACTACAAGCTGTGTGTGTTACTGCTCGCTACAAGATGTGTGTGTTACTGCTCGCTACAAGATGTGTGTGTGTTACTGCTCGCTACAAGATGTGTGTGTTTTACTGCTTGCTACAAGATGTGTGTGTGTTACTGCTTGCTACAAGCTGTGTGTGTATTACTGCTTGCTACAAGCTGTGTGTGTGTGTTACTGTTTGCTACAAGATGTGTGTGTGTTACTGCTTGCTACAAGCTGTGTGTGTTACTGCTCGCTACCAGATATGAGTTTGTGCATCTCGTGTGTTACTGCTTGCTACAAGCTGTGTGTGTTACTGCTCGCTACCAGATATGAGTTTGTGCATCTCGTGTGTTACTGCTTGCTACAAGCTGTGAGTGTGTTACTGCTTGCTACAAGCTGTGTGTGTGTTACTGCCTGCTATAAGCTGTGTGTGTGTTACTGCTTGCTACAAGCTGTGTGTGTGTTACTGCTTGCTACAAGCTGTGAGTGTGTTACTGCTTGCTACAAGATGTGTGTGTGTTACTGCTGGCTACAAGCTGTGAGTGTGTTACTGCTTGCTACAAGCTGTAAGTGTGTTACTGCTTGCTACAAGCTGTGTGTGTGTTACTGCTTGCTACAAGCTGTGTGTGTGTTACTGCCTGCTACAAGCTGTGTGTGTGTTACTGCTTGCTACAAGCTGTGAGTGTGTTACTGCCTGCTACAAGCTGTGAGTGTGTTACTGCTTGCTACAAGATGTGTGTGTGTGTAACTGCTTGCTACAAGATGTGTGTGTGTTACTGCTTGCTACAAGCTGTGTGTGTGTTCCTGCTACAAGCTGTGAGTGTGTTACTGCCTGCTACAAGCTGTGAGTGTGTTACTGCCTGCTACAAGCTGTGAGTGTGTTACTGCTTGCTACAAGATGTGCGTGTGTGTTACTGCTTGCTACAAGATGTGTGTGTGTTACTGCTTGCTACAAGCTGTGTGTGTGTTACTGCTTGCTACAAGCTGTGAGTGTGTTACTGCTTGCTACAAGATGTGTGTGTGTTACTGCTTGCTACAAGATGTGCGTGTGTTTTACTGCTTGCTACAAGATGTGTGTGTGTTACTGCTTGCTACAAGCTGTGTGTGTGTTACTGCTTGCTACAAGCTGTGAGTGTGTTACTGCTTGCTACAAGATGTGTGTGTGTTACTGCTTGCTACAAGATGTGTGTGTGTGTGTGTTACTGCTTGCTTCAAGAAGTGTGTGTTACTGCTTGCTACAAACTGTGTGTGTTACTGCTTGCTACAAGCTGTGTGTGTGTTACTGCTTGCTACAAGCTGTGTGTGTGTTACTGCTTGCTTCAAGACGTGTGTTACTGCTTGCTACAAGATATGTGTGTGTTACTGCTTGCTTCAAGACGTGTGTTACTGCTTGCTACAAGATGTGTGTGTGTTACTGCTTGCTTCAAGAAGTGTGTGTTACTGCTTGCTAAATGCTGTGTGTGTGTTACTGCTTGCTACAAGATGTGTGTGTGTTACTGCTTGCTACAAGCTGTGTGTGTGTGTTACTGCTTGCTACAAGATGTGTGTGTGTGTGTGTTACTGCTTGCTTCAAGCTGTGTGTGTGTTACTGCTTGCTACAAGCTGTGTGTGTGTTACTGCTTGCTACAAGATGTGTGTGTGTATGTGTTACTGCTTGCTTCAAGACATGTGTGTGTGTGTTACTGCTTGCTACAAGATGTGTGTGTGTATGTGTTACTGCTTGCTTCAAGACGTGTGTGTGTTACTGCTTGCTTCAAGCTGTGTGTGTGTTACTGCTTGCTACAAGATGTGTGTGTGTATGTGTTACTGCTTGCTTCAAGACGTGTGTGTGTGTGTGTGTGTTACTGCTTGCTACAAGATGTGTGTGTGTATGTGTTACTGCTTGCTACAAGATGTGTGTGTGTATGTGTTACTGCTTGCTACAAGCTGTGTGTGTGTTACTGCTTGATTCAAGACGTGTGTGTGTTACTGCTTGCTACAAGCTGTGTGTGTGTGTGTTACTGCTTGCTACAAGCTGTGTGTGTGTTACTGCTTGCGTCAAGCTGTGTGTGCATCCCTTGTGTAACATTACCCCACCCAGGTGACACATGTGACCCCAGGTGGGGTCCAGTCCAGCCTACACACTGCTGACTGGGGCTGTGTGGTTTTCATTAGCACAGGGTCGGGTTTCAGGCAGGGATGTTATCATATTTCCTTATCTTGACCAAAACTATTTCAGCACTGAGGCCATGTGCTGACTAAAACAATGTGCTTCATCATCAGATTGAAAGTTGCCCAGTGGGTGGGTGGGGGTGGCACTGAGGACAGTTTTAACACCTAATAACATGGAAATAATGTTTTTTATATGTTCATGCTGAAAAAATCTGCATTTTAAAATAGCAATATTTTTGTTACACTGTATAGATCAAAAGTTTATATTCCATGTATTATAACAATTTGCTTCCTTTATAACTGGTAAGGATTATGCTTTGTACCTGACCACTGTGGGGTGTTTAAGTACAATATATTTTCTTGTTCTATTTGTGAATGTGAAATAGACATAATTATCATCATTACTAATTTGAGCAAGGTTAAACTGCTGAGTTTGACTTCAGTCACATAGACTGATATTTTGCGAAAAACATATTGGAGTAATTTGCACTCTTAATTTAATTTTTTGTAATTGGTAAAACATATATGGGTAAATTACAATAATATTATTTTGATGTTTTTACAAAATGTATCAATAATCATAGCAGAATAATACTGTTAGTTAATAGAAGATTGGATGGTTTGTGCAACGACAGCACTCTGTATCAGATATGGTATCTATTCAATGGCCATGGGTCAATACAGAAAGTAGGTGAAGGGTCATTTGTGTAGAACATTCTGGAACTATACAGCTGGGCTCTGTGAGGAAACTAGCACACACACAAAGCCAATGCATAACTATCACAATTACACCATAGTGTTTCGTTTTTTCACACATGCCTTACAAAATCACACATTAGTCACAGAATTTAAAGTTAGCACTTATTATCATTTCATCATGGATCTGTATAAGTAGAAAAAAATGGGAAATGTGTGTTGGCTCAAATACACCACTTTTCTTGATTTTAATTTAACAAATACACCACTTTTCTTGATTTTAATTTAACAAATACACCACTTTTCCTAAGTTTGATCTAACCCACTTAAACAGTCTGGGGTGCATAAAGTTTTGATGTCATCCTATAATCAGCTGTTAATAGGGATAAGGAAAACCGTGACGTTGTGCTTGGAACGCTAGGACATCACATTGCACACAATGTCAAATATATCACATTTAACAGATCTAATTGAACAAACATGTATGAACAACTGCGCAGCAAGCACAAAAGTCATGAATCTATTGTGGAATCTGTGAGGGTCCCATGGAGACCGCCAGCAAATAAATCGTTTTTGAGTGTGGACGCTTAGACCCAGATAAGGCCTGTGACCTACATCAAGCTCAGCGTAACAGCGCAAAGCGAAATAATGACTGCTCCCTGTACCATGGCACCGCGAGACAGCACCAAGCACATGTACATGGAACTGTTACTGAATGTTATTTGGTTTCATCAACCACTTGACTGATAATTTGACAGATTTATTTTGAATATCTTTGCTCAAGACATACCTCAATAAAATAATGATGTTAACTTAAGAAACTTTATCGAAAATGTGTATTGTAGTTTGTAAAGGTAAACTGTATAGGTGTCTATATCTAACTTCAGACTAACATCCTATTCATACTAAAGAACAATTCTGCATCACTAAAACTTACACCCCTAACAAAATCATATCTACAAGACAATAGTTATCCAAACATGTCCCTAGCAACGACGTGTTTACAGAGGTATTAGACATTGACCGATTATAAGAATTACGGCACGCTGTAAGATTAAGGATGCTATCGGTTGATCATAGTTCAGATGTTCACTGAAGTCAACATAAGCACCATACTTATTTCGGATTACGAAATAAATTGCTATTATAAAAGTTTCTCACTAAAACTTATATTGAAGTCGGAAATAGCCTGTCTAGAATGACACAATACCGTCCTACTGAAAACATTAATTTGATCAACTTGCGCATGACCATTTCTTCACTAGACATGACCATAAGATGGTTTACATGAATAGAAATATCAAATCTGCGAGTGCTGCAGTGTGTCAATAGATATATGTACAAAGGAAATACTCACGGCTCCAGAAGCAGTATCCAAATAATCCAAGAAGAGAATCACTCCTAGAACTAACGGCAAGTGCCGCTTCAGAAATTCCTTGGGTCTCATGTTGTTAAAAGTTAAATCACACTTTGCTTGTGTAGAATAATACTATGATAAAGCCTACTGGCCAAAGGAAAGCCAGCAAGCCCCTCAAACTCGCTGTTCCACACTATCCCTCACTCCGAGACGGGCTAGTTTCTTCAGTTTTCCACCATCTTGTCTCGAGTTGAGGGAATATGCACCAAACTGCAGACGACAAAATAGGGGCACTATTTTCTCAAGTTTCAGAACGGCACCAAATTTGAACTATTTTGTCTAGGAAATTCCCCACTTTACCCAGTCATATCTCAATACATGATTAAACTAGAAAATTTGTCGGTATTGTGGTGCAAGAATTTCCAACAAGACGGACTAACTTCTCTTAGCGGAAGCAGAGTTCCTCCTTTTCCGCGCAAGCCGCCCTGAACTTGTGCCTGTGGGCGGATGCTGCAAGGGGGGTTGACCTGTCAATCACTCCGTGTTTGTCGTGGGGCAACAGTCCGCTATACGAAATATCCCACGAGAACTTGGGAGAATTCACAGCAAGGCGTGCAAAGAATTGAATCTAATGTGTGGAATAATTTCCTAAATTCGAATAATTGAATCACGTTATAAGCGAAAACCCCGTACTCTGTTAAAAAAGAAGAAATGTGGAATAAAAACCTGCTCTGAGTAATTCTTTCGTGAACATTGGTTATTTGATCTGCATATGAATTGAATACAACAGTTACCTTTCCTGTAACACCCTTCTCTAATGCAAGCGTCACGTTACAATGTATAAACAAAGGTCTGTTGTTCATTCAAATTGCCATTGAGTAACATTTCCGATTGAAATAGCGACACATGAGTAATGCGACAAATTCTCAACATATGCTCAGACGGCGTGGGAGGGGGTGTGGTTAAGCCACTTAAGCTCCGCCCATTCCCCCAAATGTATGCACATCCGCGGAGAAGCACATCGTCTTCCAAGATATTCTTGTGGAAGAACTGGGTGCAGACGACTGAATGTTAGAGAAAAGATTCTAGCGTCTGTTTAAGTGAGGGATTTGATTCTTTGCTGAGTTTAATCTCAGCTAGAAGGACGGCTGGAGCCTTACTTGCTGGCCGTTCGGACATTTTAATTCCCTGTACATGATTTTGTGTTGCTCAGGTGCCAGTCCCTTGGCTGGCACTGCCAACCTCTTTCACACCAGTAGAGTACCGAGTTCGTCCCGTAGAAATAAGGCCATGTCTACATGGTAAGTTGCGAAGCGTTGCTTTGTCTTTGTGGTTTCATATTTTTGTCTGTTAATGTTCGTTATAATTACTTTCCGTGGCTGGTGCCATTTACCATGTTCTGAAATTCTTCATGCTTCTTTTTTTCCAGGCTGCTTCTCTTCATCTCTGTCATCGCTTTAGGGACCCTTTCTCAAGGCGTTAGCGCAGTGAGTACAACATAGTATATACATGTTATATTAACCAACGTGCATGTTCATAACAACCCACAATATCGACGATTTTTACCAATATTTAATATCGTACGGCGTCTATGGAATAACAGACTGTGGAATTCGTTGATGAAGAAATTTCCAATCTCTTTCATTACGTTATGTTTTACACGAATATCTGTTCAGTTACGTCTATAGATATGTGATCTATCTACTCCACGCGACGTCTAGATGCATCTAAACATAAAAAGTAAAAGTAGTATCTGCACAAATATGAACATAAGTTGAACTCTTCAATACGGCGGGTAAAATGACCAAGGGAGCATTCATTATTTTATTCTGCAAGTAGTCACGCCGCCGAGGCCGGCAGTCTTATCTGTTGGCGTATCAACAGTTGGGATGTGGGGTTTAGGGTATGTAAGTCTTTTCATTGTGTTGTTTATTGTTTATTGTTTCATGGCTAGCTGGTCACATCATTTTTATAGATAACATGGAGACTGTGCACTTAACCATAACTTTTTGATACTCTCTTCAAACAATGTGAACTGAAGCAAGGAAACTGTTGGTTATTCTTTTGAATACAATCAAAACTGATGACTTAATCTGACAATTGGAAACTGATAATTAGTGTTTGTCACTTTGTTGTGTGAACAAACTTGTCTTTCACAAATGTAATGTTGAAAGTAATTTAGTTTCATGCATGTATGGTTCAATATATTTCATAAATGAAATCTGGTTTGGTAAACAAGCAAAACAAACAAAACATTGCTCGGTTTCAGATTTCAGTTTGTAAATTCATATAGAAATGTTAATATTAAATGTAAATGTTCAATTATACATAAAATTCATATGTGAGCTGGACCTAGTGGTGTCCATGCCAAAGGAATGCAGTCACAAATTCAAAATTTTATCCAGAATCAACACATATTATAATGACAATTATACTTTCACTGTCATGATTTAAACTGAGAGTGAAGGTGTCTCAAAATGAACATGTTTATGTCAGGCAATCTCAAGCCCTTATTAATGCAAAAACAACCACTTTTTTCATCCATATTTCATGATTTAATATTAACTGATGAGCATGTATGAACGACATTATTCAAAATATGGTTACTTTTTTCATTCAGTGACCAATTTGCAGCTAAATCTTGTCTTGGAGGACTTTATTTAAGATAAGATTCAAAATTTAGATCATTTCAATCATTGAGGAGCAATGAGGACAGCAGGAGTTGTCTCCCCCTGGTTCCTCCAGTCCTTGGCATTTCCCCATATTGCTGATTTCCTTCAGACAGAGGGGGTGGCGAGATGTGGGGGAGGGGGAAGATGTCTGCCTCAGGGGAAATTCCACAGTAGAGGAAGGGAAATGTAACATGTAAGGGAATAGTTCAGTTGATAGGTCAGTATTATTTGTCAGATATACAACAGAACAGAATATACACTAAGGAAAAGCATGGGCATGCATTGGTACAACATGAAAATTTATGATTTACTTTGACATTTATTGCAATCTGTATTGTAACCTAGGATGCATAGATAACAGCATAATGCAGAAATCAAACAGATGCATGTTTTGACCCTGTTTCGTCCTTGTTTTAAATTTATCTTCATAAGATATGTGTACATCTGGCTTAAGATGATTAATTTAATTGTCTAATTTCATACAATCCCCGAGTTACAATCAATACATTAATTGCATGTATTTTTCGAAATGTTTTGAACTATGGGGGATTTCAATTCAAGACAACAGTGGATCAAAGTGTATAAATGTTCAAGAAATGACCCACAATGAGACAGGCATTAATTATGTACTCACTGTGAGCTCTTCACCAGCTGGTCTTGCGTAACGAGTCTGATGACAACACACAGGTTATATCAGCAGGTTGTTTGGTGGGCCTAAGCCTCAGTAAAGACCCTTGTTTCACATTTGTTGACCGATTAAAAGGTAATCAGGACACACAAACAAGACTGACAAGTTGTTTGCACATGTGGTGACTGGGATTTCCCCAATTAAAGGGCAAGTTCACACGGAAATGAACCTAATTTTCTTGTACTTTTTCCACAATAAAAGTGTTAACCTAGAAGTGTCATAGACAAAAATATAAAAATATCACAATTAATTAACATATGTTTTGCATTAAAACGATTTATATTTTTCACATTTACCAAGTGTTCTATTTCCATAACAAAAACACCATGGCTTATGCCCCTTGCAATATGACGTCATTGGTGCCAATTGATAAACATTATGACGTCATCATGCTTTGTTAGAGCCGCTTCACGTGGTGTAGGTATAGGTGTGTGATTCTAGCGTCTCAGATGCCAGCCAGCATAGTGTAATGCTGAGTCACCACTGCGCCGGAGTGTGTCGTAGGCCATGTTGTTTTACCGAAAACTGGTACTTGATATCTTTTGCGTTCAGAATAGACAGGGACCCAGTTGAATTGGCACCAATTACGTCATAATCTAAGGGGGATAACTCAGGCCTGTTTAGCTCGAAAAACGAAGGCCTCATAACGGCATATCATTTTCACACAATTGTGAGCTTCCTACTTTCACTGTGAAAAAAATGAGTGTATATTTTCAAACACAGATACTAACTAATTCTAAAATTGCGTTTTGTTTAGAAAAAGAAAGAAAGTGATTTTTGCGTGTACACTTCCCCTTTAAGGGCTACATTTTCCTCTTGATATTCCTGCCTCACAACTTACATTAGGGAAACATCCGACTTGTCTTTAAATACACACGCTATGTGTTGGAATCATTTGATATTTGATTAAATATTTCTTATAGGTAAGGGTTTGATATTTTGGTTTCTTATCTGATACTATTGGCAGGTACTGAGTTAGCATAGACACTTTGCATGTGTGAAAGGAGATTGATTGCATGAAATATGTTGTTTTGTGTTTGTTATATAGATAATACAAAATACTGTCACTTAATCATTACGTGTAATCATGAGTTATAATTAAAGTAAAAAGTGTAACCCTTTTAGGCATTTATTTTTGAAGGCAATGAACATAAGTACATTTGAAATTGTTTCACTGACACATTTTTTTTAACATGTTTCAAGGCACCATTCTGTAAGCATGATTTTGGGAGCAATGCTTTACCGCACGCTATAACCGAGTTAGCGCTATATTGAAGAGTGCAATAGCGAGGGAACACTGTATTGGAATTGTAATGCAATAGAATGGTTTTGAAGGGGCAACAGCTCTTTATTGAAACTGTTATCCAGAGCGATCATGGTAACAGTGTCCAGACATAAAATAAGTTCAAGATGATATTTTCTTGTAACGGTTCATTGTCGTTGTCCTCAATATGAACATTTACCAAAGACACAATCTTCTAGTCAAACACCTCCCTGAACAACAGTCTCAAAGTTACTAGAACCCTCCCCAGCTTCCCAAGTTGTTGAAATGATGGAACAGTATGGTGCATAAATTCTTGACCAAGATTCATCCACAGTGAACTGACACAGTGTTGGAAGGTGAATGTTTCACACCAGGACTTGGCAGGGTGCCTGTCAGTGTCCATCTTGATCTCATCACCTTCAGGTGAACATAGGGATGAGCTCACATGATACCATCACATGCGAGCTTCCCAAAACTATCTACTGGCGGCCATCTTGGTTCCCCATAACTGGAACTCCCCCAGTATGCCACATTGACTGAGAACTTTCCCTGACTAGATGAACATTACAGCTGGTGTTGATGGGTCCTGCAGGCTGGCCGGCCAGCTCAGGCCTTGGCAGAACCGCATCAGGATAAATATCTTCATCTTGTTGATGTGCAGATGAAAGAAAGAAAAGACTTGGTAAAAGATAAATTGGACAGCGGGATAACATTTCATTTGAATCTCTCTGTTTTACTTTTGCCAGTGTTACATAAGGTGTTTTGGAGGATGGTGTTGGAGATCATTTCATATGAGCCATCCAGTACATCTAACCCATACCTAATGCAAGATGACTTTTTCAATTAAAGTATGTGAAAGAAGAATATTTCTTAAATATCATAATTATGATGTGTTATAATATACTTGTTTAGCTCACTTGCCACAAATACCTATCTTTATCTTTTTATCAGTCAATAGGATATAATCTTGATTTTATCATCATTCATACGATCATTTCTTGATTTTATCATCATTCATAGGATAATTTCTTGATTGTATCATCATTCAATAGGATATTATCTATTTTATCATCATTTGAAGGGTGTTTTTATACATCATTCCCAAATTTGAAAAGGTTCTTCGGGGCAATCCATGTCCTATAAAATGAACTGATCTGAAACCCTGTGTATTGACTTAAGATATAGAAGGTTCACATACAGAAAACAAATCTAAAGGTTTATAGTCTAATGAATAGAGAAATTACAGATTGTGAACAGTCTCTGCACTGAAGAACAACATAATGGTGGCCGTGATACACCAACTCTGTTCACATTATATTTATGAATTCTTACCAAATTTATCACTTGTGTATTGATGAATGTACAGTGCCCTATCCAAGAATATTTCCTATATTGTCATCTGTTCATGTGGCTCCCAGAGGAAGTGATGCATGACATGTGAATTCTCCATGTAGTGTAGTGTAGGGATAGGTCTCCTGTTTAGTGGGCGGTGCCATTGGGAACCTCTTGTAGCACTGTGGACACAGTGGAAAATGTTCATTACTCAAAAAATAATGTGTGGGGTGTTTTGAATAGTAAATTCTTGACAGATTTTGTGCAGATATAGATGCGCAATATAATATGTGATATTTATTACATGCTTTTCAAAGCAACATTTCGCAAAAAAGTATTTTGCTCATGTCTTGCAATCATGTCAAACATGTAATCCTTGTTAGTCTTGAAAGGTCTGATGGCAGTTCATTATTTTATTTCTATATCAAAATACTTTTTTTTCACCATTTATGACAATGGAATTCATGAGATAATGAAGTGAGAAAGGCTCTTCACACCCTCCAGTATTGCTGTCTGTAGTGCAAGATATAG